TTAGGAAGACACGACACTTATCTCGTTCAATAGATAATAATCGTCCACGACCCGCACGCGCGGCGTGGAGAGGCCGTCATCCAGCAGTGGATTATTGACGAGACCCTGTTGAGTGTAATACTTTAACAAACAGAATCTCCCTGTGGGTGATATCGCCTCGGTCTGAGGAATTCCTCCCCCGGCCGCAGTTAAATCAGGGATCCACTCTTGTTGACATTGCTGCTGTGAGACTCTGTGATCATTTTTTTGCAGACGGACACGCGGATTATACGGATCGTATTTTCAATATGGGGGGGGGGGGGTGGTGCATTGGTCAGCGCGCTACGCTATGAACCCCGGTTATCCGAGTTCAGTTCCCGGCCACGGATAACATCAGCGGCGAGTGATAACCGAACCGGTCGACTCACCCATCCCCCACCCCTACCCCCCCCGCCCCCCTTAACCAGCGTGGTGAAGTATGGTCAAACATTCCACCCATGATTTACACAACGTGGAGAGGCGTTCAGCCAGCAGTCGATTCATAAAGCTTTAGACAAGTTTATAACTAGCCAAATAGATAAATAATCTCAGCTTGATATCTCTCCACATTAATATATATATTTCTTACACATCTCATCAGCTCAATTTCAACAGGATTGATTCAGGACAAGCAAAACTCCGGATTGGTTTGGACGCACAGAGAGTGAGGCTCGCTTGAATCAATGCTGATGAACCTTCAGATGTCATAGGCAAGGATTGGTTTAGATATTCAGTGTCTCATCAGCAGAGTCAGGGTTTGCTTGAATCAATGCTGGCGAACTGCAAGATGTTCTGGGCAAGGAGGCTCTCTTTAAGGTATGGGCCTTCGTTCTGAAGGGGTGTCGGCAACTTGGACAATGTTCTCCCGTGGGTTGTTCAGCACGATGTCCGACGTTTCGCTCCATGAGCTGGAAGCTTCTTGAGGCTAGTGGTGTTAGACAAGCCCCGTAAGGAATGTAAGGACAGCACAGTTGGTTTTTGGTTGGTCGACATTCCCAACCGCATTTTAAATGTTGTTTAAACGTGTGTGTGTGTGTACAAAGTATGTGTGTGATTGTGCCCGTATGTGTAACTCTTATGTGTATCTGTTTGTTGTGTATGTGTGAATGCCTGTTTGTGACTGTGTTTGTGTGTGTGTCTTAATGTTTGGGGCTTCGTGTGCATGTCTGTGGCTATATCTTTGTGTGTCTGTGTGTTTATATGTTTGTGTGTGTGTGTATATCTGTGTCTCTGTCTCGCAGGGTTCGTAGCGCAGCGCACTAACCGCGTACAGTGGCGGCATTCATAGGTGCTCGCCAACAGCACTTGCCCAAAAGTTTGTTGAGGCTATGCGGGGGATCCTTGTCTTTGTTGTCTTCACTCGTCTCCTTATTAATCCCTTTTGTTGTGTCCCCCCCTCTCCTCCCCACTCATCCCTGCCCCTCCCCACTCATCCCTGCCCCTCCCCACTCATCCCCACTAATCACCGCTCCTCCCAACTTCTCTCCACTCCTCCAAATTGATTCCTGATCATCCCAGCTCCTCCCATCTCTTCCCACTCACCACCCCTCCGCCTCCTCTTAGCTACCAACACTCCCCTCCACACATTCCCCCAGCACTCTACCCCTCCACCTTCTCTCCCCCACACTCATTTTCAAAACTCCCCGGCTCTTCCCCACCACTCGCCCCACCCCTCCCCACGCCCTCCCTCCCACCAAATCCTCCCACCTTCCAGCACTCGCCTCCAAACTACCCCACGCCTCCCCACTCTTCCCATCTCCTCCCCACCCTTCCCTACTCCCACCTCACTCCACTGACCCCCCCCCCCCCCCCGACTGCTCTGAAATCCTTCCCACTCCACCCACTCAACCCTGCTCCCCTCCGCTCCCCATCGCCGTGTGTAAACAATCATAATCATATCAAATTATCAATCGCGAGCGTCATTCATTAAAGAGACGAACCCCGCGGTATCTGGGTCTAATGACCACTAATGACTCATTAGCAGGTGCGATCACGTGACTCTCCTCTCATCCCGAAGCGTGCCAACATCACGTGACACTCTCTCCTCGACGCCGCTGGCCCGAGGGTCTGGGTGGTGTCGATTTGACGACCAGGAGAGTGGGAGGTGGTGGGGGCTAGGTGGAGGTGGTGGGGGCTAGGTGGAGGGGGTGGGGGCTAGGTGGAGGGGGTGGGGGCTAGGTGGAGGGGGTGGGGGCTAGGTGGTGAGGGTGGGGCTAGGTGGTGGGGGCTAGGTGGAGGGGGTGGGGGCTAGGGGGTGGGGCTAGGTGGTGGGGGCTAGGTGGGGCTAGGTGGTGGGGGCTAGGTGGTGGGGGTGGGGGCTAGGTGGTGAGGGTGGGGCTAGGTGGTGGGGGCTAGGTGGTGGTGGCTAGGAGGTGAGGGTGGGGCTAGGAGGTGAGGGTGGGGCTAGGTGGAGGGGGTGGGGGCTAGGTGGAGGGGTGGGGGCTTGGTTGGTGGGGGCTAGGTAGTGGTGAATAGGTGGTGGGGGATAGGTGGTGGGGGCTAGGTGGAGAAGGTGGGGGCTAGGTGGAGGGGGTGGGGGCTAGAGGGTGGGGGCTTGGTTGGTGGGGGCTAGGTGGTGAGGGTGGGGGCTAGGTGGTGGGGGTGGGGGCTAGGTGGTGGGGGCTAGGTGGTGGCGGGGGGGAGAGTTGGTGGGGGGCGGAAGAGTCCGAGTCAGACAGAGTGCGAGAGAAGTGTGAGAGAGTGAAGGAATGGGAGCGCGTGGATGAGAATCGATGTTTTTCTAGATGCCCGTGTTAGCACCTTGTACCAGCTGGGTTGGGAGCAACTTTGAGTGTATGGGGAGGAGGGGAGGTCTCATAGGGGCCGGGGGGTCTATGTGTGTGATGGGGCCAAGGGAGGTGGGGTTGTGTTTCCAGACATCTCAAACCACGACGATGTCTGTGTGCTTGTGCGTCTTGCGGGGAGCGGTGGTGCAGCGGTTAGCGCGCTGCGCTACAAACCCGGCGACCCGAGTTCGATTCACGCTCACGGCCAACATCTTTGACGATTATCTGAACCGTTCCTGCGCCTCCCCTCGGTCGACTCCGCCTCAAATGAGTACCTGGTGCGGTGTGTGAACGTCACCCCTAAGGAGACAAAGGCGGCCGGGCGTGGTGTTGGCCACCCACTCCCTCGTGTGCCATACCGGCCTTCTTAGGTGCTCGCTAACAGCACTTGCCCCAACAGTCTGCCCATGCTATACGGAGGATCTTTACCTTTGTGTGAATAGTTAAAGTGATTTCCTGCTCAAGCGAGCATTGAGGCATTGGTGGTCATGTCCTGTGTACAACCCAGCAAAGGCCAGTGGTGGAAATTCCACATTCCTATGGAAGGGACGATTATCTATGTAAAATAACCTTTCTCGCCAAGTTTCAACTCACTTGATCGACTTGAGAGGGGGACAATGGAGTCAATCCCCAAAGCAGGATTTGAACTCGGAGCCTACCAACTGTGACCTGCTTGTTCTGTCCTGGGTGCTCGCTAACAGCACTTGCCCCCTGCAGCCTATGAAGGCTACACGGGGGGTCTTTGTCTTAGTTGGTTAGTATCTCAGGCTACTACTGTAGCAAATCTATTGGACCTTTTTTTTCTTTGCCACGATCAAAGTATGAAAAGTACTGGCAAAAAATGCTGGCAACAAACTGTTATCCCATAGACGCCACTGCTTAACCCGAACTATAAATGCTCCGATACGTGCGATTGTCTTTGTCCTGTTGACTTGTGGCGTGATGCTCTGGTCTGACACTGGTGGTGAGACAATGCCACAAAGAAGGCCTTGCTCTCTCTGGTCTCCACCAATCAGTAGTCAAAGACAATGCACACGTCATTATTATCAGTAGAGAACATTTGTTTGCATTTTAACACGTAGGCTTTCGCGACCAATATTATGCATAATAAACGTTTTTGGGTTAGATCGCGTTATTTATAAGTGAATCCACAATATTTTAAAAAAAAATGTAAATGTTGTGGATTCATTCTTCAACACACCGGTGGGCTAAAGTAGTGAACTATTTGTCTTTTGTCAACGTGACACTTTTTACGGATTGGCCGTGCCGGGTGGTGGAGGGTTACGACACATTTATAAATAACTCGATCAAACCCAAACACTTTTATTATGAAGTTGTTTGCATGTTTATTGTATGCCACAAGTGCTGTGTGTGTGTGTGTGGCGCGCTTAATGCAGACTTGATCGTCTTGATGCCTTGCAAAAGCTATCTATTTTGGCACCTCCTGCTTCATTGCCAGAAAGGGGTTTAACCAACACCAATGGGGACTAGGCTCTAAAGAAAGCCGTCTCGGGTGTGGCCCAATCAACTTCAAGGACAGTGCATATCATTATCATTATCAGAGTTGCTTCTTTTTGTTTGCTTTTTTGACTACTACTTGTGTTGTGGTTATTGCAAACATGATGCCTTGAATAAAGGTGTCAGTTTTATACCAGTTTATAAGGGTAAAACCTACTACTATGGGTTTAAGCCTCTCCGCGTGCTGCTACTGCTGTAGCTGTTGCGCTCCGCCCGCTCACTCTCCCATCAACCTCGACACGAACCCGCGGCCACTGCTGACCCCCTTGAACCGCAGCGGGAGGAGAGAAGGCCGCGTTTTCTCTCCGCGCACGTGGACGGTCACGTCACATGTGGAAACGCGATGTGTAGATTATTTTGGCTGCTGTACATTGCCGCACGACGAGCCGCGTTGTTGAGCTGTCGTTTGTGGACAGGTCGCTTCTGAAAAAAAATAAGCTAATAGCTCAGTGGGCTTAAGCTGGTAAGAATAAAAGATTGTTTAGTTTTATTTGTGTCCATTTGTTTAAGTGATTTGTTTACCTTGGTTATATTTTTTCACTCCAATGGTGTTTTTGCATTGTTTGTTTTTGTACGGTTCTCACCTGTGAAAAATAGCTTTATAGCTCATCGGATTCCTCCTGTATAGATACAGATTCTGATCCGTCTCCCCCCCCCTGCCCCATCTCTCTCTATCAGCGTCAACCCCTACCCCACTCTCATTCCACCCATCCGCGACATCTCCCCCGTGACCCCAGCTCCCCCGCGGACCCCCGTTCCATTACCCCCGTCCACTCAACAGGGACTCTGCAGCAACTGCTGCAGCATTAGCAGCAGCAGCACGTAGGGACGAAGAGGAGGCGATAGAAACTCTTCGGCTCTCCTCCAGTCAGAGCCGTGCACCAGTGGAAACGTACTGGACCGTGCCAGGCCGAACCGGGACTGGTCCGGACCGGGTCTGGACCGGGTCTGGGCCGGGCCAGGCAGCATGATGGTGTCCTACCTCAAGCAAGGCCCTTACGCCATGAGCGGCCTCGGGCTGCACCCTGGAGGTGGCATGGAGCTGCTGCCATCCCTCCGTGGGGTTCCCCGGTGAGGGACAGACTCCCCCCCCCCCCCGCCATCTAGCTCCACCATCCTCACCACACCACACCGTCCCCACCCCTTACCCACTCCCACCCTGACCTTACCCTCTCCACCCTCACCCGCTAACCACCCCACACCCCATCCTACCACCCTCACTTCACCCTCACCACCCACTCACCACCACCCTCACCCACTCACCACCACCCTCACCCACTCACCACCACCCTCACCCACTCACCACCACCCTCACCAACTCACCACCCCCCTCACCAACTCACCACCCTGACCAACTCACCACCCTCACCCACTCATCACCACCCTCACCCACTCATCACCACCCTCACCCACTCACCACCACCCTCACCCGCTCACCACCCCACACCCCATCCCATCACCCTCACTTCACCCTCACCACCCTCACCCACTCACCATCACCAATTCACCACCACCCTTACCCACTCACCACCCCACACCCTATCCCACCACCCTCACCACCCTCACGCGCTCACCACCCCACACCCCATCCCACCACCCTCACTTCACCCTCACCACCCTCACCCACTCACCACCACCCTCACCCACTCACCACCACCCTCACCCGCTCACCACCCAATACCCCATCCCACCACCCTCACCCACTCACCACCACCCTGACCCACTCACCACCACCCTCACCCGCTCACCACCCCACACCCCATCTCACCACCCTCACTTCACCCACTCACCTACCACCCTCACCCGCTCACCCTCACCCGCTCACCACCACTCTCACCACCACCCTCACCACCACCCTCACCCGCTCACCACCTCTCTCCCTCCAGCTTCCCTCACCACCACGAGTGCCGTAGCGAGGGTGGGGGCGGGCGGATTGATTGCCCGTCCGGGGCACCCCATCCGGAGGGGGGGGGTGCTGCCCCCCCCCCCCCGTCTCCCCCCGCCCCCCTCTCATCGTTGTAAACAATGGAGGCTGGTGGATGAGAAATGTGGTGGGGCGGTGGCGAGGATGGCGCCTTGCCCAGAGCCCCCCCCCCCCACCTCCTCTCGCTCGTACCCCTCCCCCTCAGCCCCCACTTACACTCCCCCCCTCCCCCCTCAACCCTCCTCACTGCCCACGTGACGCCAATAATCCCAGCCCCCCCCCCACGTCTCCCTGTCCCCCCATCCCCACCCGTGGCTCCCACCTCCCCTCTCCCCTAATCCCTCCATGCCGGTAACCAGCACGAGTATCAGTTCGCCTGTTTACCCTTGTCTCTCCTTACCCAGCAGCCACCTCCATTAACTTATAGCCTCGCCTCACCTGGCCTCACCTCCACTCACCTGGCCTCACCTCCACTCACCTGGCCTCACCTCACCTGGCCTCGCCTCCACTCACCTCACCTGGCCTCACCTCCACTCACCTGGCCTCACCTCCACTCACCTGGCCTCACCTGGCCTCGCCTCCACTCACCTCACCTGACCTCACCTCCACTCACCTGGCCTCACCTCCACTCACCTGGCCTCACCTCCACTCGCCTGCAGCCTCGCCTCACCTGGTCCCACCTCCACTCACCTGGCCTCACCTCTGTTCACCTGTAGCCTCACCTTAGCTGACCTCCATTCACATGGCCTCACACTAACCTGGTCTCTCCTCCCCTCACCTGTCGCCTCACCTCACCTGGCCTCGCATTCACTCACCCTGTGGCCTCACCTCTATTCACCTGTAGCCCTACCTCACCTGGGTTGGTGAAGGCTTGGGGGGGGGGGGCAGAGACGGGTGGCAGCACAGAAGTACAACTCTGCATTGTGTTGCACCACACTCTGTTGCCCTCCACATAGGGCCTCATCTTACCTGGGCTCCGACTTACTTGTATCCCCTACACTCCTAGCCTGCACTCACATGAATCCCATACTCATCTGGGCTCTGACTCACTTGTATCCCCTACTCTCTTGGCCTGCACTCACCTGGCCACCAACTCACCTGTATTCCCTACTCACCTGGCCACCGACTCACCTGTATTCCCTACTCACCTGGGCTGCACTGGCCTGAATCCCCTACTCACCTGGGCTCCAACTCACCTGGATCCTCTACTCACCTGGGCTGCACCAACCCGAATCCTCGACTCGCCTGAACCCTCGACTCACCTGGGCTGCGCTCACCTCCACTCACGCTGGACACGAGCACGAATGACACAAACTCGGCGCGATCGCCAATCTCACTACCCCCCCCCCGTCCCCTCCCCCAAGATAAACAAACAACGGGCTCCACGACACCTCACCCTCACCGCATTGCCCTTCACTCACCTGTGTCCTCTCTCTCTCCCTCACCTGAACGCAGTTCAAACGGGGCCCAGCCGTTTAACCCCCCCTCCTCCTCCTCCTCCCACCCTCACCCCAAACCCTCACCCCAAACCCTCACCCCAACCCCCACCTCGCGCCTCTCTCCCCTTATCTCGCTGGCTCACATGAGCCCGCATGCACGGCTTTGTGAAAATATGAGCCGCAGAAGGGGGGAGAGCGAGAGAGTAGGTTGGGGGAAGATGGTGGAGAGGCAAGAAAGAGAGCGTATGTGTGTGTGTGTGTGAGCCCGAGAGAGATGGGGCGAGAGAGAATCAGAGAGAGAGAGACAGGGTTGCGTAAGAGATGAGAGAGAGAACAGAGTGGGGGTGGGAGGTGGGGGGGTGTAAATTACTGGGAGAGAAGCGAAAGAGAAGAATGAGAGATAAAGAGGCAGAGAGACGGGAGGGAGATGGGGTGGAGAAACACAACTATGAGAGGAGAGCGAGAGAGAGAGTGAGTTCGGGCGTGTTAGAGGAGGAGGTTGCAGAGAGGGACGTGGGGGGGGGGGAGAAGGACGATCTGGGAGAGAGGAGAGACATGGAGGTGAAAGATGAGAAGGATGGAGAAGGGGAGGAAAGAGAGATGGGAGGGGGAGGAAAGAGAGATGGAGGGAGAGGTAGGGATGGAGAAGGGGAGTCAGGAGAGTTGAGAGTTGAGGTGAGATGTTGAGAAGGGGCACTTTTTAATGTCGCGCTGCGTGTCCCTTTGCAGTGAGTCCGTGACTTCTCTCTGTCCCAGTGAATGTCTCTTCTCTCCCGCATCTCTCTGTCCGCCTCTCCACCCGCTCCCCCCTCCCCCTGTCTCTCTATTTGTTCATCTCTCTGCCTGCGTCTGTCCGAATGTCTGTACGTCTGTCTGTTCTCCGTGTATATCTGTCCATCTTGTCTGCCTGCCTTGTGTCCATTCGTTTCGTCTCTTTGCCTGTCCGTCTCTCCCCCCTATCACTCTCTGTCCGTCTCTCTGCCCGTCCGTCTCTCCCCCTATCTCTCTCTGCCTGCGTCTGTCTGCCTGCGTCTCTCTGCCTGCGTCACCACATGCCTAAACAGCTTTTGTTCGGCCGGATCGAGGGGGCTAAACGGGCGCGGCACGGGCTAGAGAAGAGATGGAGTGATGTGGTACAGGAGGACGTGGAGCTGAGTGGACTTGCCGATGACTGGTACCAGCGGTGTCAAGATCGGCCTCTGTGGAGGAGGCTCGTGAAGGACGCTACTGGGCAGTTGGAGACAGTCGCCCTCCAGCAACAACGGGGGGCGGACGAGCGATGCTCACAACAACGAGTGGAGCACCGGGTGGCTAATGCACAGCAAGTTGGCGCAGTAGGGGGCACAGGTGGTGCATCAGCCAGTCATCTCGGTCATCTCAGTCAGTCGACCCATGGCACCTGGGTCTGCCCCGTGACCTCCTGCCAGCGGGCGTTCGACACTTCACGTGGTGGCCTCAAGGTGCACATGGCCTGGCACAAGCGTCGTGGTGACGTCACCGCCACTTAGTGGCGAATGGCGGTTGTTGTCGTGACCTCTGACTGTCCGTGTCTCCGCGTCCCCGTCTCATCCTCTCTCTGCGCGTGCCTCTCTGCCCTCCCCCCCCCCCAGGCGCGCCGCGCAAGCAGCGTCGCGAGCGCACGACGTTCACGCGCGCGCAGCTCGACATCCTGGAGTCGCTCTTCTCCAAGACGCGCTACCCCGACATCTTCATGCGCGAGGAGGTGGCGCTCAACATCAACCTGCCCGAGTCGCGCGTGCAGGTGCGGGCAGCCGGGCGGGGCAGGGAGAGGGGACGGGAGGGATTGGCAGGAGGTGGGGGCAGAAAGTGTGGTGGGGGGTAGGGGGGCAGGAAGTTGGGGGGGGGGGGAGTAGGATTTGGGAGGGGAGCAAGTATTAGAGGGGGGGGGGGCAGGAAGTGGGGGAGGAGCATGAAGCGGGGTGGGGGAGTAGAAAGTGTAGTGGGGGGGGGCAGGAACAGGGGGGAGGGGAACCACGTGGGACGTTGTCCACCAGGTCGGGCAGCAACTCCGGAGCAAAATTTGGGGGAACGAATGAGAGACAGAATCTGTGTTGGGGGGTGGAGAGGATGGCCAACTTGGGAGTTAATTCTATCCCCCCTCCCCTCTCCTCCCCCCTCTCCCCTCTATTTCCACCGGCATCCCCACAACCTCACGCCCCCCCCCACCATCCCCTCTGCACCGTCGACTCCGCCCCAGGTGTGGTTCAAGAACCGTCGCGCCAAATGCCGCCAGCAACTACAGCAGCAGCAGCAGGGGCAGCAGGGGGGAGGAGGAGGTGGTGGGGGAGGAGGGAGCTCCCAAGCCAAGCCCCGCCCACCTAAGAAGAAGATGTCTCCAATGCGCGAGGCGTCGGGTGATGCTCCTCCACTCTTCCCTTCCTCCTCAGCGGCAGGCAGCGTGGCTCCCGTCAACGGAGGTGGAGGTGTGTTGTCTGCTTCCCTGCTGCGTAGAGTTCTCGTGGTTCTGCGGGACAACTCTCCCTTGGCTCTCCAGTAGCTCTCCCGTAGCCGACTTACAGCTCTGCCTCAGCTCTCCCACAGCTCTCTTATCGCTGTCCAACAACTTAGCCACAGAGTGAGATGACAGGAGAGAAGTAGGAGAGAGAGCGAGCGTGATGATGGGGCGTAGAGCGAGATGAGAGGGGGGAGGTAGGAGAGTTTGTGGAGCGGAGTAGAGTGAGATGGGAGGGGATTGAGTGAGATGGCAGGAGAGTAGCGTGAGATGGGGGGGAGGGAGTGAGATGGGAGGGAGTGAGATGGGAAGTAGGGAGTGAGATGGGAGGAGGTGAGTGAGATGGGGGGAGGGAGTGAGATGGGAGGGAGTATGATGGGAGGGAGTGGGATGGGAGGTAGGGAGTGAGATGGGAGGAGGTGAGTGAAATGGGAGGGAGTGAGTAAGATGGCAGGGGAGGGAGTGAGATGGGAGGGGAGTGAGATGGGAGGGAGGGGGAGGGAGTGAGATGGGAGGGGAGTGAGATTTGAGGGAGTCAGACTAGTGTACAGATTTCCCTCGCTCTGTGCCCGTTCGGTTTGTGCGATGTCGCGCTATATACACAGCCAGCCTATTTGTATCCAACGTTCGCACTCTACGGGTTGAATTCACTGAGATGCAGCTACGCAGTCAGACGTTGCACAACGTACTGTGTGTGCACTGTGTGCGTACGATGTGTACTGTACTGTGTGTGTACTCTGTGTGTGTGTACGATCTGTACTGTACTGTGTGTGTACTCTGTGTGTGTACTGTGGGTGTACTCTACTGTGTGTGTGCACTGTGTGCGTACGATGTGTACTGTACTGTGTGTGTACTCTGTGTGCGTACGATGTGTACTGTGTGTGCACTGTGTGTGTACTGTGGGTGTACTGTGGGTACTTTGCTTCTCGGCAGGCAGTTGTCTCCCCGTGCAGTACATTGTGGGTTAGGCGACTGTGACGTCTACCCCACGTGATTTCACTTTGTGCACCATTTTTTTGGAACGTATCTACTACTACTCCTACCGCATAGAGCGAGAGAAACCTGTATAACGCATACAGACGTCTACCCAACGTCACACGTGTCCCCCCTCTGTCTCTCTCTGTCTCTCTCTGTCGTCACCGTCCCAGGCTCCTCGTCCTCCGCCGCTGCACCCACCGCGACCCCCTGCACCTCCGCCGCTAGCACACCGTGCTCCAGCTCCGGCTCCATCTGGAGCCCCGCCTCCGCATCCCCCCCCTCCATGGAGCCCGCGCCTTGCCCCAACCCCCCCGCTCATCATCATCATCACCAGCAGCACCAGCAGCAGCAGCATCATCAGCAGCAGCAGCAGCAACAGGGCGCTTCCCCAAACTCAACAACGTCTGGGCAGAGGCTGCCCGCTTACGCAACCTCGTTCACTCATCTGCAAACCGCGGCTCATTACATGGGGTGCTCAGCTGGTTCCACGTACGGATCTGGTGGTGGTGGTGGTGCGTATTTTGGTGGTGGTGGTGGTGGTGGTGGCGGTGTGGTGGACCCGTGCGGTGTCGCCATACACGGCCTCTCCGGCGCCTCTCTCAGCCCGCTTATCCAACAACAAAGTCACCATCACCAACATCATCAGCAACATCAGCAGCAGCATCAGCAGCACCAGCAGCAGCAGAATCACAGTAATGGCAGCAGCAGCATCAACCTTCAGCAACACCAGCAAGTGTTGACTCACCACCAGAGCCATCACCACCACCATCAACAGCATCAGCATAATCAGCAACATCATCATCATCAGCAGCATCAAGGGCAGCACCTGCAGACTTTGAGCCCCCTTTGTCAGTCTCCTTCTGCGCTGAGTTTGGGGTCCCCAGGATTCCCAGGCGCTGCTTTTGGGGGTCCTGACCCCTACCTGGGTGACTATAAGGACCCCTCAACTTGGAAACTGGGGTTCGGTGCCCCAGACCCCTACCTGAGTGACTACAAGGAGCAACAGGGACTCACCACGTGGAAGTTCCACGTGCTCTGACGATGAGACGGGCGCGCTGGCCATCGTGTGTGGGGGAGGGGGGGTGGTGGATCGGGCAGAGAATGATCATCTTCGACCGTCCTGCGCGCCGAGACTCCCGTTTTTTGATGGGGCCACGAGATGGTGAAGGCCAAGGTCGAGAAGTCAGCGTGGCCAAAGCCGTCGGTGCCACCACCGCCGCCGCACCTCCTCACTCACCACCAACGCGTCCATCCCCTCTGGCAGTTCCAACAGCTCCTCTCTACGGTCGACACACGGCTAGCTCCCAGACCGTCAACCCACCGTCATCTCCCCTCCCAAGGTCTTCTCTTCCTCGCTTGCTTTGCCGGACTCGTGGAGTGCCCATCTCAGCGGTCGGCTCCCCGGCTTCGTCCCAGTCACGCGCGCGCGTGTGCCGTCCAGCGGAACCGTTTTTGAAATGTTTTGTTTATTCTTCCAAAAAAATCGTATTTGAGTCAGCTACCTGCCACCTTCTCTGCTCGAATGCAGCATTTTCAATTCCTAGCACCCGTCTCGGACGCCCGTGCTCAAACGCAAGCAGTACATAGACGCGATTGTTGAATCTATCTGTGCGGAGTCCGGAGTCCTCCCCCGCCACTCGTATAACATGCATGGTGGAGTTTCTCCGGCTCTGCGGTTTCCTTCCCAGGAAGCAAAGAGACTCCGTATTTTAAAAATGGAGTCTTGAGTCTCGGCGAGGCTTTGCCGTGTAAAGTACATTTATGACGCGCGCTGCGTATGGGTTTAGATTCGTTACCCGTCTACGGTTCATGATCATCGCCTGTGGCATGATAAGTGGACGAACTTGACCCCAGGGCAACCTCTAGGTCGACTCGGCCCAACATTTGTACAGCAGTACCTTGTGCCGCGGCGGGTGCGGTTGCCGAAACTTCGGCGACACTGGAAAGACAAAGACGGTCGGGCGTGTTTGCAAATATGGTGCTGACCCGATAACACACCACCCATCGTGATATATATTGTTAGCAGTACCGACCTTAATAGGTGCTCGCTAACAGCACTTGCCAACAGTATTATTTTTTGAAACATCTCGACTATGAGTTTGGTCGCTTCTAAGGGTAAACATTGTGAGTCTGTGTTCGTGAGTCCGACACGTCAATGTAAACATATTCAGTAAGTAGTGCGATGCACTAACCTTTACCTTACACGGTACATAATTACATTATTCACTTGCCAACCCTATGGATTTTAAGGGGTAAGCTGCCGATTTTTTCATCCTTTTACCACGAAAGGCCAGATGCTGCCACGGTGGGATATTGGCCCACACAGCGGACTTGCAGTCCACAGAAAGCGCTCAGGTTCAATTCTATCTCCCGGCGCGGCAACTGAAACAATGGGGGCGAGTTTCTTAAATCTCCTCGCCCCCCCCCCCCACGCTCTCTCTGCCTCCCGCCCCCCTTCCCCCAGCCCCCCTCGTCTATCTGCACAGCAGTAGAAATGTGTTGTGTGTACGTACGTAGAACTTCTTTCGCAACGTACGTAGCCAACCGTGCTAATCCGAGGTGCGGGGTGGGGACGACAACAAACGATCATCGACTATCAGTGGTGAACCCATTGTTAGTGGTGAACCCATTGTTAGTGGTGAACCCACTGAACCCATTGTCAGTGGTGAACCCATTGTTAGTGGTGAACCCATTGTTAGTGGTGAACCCATTGAACCCATTGTCAGTGGTGAACCCATTGTTAGTGGTGAACCCACGAAACCCATTGTCAGTGGTGAACCCATTGTTAGTGGTGAACCCACTGAACTCATTGTTAGTGGTGAACCCACTAAACCCATTGCCAGAGGTGAACCCACTGTTCGTCGATGATCATTGTTTGAAAAATCATATTAGTTTGGCAGGAAGGGAAAAACAATGGGGTTACAAGTGGGCAGACGGAACCGCTTACACCTGTACGGTTGGCAAGTTCGTATGGTGAACATAGTCATAATAATAATATAATAGTCTGTGTATAATGATTAATTGTGTTCACGCTACAGTGGAGCCAGATTATATATATGTGTGTGTGTACGCTGTATGCGACGCGGTTTGTACAATACGTCTATAGACTATCGATATAAGACAAACGCCAACGTTAAGTTGAGCACCAAGTCTTAAACATTCCGATTATTATTGTTGTATTAAATATTATTATTTATTTATTCTAGGGTAGACGATGCCTCCTCCGTCCGTCGTCACGAAAACAATCGACGGGCGTCATCATCGATTAATGGGTTACTTGACATCGATTCTCAGTTTCACCGAGCGGGCGCAAAAACTCGGGCCCCCCCCCCCCCGCGTCCGTATTCTGGGGTCACGACCTCGGCACTGGCACGGCTCCTGCTCGGGCTCAACGGAGCCACCACAGCTCAAAGCCACGCGCTTGGCTTGAGCCGTGGTGCCGGCCTTGAGTTGCAACACTCTGAGCAGCACCCCTCCCTCCCCACCGTGTGCCCTTCACTGTGTCTCTCTCTCTGCATGGTCCCAGACGCATAGCTGTTACCCCATACGATTTACCGCGTATTCTTGTCCAGGGAAATTGAATTTTTAAGTCCATATGGTGTATATTCGTTTCGATCCGGGCACATTTTTGCGTCTCTTTGTTTGTGTTTCTCTCCTTGTGATGGGACTTTGTAGGATGAACGTTGAGATTTATAAGGACACAGGGTAACCAATACGGTCTAAATTGGTCTGTAATAAGGTAGGGCACTGATGAGGGGGTTGACACCGATGCACACGTGCCCAGCATTTCCCATGAGCCGAGCCGTGGTGGCCGAGCCGCTCACTCACGCGGTGTTTGGAAGCTCCCCGAGCCGGCTCAAGACTCGAGCCGGCTCAAGTCTCGAGCCGAGCCCAAGCCGCGTTTGAGGCCGAGCCAGAGGCCGAGCCAGAGCTAGAGCCTGAACCGAGACCCCTCTGTCTGTTTATCGACACGTGGGTTGCTGCTGCTGCTGCTGCGGAATGTAATTGGTTGGTGTGACCCCCAGCAGCCACGAGATGCCGCTACATGCACAGTAGTGTTAGTTCAATATGATGTATTGAAAATTCCCGGGTATTCTGCGGATTGTAACACGAGATGCTGCGGAGGAGAATAAGACGCACACCAGCCCCAGACTTCAAAAATAGCATGTTTAAAAGTGCGTCTTGTACTCCGCTCCCCATTGTGAACCCATTGCGTGGTTACGCTATTCGGCATGGGCTGCTGATGGACTGGATCAGGGGGAGGTTCACAACGGCCGCATCGGAGCCACCGATCCCAGCGCGGATGGGTTCGTAAATCCCGGTTCTCGAGTGTGGCGATGTGAATTGGTCTCGGCGTGGTCACCAACGACTGCACAACGTAAAATAAAGTTTGTTTTTAGCAAAAAGAACATTAGTTTATTGAGTACAATATCTCTGGTTCTCTTGTTTCTTGTAATGTGAGTACTAATTTACATTCATTTATCGGCCCTCTACTGGACACTTGGGCGCTCTCCACGCAGTGTCGGTCATAGGGGTCGTTTTGACCATACTTCACCACGCTGGCCAATGCGGGTTGCAAAACTCGCTCAACCACTGACGTTAAGCCGTGGCCAAGAATCGAAGTCAAGTGCCCCATTTAAATAAAAAAAAATCTCTTTACCCAGTAAAGCTTCGCTGAAACTCAAGACAATTTTTCATGAGCACCCGGAAAAAACCCAGCACTCGTCATACCAGGGGATAACACTAAAAGCGCCGCACATATGGATTCAATAATCCATTACTGTACTGCCATCGTCTTAACCTAATTCTACTGAACCCGTTTAGTCATTACGCGCTACACGCGCCGAATGATTAGCTAAACTCGCACGTATTACCTGACGTGATGGGTGCTAATACATTTCATTCGTTTCTGGTCGTCTGTATGCGTGTTGAACTTCTTTCGCACCGTACGTAGCCAACCGTGCTAGTGGGAGTTGCCAACCGTGCCAATCGTGACATCGGGCCGGGCCGGTCGTGGCAAAAGCACGTGGCCTCTATCTTCTAAAGTCACGTAGAAAGGAAGTAATAAAATAATAATAAGAATAATAATAAAAAATAATATACAAAAAAATAATAATAAAACATAATAAATAATTCTCGTTGTGGCCGAAACATCGTGAGAATTATTTTATTATGTTTTATTTTTATTATTTTATTACTTCCCTTCTACGTGACTTTACCGAAAGAACCAAGAAGATGAATCCCTGCAGTCACGAAAGCTTTAAATCGTGGCCTCTACTCCAGCATTGTGAAGGCAGCAGCGAGGGTTGGTGGATGTCACCCACACACAACAACAACAACTCCCACGACGTGAAACTCCCCTTCCCGTGGGGCGTCCAGGTGGGTGAAGGCGAATTGCCCGATGATGCTGGATGCAATTACCAGCGAAACGTCGTACAACTCAAATTGTAAATGTTGTGGTTTCACGCATCAACACACCGGTGGGCTAAAGCAGTGAACTATTTGTCTTTTATCAACGTGACACTTTTTTACTGATTGGCCGTGTCGGGTGGTGGAGGGTTACGACACATTTATAAATAACGCGATCTAAACCCAAAAAGTTGATGATGAACGCGGAACCCGCCTGTTCCATCTGTATGGGATATACAGGGTGCTTCAACATTTTTTTTTAAACACCTATATGCGACTATCGTTTTTAATGGAAAAAGAACGGATGTTAATAGCTTCATAAACTCAAAGAGTTTGTTCGCCGTCATCGTCAACACGTGCCAGGAATCTTCCCGAGGTGGCCTCCAGAGCCCGGAGGCGGTACATTTCTCGTGGTATTGTTGCAAAATTTTTAGAAGTGTTACAAACATTTTTGCAGCACCCCCTGTAAGTGTTGCTTCCCTCCGCGCACCCATTGTGAATCTGCCCACAACACCTTCATACATCGAGGACCGCAGAGCTCGGGCAATTGTTGGATGCGCGCCGGAGCCTCGCCGCGTGGCTAGCTGCTGCCTTCCGGATCGTCTGTGGATCATCCTCCTCCTCCTCTGGCGTCTCTGAGTGGCCCTCTCTCCATCCCTCTCTCTCAGAGAGAGCGAATATGGTGCGACGGCGGCGGCGGCGCGTTACGAGCCGCCGTTGCGATTCATTTTGCAGCTCCTCGCTCGTGCCATTAATTGACTCGTCTCCCGTGTTGTCGTGGAAACGCCTCGGTCATTAAACACTCGCTCGCAGCTGTTGGCGATTCCCTCGAGAGAGGCGTTGATTTGATTGAGTGATTAATTTGTTCACTAAATAAATAACGCCTGCTTCCCCGCATTTGTCTTTCCACAATAAAAAAAAACATTTTGTTTAAACATCCCATCGAACGCACGGGCCTTCTGGGATGTGCATCTTATCAGCAGCGGTGGCTCAACGCAAGGTAACACTCTGGACCGGTTTTCGACTTTCGGTGTCTCATCAGCAGCGTCACGGTTGCTTGAACCTCTACTGGGGACTTGCCAGGTGTTTGTAGGCATGGACCCTCTCCTTCAGACGTGGGTCCTCGTCCGAGGCACGGAGGCAAAACTCGACAGTACTCGGCACAAGATCATTAATTTTTCGATTTAAAGCTTTCGTGACTGCAGGGATTCATCTTCTTGGTTCTTTCGGTAAAGTCACGTAGAAGGGAATAATAAAATAATAAAAATAAAACATAATAAAATATTTCTCACGACGTTTCGGCCACAACGCAAGTAGCCGTCCTCATTACTTCCCTTCTACGTGACTTTACCGAAGAACCAAGAATATCATTAATGTTCAATGTCGACAATGTTAAAAACGTCACATTTTTTTGACTAATTAGTGTGGGGATGGGGGGGAGTGATCAAATGTCGTCATCTGATTGGTTAATTGGTGCTTCGTTAATTGGCGAGGTCTCCTCATCTGCGAACCCGGGAGGAGCCCACGACCTCACGAGATGGGAGTCAATCCCGGGTCTTCGGAGCTCTCAGGCCGGCGAGCGCGGGGAGCCACTGGACGGGGGTGAGTTGCTGCGTTGAGCTGCTGAAGCGCGCTAACATCGCAGGTGAAACTCAGTGTAACGTAAAAAAAAAACACAAGCATCGTTTGTGTTGTCACAGCGGCGGCCAAAGAACAGAATGTGAACCCCGCAATCGATTAAATCGTCCCGTGTGGATTGTTGTATCGACAAGACCGCGAGATAAGGCGACGGCGTGGGCAGACTTTCATGCAACAGCAGTGGAAAGATAGATCATGGCTGACGAGGAAGGGATGGTGTCACGGCGAATGCGGTGGAGTTTCAGGATACATTTCTAGGGGGCGATGATTAAACACATTCCTGCGGAGGGAGCTGGTAGGAACGTTGGGTTGCTCGGTCAATGGGCAGGGTCAACGACGGCGTGGTGTATTCCGCAAATATGGCAGACTGTGAGGGCGGGCACAAGCCGGCGTGAGTAGGTTAAACGTTGAGTTTTATAAGGGCACCACGGGGTGACCAGCCCCTCCCCACCCAGCCCCACCCCTCCCCACCCAGCCCCACCCCACCCAGCCCCACCCCTCCCTCCCACTCCCCACCCAGCCTCTCCCCACCCAGCCTCTCCCCACCCAGCCCCTCCACCCAGCCCCTCCCCACCCAGCCCCACCCCTCCCTCCCACTCCCCACACAGCCCCTCCCCACCCAGCCTCTCCCCACCCTCCCCTCCACCCAGCCCCACCCCTCCCTCCCTCCCACCCCCCACCCAGCCCCACCCTCCCTCCCCACCCAGCCCCTCCCCTCCCCACCCAGCCTCTCCCCACCCAGCTCCTCCCCACCCTCCCCTCTCCACCCAGCCCACCCCTCCCATTTTTGGATGCACGACGGACGGACACAATAACCCCCTGTGGGCTGGTGTAACCAGGAGGCTCCTACCAGTACTATGCAGATTGACTTTCCAACACACCGGTGTGCTGAAATCTTGACTTAAAGCTTTCGTGACTGCAGGAATTCATACTCTTAGGGTCTTTCGGCAAAGTCACGTGGATAGAAAAATAATAAAATAATAAATTACGACGTTTCGCTCGCAACACAAGCAATCGTCTTCAGGTGAAAAAAACAGCAGGCGGACTGCTGAGGCAGCAAGAAATAACGCGAGAGAGCTACTGCAGCCAAAGGTTATATCGGTTTGAGACGGGTACAATCCAAGGGTAAGTGGGCGGGGCTAGAGATGGAATTTGCAAGTGTGTGCTGAAGTTATAACTAATTGACACGTTTTGTTTACGTGACAACCCTTACTTAATTGGCTGTGTCGAGCGGTGGTGGGTTAACGACACATTTGTATTTACGCGATCTAACCGCCCCCTCCCCTCTTATTATGGAATACTTATAATTGGTCGCGAAAGCCTCAGACTACAACGTGGTTAACTTCCTAAAGTGTGCGTGTGCTGTCACCTGGCGGCTACACTGGGAACCCCCCACCCGCCACCACCAGCAGAGTTGGGGACGTACCTGGGCAGTCAGTGGGTTTGTCATGGTTTCAAGTGCACTTGTAACCAGGTGAGAACTCAAGAGGCCCAGGATGGTCTCCATTTGAAAGAGTGACCTGGTGTAATATCTGCCACGAGGGAGGCGATGATTACTATGTACGGCAAGCCCTCGTTTAACGCGGTAGATACGTTCCTGAAAAGTGCCTGTATATTGTGTTGACGATAAACTTCGGCGAGATACGATGTACTACTATGCAGATTTGAAGCTTTCGTGACTGCAAGGATTCATACTCTTTGGTTTTTTCGGTAATATAAGAATAACAAAAGGCTGCTTAATCTTAGCTTTCTTATCTACTTCCGCCCCCTGCATCACAAAGCTTCAGTTTGAACTCCATGCGTTGCCTCCCAGCGTCCGTTGCTTTCACGTTGCCTCCCAGTCCACAGCACGCCCACACACTCACCATGGTCCCCCCCTCCCTCCATCCCCCGCGACTATATAATTCCTCGTCACAGCCATCTCTTAGACACACTAAAGTGGTTGTGCTTTCGCTACGTTGCCCCCACCTGAAGGACGCTTGTGTTGCGCCCAAAACTTCGTGATTTCATTTAGTTTTCATTTATTTTTTACCTACGTGACTTTACCGAAAAAACCAAAGAGTACTACTATGCACACACAGTGAAATGGCTGGACAGGTACGCCACTGCGTGATCGTATCATTGCGCGTACTGTTATCGCTCCTCTCAGCCACGCGGCGACTCGTCTTCGACCGCTCAGAAACCGCGTGATAACGGAGCGCGTTCCACTTTCGGCAAAAAATATATTCCCGAATGGAAAAACCGCGTTTGCAGCGAAAATGCGTTGTGTGAACACGCGTTAAGCGACGACTTGTCGTACGTATAATGGCAATTTAGTCATTGAGGTGGACAGATGGAGTGATGCTTGCTCGTAGTCAAGTCAACACGTGGTTGTTGACTACGTTGTGGGAAATAGAGGGGAAGCAAAACAAACATTCTTAAAATCCCAGAAACTCAACAGCACCAGTTTCAGAATACAAACTTATCTTTATTTAAGTATGCTTGTCGGTTATACAATACAATGTGTGCAATCGTCTGCCCCTTCCATCAGCCCACTTTCTTTGCCCTGAAATTACCGTTTCTTTCAATACGTTAATACAAAGGTGCATAGCTGGTGCAGTCTGGTACGTGCAAGTGCGGTTTTGTATTGGCTACTTGTACCCGTGTTCAGCGACAAGGTGTTTGATTGCCCGCAATGTGGGAGTGGTGGCAGAGTGGTCATCACTTAGCGCACTGCGCCACAAGTCCAGCCACTAAAGTTCGATTCCCGGACATGGATAACATTTTGCGTGCGACTGCCATCTGAACCGGTCCTGTGCCTCACCCCTCCTCCCCTTTGACGAACTTGCACTGACCAGCGTTAAGTATGTTCAAGTATGACCGTTTGGTTTTTGTAACTGCATGATTACGTTGGCGCACCTGTGTGTATGCTCAGTTTCCTAACAGACATCTCATCCGAAGCATTATTAAACCGACGGAATATACATGGGCATTGACGTGAATAATTGCAGAAGCAGCGGTAAGTACAAATACTGTGGTGGTCCCTATCGGCAGGTCCCCTGCGCAGGACGTCAAGTGCTGCAGTGAAGTGGCAGCGATGCACACGCGCGTGTGATCCAGCGCTTTGGAGGCGGTGAGGGTTGACGGATCAGAGGGGCCCACGAGCGAGGTGACCAGTGCTGCGGCAGTACAGAAAGTGGGTTCGCAATCCCGCCTGCGGGTACTCTCGAACGTCACCACCCCCACCCCCCCACGTGCGTGTCGTGGGTCTTCTCTGGGAGGTTTCCTCCCAGACGAAGCACTCATTGTTTAAAAATTATATGCGTGAGAACCCCACAAGCAGGCAGCACAGCAAGTAGTTTAGATTATTACCTATGCAGCTGAGATTTAAGTATTTCATGGAGTTTCTCTGGGCACTGTAGGCGTCTTCCAAAAACACAAGACAAGAATTGGGCCAAACATCCCAAGGTAGCAGGACCCTCCTGAAAACGAGTGTTGAGACTCAGCGAGGGCTTTCCTGGGTAAACAAATGCATATTACTCTCGAGTTCCCAACAGCAGTACACTTTGAGAACCCAGCCCTAATCGGACAGCTACATGAGTAACTAAGATATAGTATCATACATGAGGGATAAGATATTATAAATGTAGTTACGTATAGGTACACGTGTGTGTGTATAACTGGGTGATCTGACCTCCGACCCCCAGGAACAGGTTAGCTGAGCATTTCTGAGGTCTTCGGGGAGGGGAAATTCCTTGGCCCAGAAAACATAGGGCAAAGTGGGAATAGCCCTGCTGAGACTGCGGTGCCTCAAATATTGTAAGTAGTCACCCCTCCGAGTGAGATTCCATCTGTTGAGGAAGTATGGAAGGCGATCCAGAGTCCGAGACCAGGAAAAGTGCCAGGCAAAGATGATCTCCCAAGCAAACTAAGGGTGGCGTTTGTGTGCGGCCTGTCCTATATGACATCATTATAAGTCTGGACGACTGAACGGGTCTCGCAGGATTGGAAGGATGCCCTGGTGGTCCCTCTCTTTAAGGGGGGCCGCACAGACTGTAATAACTGCAGGGGCATCTCCCTCCTCTGTGCCGAGAAAGGTACTGGCAAGGATCTTTCAACACCGCCTTGCCAAACACACTGGGTCTTTTCAGCCAATCGTGCCCTCCCCCTTCTCTATCCTTTGTGAAAAGTGGACCCCCCCTAATTGAACATCTACACCAGTTAGAAACATTCAGGCTGGCCTGCCTACGATCCATCCTTGGTTTAACCAGGCTGGATTGTGTGAACTCCTCCGGCAGGCAAGGCTGTGTGATCTGGGTCATGTTGTCCACATGCCCAGCCACTGCATGCCCAAACAGCTTTTTTTCAGCTGGAGAGAGGGGACTAAACAGGCGCGGCACGGGCTAGAGACATGATGGAATGATGTGGTACAAGAGGAATATGGAGCTGAGTGGACTTGCCAATAACTGGTGCCAGCAGTGTCAAGATCGGCCTCTGTGAAGGAGGCTCGTGAAGGACACGACTGGGCAGTTGGAGGAAGTCGCCCTCCATCGGCAACGGAGCGCAGAGGAGCGATGCTCGCAACAAGCGAAAACGCCAGGCGGCTAAAACAGTCGGGGGCACGGGTGGTGCATCTGCCAGTCATCTCAGTCAGTCAACCCATGGCACCTGAGTCTGTCCCGTGACCTGCCAGCAGCTGTTCGACATTTCACGTGGTCTTAAAGTGCACATAGCCTGGCACAAGCGCCGTGGTGACATCACCGCCACTTAGTGGCAAATGGCGGTTGTTGTTGGGTAAAGAAGCAGCCCTGCAATGTGTTTCTCACGCCACTGCTGGCAAAAGGGCCTCCACTAGAGGTAGCTCTAGCGAGCCCCTCGATGAGGGTATTTTGGCCTCCTCTTCCACGCTGGCCAGTACGTTTCGGAAGAGGTGGGTGTACCCACACTTTACCCCACGCGTGTGTGTACGTGTGTTTTGTGTGTGTATAATATATGTATATATACGTGTGATCGGGTCTATAAAGCGTTGTCTATCGCCAGCAACTCTACTCCATCCCGCTCTCTCAACGTTAGTCCTTCCTTGCGATGCCGTCGACAGCCATGTTGAGGGCGGCTGCGCGGAACCAGCTGTTCTCTCAGTCCGCCAACCCCTCCCCCTCCCCCAGCTGGGGCCCCACCCCCCGGCCAGTCCCCTCCCACTCCTTCCACCTCCCTGCCTTCCGCAAGGGCGCTCTACCAATTGTCCAGGAAGTCAAAGCCGGACTTGATTGGAACACCACCGCTGGTTCCAGGAGACTGCTGCGGGGCAGGGGGGGCGGATGGTGGGGGGAAAGAGTGAAGGAGAGAGATGTGGAGACACAAGCGTGACGTGAGTCTGCACACAGTTAAGAACAATAATTTCAACTTGTAACGCGCTGCACAGTATTCACTCTCTCTCTGGAAGAGAGAATGATTTCAAGAGGTGTGATGAACCACAGATGAGTGGAAAAGGCAGCCACGCTGTAAGCCAGCACCAGACATTGCCCAAGCTCTGCAGTCTTCTATAGTATAAGGTGTTTTCGGCCAAATAAATTCGCGTTTTAAATGGTAGGGAAATGCACCAGAGAAAACCCATGGGTGGGGGGGGGGCAACACTCAGATGAAAGAGATGGGGAGTCCACATTTTGCTGTACCACCTCCTCCTGGTAAACTAGGATACGGCACCACGACAGCCCTGGAAAGGGCGTTTCACAACATTTGCGTGATCCGCCAACTCCCACTTCCACGGTGCTGGATTACAGGCGTGTGCCACTAGCGACCCTAACATGAGACCCAGGGGCGGTGGCCAGGTGGCTCGGAGGTCAGGGTGCTGAATAATTGTTACGTACCTTTTTAGATGCACATCATATCCACAATAACAATTTTGTCTTTTTTGAACCGTGTCTTCAAATTGTCATCCACACCTTTTATTAATTCTCTCCCATGTGTTTGCAGGTTTTACCGCATGCTGTCTGCCATGATGTCCGACGTTTCTCTCCACGTGCAGGGAGCTTCTTCCAAAACGGAATACTCGTTTCCCGAAGAAGCTCCCAGCACGTGGAGCGAAATGTTAAATATCACACCGATACAACACGTGGCACAAGCTGGAAACACTTCCAGAGAGCTCTACAGCAAAAACTGTGAAAACAGATGCAGTAAAAATGTAATCGCTCAATCCAATCGTTCATTCTGTCCATTCTATCTCTCTATCTAATCATTCACTCCATGGGTTACCTGGCTGTGCCCCACGGGGCTGGTGAACAACTCGTCCTTGTCGGCGCTGGCCGGCAGCAGGGGCGTGGCGACGGTGATGGCGGAGGCGACGGGCGGCGGTGTTCGAGCGACGCTCGGTGCCGGCCTGCTTGCCGCGGCTCGCTCCAGCATCCACGGCACCGCCGCCGCTGCCGCTGATGCCGCTGATGCCGCCGGAGGAGGAAACGATGATGATGACGGAGGAGATGATGATGATGGCAACGGCGCAAACACCGATTCGTCTGGCTCCGACACGAACGCACTGCGTAGAGAGGGGTTGGGGGAGGGGTCACGGACAGCGCGCACGTCAGGTTCGGACAAAATATTACAGCGGTGTCGGCGGTGGTAATGGTGGCGATTGTGGTGATGGTGGCGGCAGTAGTGCTGTCTCACCGATGCGCTGTGTCGGCCATCGAGCTGTAGGATGCCCCGGGCGAGGGCGGTGGGGGTTTGCGTGCTACAGGGGGCGGGTCCCCGGATCGGGAGGCCGCCGGCCCGGCCCTGGGGTCGTAGGAGCGGCTCGCCGAATCGTGCCTCCGGTATGGCGAGCTCAGCCTCTCCGCCGGGGTTAACGCTGCCCCAGATCCCGGTCCGGTTCCAGCCGTGGTGGCAGCAGCCGCCCCTGCCGGCTTCCCCCTCTCCGCGGACAATTTCCACGGTGCGGCAGCCGGCCCCACCGCCGTCTCGTCGGCGCCAGCTTCCTCCACTCTTCGCAGGACCCCCGGGAAGGGCCCCGTGTTCACCACGTGAGCCTCCCGGCCACCGGCCTGGCCCTTGCCGGCCCTGCCGCCCGCCGGCGTGGCGGTACCGTTGGCCGTGGCAGCCGCCGATGTGGCGGCGCCGGCGTGGCCCAGGCTGGAGTCGGGACGGGGCTGGGAGCTGGATCCGGGCTCCAGGTCGCTGAGCGAGAACTCCAGCTGGCTCTGATGAGGGCGTCAGTGGTGGCGGTAACGAGACTTTGTCAGTGATGTGGAGGGAATTTATTTTGAGAAACACACTTTTATTAACATTAGTTTCAGGATTCAACAACAAGGATTCACGAAACTTTGCTGGCAGTAGGGCACGAGCACAAATAACAAAAACTGAACAGTGGCATGTGGCCCTACAAGGGGGGGTGGAATCTAAATCGGTTACAAATCAGCCAAGTGGCTTTTGTTCAAAGCAAGGTGGCTCAAAGAGCTGAGCTGGTACCATTTGAGATCTTGGGTTTGAATTCTGGTAAGGTCCCAACCTAGCCACCAATGTCTGCACAGCCTGGCCAGATGATGAACAAAGTGGCACAGTGATGGTGGTTTTGCTTGGGTCACAGTCAAGGGGCAAAACTCACCTTGGTTTCCCAGGAAAATGGAGCGGAATGCTCATCCTGCCACTTGATGTCCTGGAATAAAATACAGTCATGTTTACATGATCACTATCACAGAAATTCTATTATCGTATGAACCCACTATGCCACTTCACGATATTATTCACACCACCACAACTGTAACCTTAGCAGCATCTCTTCACCCCATCACTCCCACGCTCATTGCCACAACTACCTTCACATCCTAATCGCATCGCCGGAATGCACCCTATGATCGCCACTAACTTAACGTCACCGCTCATCACCAACACACCATGGCTACCAACATGACATCATCACCACACCCATCACAGACAACGTGCCATCACCACCAAAGACAAGGTTAGCCTTTAAACAGACCACCGCAGGACTAACGTGAAAGACGAAATATGTGAACACGGGTTACCCCAGGGCCCAGGTTAAACGAACGCCGATCGTCTTTTTCTCGTTACTGCAGTTGCAGTCTTGACCTCCACACTGCCAACAAGACCCCCATTGCCCCCATCACATTTAACAACAACCACCACCATCACCACCGTTCGCTACAGAATTACGGTGATGTCACCACGGCGCTTGTGCCAGACTTGGGTGCACCTTGAGGCCACCACCTCAAGTGTGGTCGGCTCGCAGGGCACGGGACAGACACCCAGACGTTATGCATTCACTGCCTGGATGTCGAACTTCATTCGCACCACCGTACACAGCCCGAGGCGATTGTCATTCCAATCACCACCACCAACCACCATCATCATAACACGCCCGTCTCTTCCCACAACGACTCACATCTTCCCCAAAGTGCACCGTCTTCTGGCCGGGCTGTATCAGCAGCTTGGGGTAACACGAAGCCAGCGGCGACGGCGACGAAGACGACGAAGACGTCGATGGCGACGCGGGCCGAGCGCCGAGAAGATGAAGCCGCGTCTCGTACCGCGCCCGGGCCTCGGCTCTGATGAGGGCCGCGTCGATCGCCGCCTCCCGCTGGGCCTCGGGCAGCCGCTCCCACGCGGAGCCGTGGCTCTCCCGCACCTTCTCGATCTCCGCCACGATCTTGCGCGCCATGGGGTTCAGCGACGCGAAGTAGACCGCCGCCTTCTCCTCCATGGCGGCTGTCGGTGGAGGAGGGCGGAGGGAGAGAGACGGTGGTGGTGGCTGGGGTTGTCGATAAAGTTGTTTTGATACGAAGGAGGTGGTGGTGGGTGGGGTTGTCGATAAAGTTGTTTCGATACGAGAGAGACGGTGGTGGTGGCTGGGGTTGTCGATAAAGTTGTTTTGAGGTGGTGGTGGGTGGAGTTGTCGATAAAGTTGTTTCGATACGAGAGAGACGGTGGTGGTGGCTGGGGTTGTCGATAAAGTTGTTTTGATACGAAGGAGGTGGTGGTGGGTGGGGTTGTCGATAAAGTTGTTTCGATACGAGAGAGACGGTGGTGGTGGCTGGGGTTGTCGATAAAGTTGTTTTGATATGAAGGCGGTAGTGGCTGGGGTTGTCGATAAAGTTGTTTTGATACGAGAGAGACGGTGGTGGTGGCTGGGGTTGTCGATAAAGTTGTTTTGATACGAAGGAGGTGGTTGGTGGATGGGGTTGTCGATAAAGTTGTTTCGAGACGATGGCGGTGGCTGGGGTTGTCGATAAAGTTGTTTTGATAAGGAGGTGGTGGTGGGTGGAGTTGTCAATAAAGTTGTTTTGATACGAAGGAGACGGTGGTGGTTGGGGTTGTCGATAAAGTTGTTTTGATACGAAGGAGACGGCGGTGGTGGGTGGGGTTGTCGATAAAGTTATTTCGATACGAGGCAGACGGCGGTGCTGGCTGGGGTTGTCAATAAAGTTATTTCGATACGAAGGAGACGGCGGTGCTGGCTGGGGTTGTCAATAAAGTTGTTTTGATATGGACACTGTTACAACGAGGCCATGTGACTGTCCCCTATTCAGACTTCAAGTTATCCGCGTGCTGTCGATAATTAAATGGTAACGTGCGATTTCGTTGAGGGGCTGTGTGGTGTCGTCTCGGTGTGTTGGTTGCGACTGATTTTTGTTTATGGTTTCCTGCCTTGCCCAAGCTTGCATTCTACCTGTAGTTGTTGACAAATCGGCAGGATTTAACGTACTTATGCAATTTGCACTCGTATACAGTACTTTATTGACATTAAAAAACTAAAACGTGACTTGCTTAACGCCATTCTGTTTTGCAATCTTGTCGAGTTATTGTTATATTGATGTAAAACCTGTTGATCCGCCCCTAGTGGAACGTATGAGAAATAAATATTCTGAAGTCTATCGAGCAATGGACCGTTAATATTTCAAGGATCCATTCCCTGGTTCATATGAAATCAAGTCGTAACTTTATCTATAACCACACTCACAAGTCGACGGTGGTTATCGACGTGAATATTCGATTATAATCCATTGGAATTGATCGCCCGCGATGCCATTCGTCGATGAGCAGCGCGTGTCGATGCCGGCTATGACGTCACGCGCTTAGGGCACGTGACGACCTTCGTCGACGCCATTCATTTACGGCACGCGGGCCCACCCCTCCCCTCCCCCCACAAGCTCGTCGCAAACTGTCGTAAATTCGTCGTAAAAGCGACCCCCCCCCCCCCGCATTGTCCGTTACGGCAATTTTGCGGGCGGGGCCGGATCATGAAAAAAAGGGGGGGGGGTGTGGACTAGAGGGGCGGGGTTCCGGTAGGGGGCGGGGCTAGTGGGGTGGGGGAGGAGCTTACCTCACCCCCCCCACCCCTCTCTCCCCCAAAAACCGCCACTCAACAAAACCCTAACACGCTCGCGCTTGTCGCCCATTGGCCAACCGCAGCGCGCGCCGCTGGACTAGAGGGGCGGGGTTCCGGTAGAGGGGCGGGGTTCCGGTAGAGGGGGCGGGGCTAGTGATGTGGGGTAGGGGGGGAGGAGCTCACCCCCCACCCTCTCTCCCCCAAAACCGCCGCTCAACAAAACCCTAACACGCATCGGCTCGCGCTTGCCGCCCATTGGCCAACCGCGGCGCGCGCCGCTCTTAGCCGCTCGCTGATTGGCCGCACGCCGTCGTCGGCCCCGACCGCTCGCGAGGCTCGTTGCGGCCCGCGGGGCTTATCCGCTGTAGGGATTCTAAACGCGAGGCTCTCCGCGCTCAGGCGGGAGGCGGCGGCTGCTGCTGTCGCCGTCCCTGGGCCGAGGTCTCCTCCCTGGCGCACAACTCCCTCGCCTCGCCTCCTCCTACTCCTCCTCCCCCTCGCTCAATCAACGATCCACTCATTTAATAGCGTTTCTAGTGGACCCATCAGCGCTGTACGGTTGTAGTTGGCGACAGCGGTCGGCCGCGGAGGTGCGGTGCGGCAAGGCCGCGATGGAGGAGCCGAGGCCCTCGGGCCCAGCGGACCCGGGACTGTCGCTCTCCCCGTCGCTCTCCCCGTCGCTGCCCCCGTGCTGCTCGCCCTACGCCGCCGCTGCCCCCTGCTGCGCCGCCCCGTGCCCGTGCTGCTGCGCGGTGGATGGCGGCTGCGGGACCTTGGTCGCCTTTGCGGGGAATGGAGAAGGTGGCGGTGGTTGCTGTGATGGTGGCGGTGGTGGTGGTGGGTGTTGTGATGGTGAAGATGGTGGTGGTGGTGGAGTTGATGGGGTAGGAGATGGTGGTGATGGTTGTGAAGATGGTGGTGGTGGTGGTGGCTGTGACGTCAATGATGGTGGAGTGGTCAGGAGTGGTGCTGGTTGTTGTGATGGTCGTGATGGTGGTAGCGGTGGTGGTTGTTGCGATGTCATTGATGGCGATGGTAGCGCGGTCAGAAGCGGTGGCTGTTGCGATGTCAGTGACGGTGGTGAATGTCGAGTGGTCAGAAGTGGTGGTGAGAGCGGTGGAAGTTGCTGTGGTGGCGATGACGATGATGTCATCACCGCCCGTGGGGAGAGCCGACGGTACCGCCTCCAGCAGCATCACCACCAACACCAACATCACCACCAACAGCACCACCAACACCACCAGCAGCACCACCATCAACAGCACAAACGCCGCGGCCTGAACGGCTGCGTACCAGGGGCGGACAGCAGCTGGCACAAGAGCGACGAGGCCTGCGTCACCGGGCCAGCCATGTGCGCGCATGGCGACCCGAGGGAAAACCACCACCATGCCGGCTATAACCACGACCACGAGAATCACATTGACAACCACGGCGGCGGTGTTGGTGGTGGTGGTGTTGGTGGTGGGGCGAGGACTGAGCGGGCCGGGTCTCTGGAGATGCGGCTGACGCGATGTAGCCTCGGCGAGGAGCGGCCCGATCCGCATGGAGTCCGCTACATCAGCTACAAGTGCGAGCTTCAAATGCCCGACATCATGAGGCTCATCACGAAGGATCTTTCCGAGCCCTACTCCATCTACACCTACAGATACTTCATCCACAACTGGCCGCAGCTGTGCTTCTTGGTGGGTTTTGTTGTGCTCCTTGTCTCGTAGAGAGGTGAAGAGTGAGTCTACGGACGTGATTGTTGTCGCCCCGCGAAATCGCTTCGAAAAGGATAACTCTAAACACCGTCCCTAACCCACCCCCCGACATTTCACTTGAAGCCTAAACCCTAACGGCTAACACTAACCCCTAAACCAGGGGTCGGCAACCAAAATAACAAGAAGAGCCATTTCTTTCAAATTCGGTACAACTGAGTACATACTGTGCATACGTACATATCGTCAAGAAGCAGCCCGTAAAGAGCCGCATGCGGCTCCGGAGCCGTAGGTTGCCGACCCCTGCCCTAAACCAACCCTCTTAATTCCTCAAACCTAAACCCTAACTACAATCCATAAGCAATAATTTCTAAACGAAGTTTAACCATCGGGCCCAAAACAACTCCACAGCCTTAAATCCTAACCTTAACTCCAACCATAACATCTGACCATCTGTAACCCTTAACCACTAAGCCGTAACTCCTTAAAACTATACAAAAACTTGAAGTGATGTCCCTTCATAGTTAATAATTAAGTGAAACGAAATAGAAGGTGCTGTTGTGATTTGGACGAAAATCTGTTTCGTGGACAGGAATCTGTATTGACGGTCACTTCTCACGAATTGAACACGGGGGAGTTTCTCCCCCCCCACCACCACCACCCCAATTGGCTGGGCGTGGTTGTTGCACAATTGTGATTCGGTACTTTATTAGCAAGGGTTGGTGGTTCACGAAGAAGTGTGAAACTCCCAAACCCAGTGCTGGCCTGAACAGGTGGCCTTGAGATGGCAATACAGCAAGAGGGGGAGTTTGTTAACCTGTATAAATAGTGGAGTTGTTTAAGGGTTGCTTTCACCTGTGCGTGTGGTGGGATTTTCTCCAGGAATTCTGGTTTCCTCCCACATGTAAAATGTGTACGAATGGAATTGGCCAAACACCTTCTGCAGGGCCCTCTTTAAAATGAAGCTCAATGTTCATTCACATTAGTTCCCTTTTTATTTCATGGGTAAATTAAGGACATTGCAAAAATGTATAGTTTTAAGGATTAATTGGGCTATCATGGAGTAATACATGACGATATTAAACACAACACCAAAAACAGGAGAACTCTCACATTCAGCCTTATATGCTGACAGGGGGAAATTGACGTTGGTGATCACCGATTAAGGTGGGCACAACCACACTGTTAGTCTGTGATGTGGCCTAGCCACTTTTTTTCTTCCCTGTGCAGTCTCACATAACAGCAGGAAAACTTCACCACGCTAGTCGGCGCAGGGGGTGAAGGCTGGGGGTCGGGACCGGTTTAGATCTCACTTGGGAAGCATGTTTTTCGTGAGCAGCGACCGAACATGTACACGACACAAAGACAAAGATCCCCCGTATAGAGCGGTGGTGCAGCGGTTAGCGCGCTGCGCTATGAACCCGGAGAGCCAGGTTCGATTCCCGCTCACGGCCAACACAAGTGACAATTATCTGAACCGCTCCTAGGTCGACTCGGCCTCAAATGAGTACCTGGTGCGGTGTGTAAACGTCGCCACTGGGGAGACAAAGGCGGCCGGGCGTGGTGTTGGCCACCCACCCCCTCGTGTACCGTGTTGGCCTTATATAGGTGCTTGCTAACAGGACTTGCCCCGACAGCACACGACACAAACCACTGCATCAGACGCAACTTCCTTTACACTGTATTCGGTGGAAAGGCGAAATGTATTTTTCCTTTTCAATTCAGACTGATACAGATCAAGCTGTCATCGTGGCCAAAGCCGTTGATGTCACCACACCCACGCCAACGCTTTACAAACAAGGGTGAAGCGATGGCGAGCTCTTTTATTGATGAAAATTCCACATTGTCATGTCAGGAGTGAGTTAATCCATTGGACAACCAGAAGAGTTGATTTACCACCAGGCTGGTACTGTGTTTGCACACATCACCAGGTAACTATTTAAACTCGAGTCGACCTAGGGGAGGTCCAGAGCCAGCTCGCGTACCACTCTACGCAAATGTTGTCCGTGACTATGCTTTGAACTCGGGTGGCCAGATTTGACCACGGTTTAAACTCGCATCTTCCGGCTGTGGGTGTGGAGCTGTAACCGCAGGCCTGGGTGTGTGTGTGCGCGCGCGAGTGTTTGAAAAGTGCTCTGCTTTAAATATTTATGTAATTTGTCCAGGAGTGGTTTCCAGAGTCTCGAGACCCGTTATTAGGGAGGGTCCATGTTGGGATACCTGGCCAATTTGGTTTTTATTTATATATAAATACTAACCGATTAACTAACTCTCAGCTAGTTACGTGGTAGGCTTAATTCAGGAATAGTCTAAAGCTTACCAGTGCATAAACGGCACCTACGTCATAGCCTCGTGCTATAGATTGGCGCGAATAACAAATATACTTCCGGGTGTTCACTGAAGCACAACATTTTTTAAATGTTTTTTTTTATGTTGTGTCTTGACTGACAATTTTGTCATACATCCTGTTGCAGTAACCTCTGTAATGTTTCAAGGTCAATATCTAACACGTGTTACGCTTAAATAGATAGATTTTGTAGTACAAGTCTTGCATCGTGGTCTTATGAATCCAGGTCCCATATCACAAAAGCTTAAAACCCTCACCACGAGGGTTGTGGTCGCAGCTGAGGCAGTGCGAATACCTGGTTCGGTTTTATTTCACCTTCTAACAACGCGTTTTGGAGAACAAGACGACCAATCGAAATAGGCAGGGCTTAGTTTCTTGTTCTTTTCCGGGTCCTTGTGTAGACTGGAAGTAGTTGGCAAGTAACAAGTATCCACAGCCCATAGCCATGACAGTAAAATGTTAACTATTTCTCTCTTATAAATATAGGGGCGGAAACTTGAGTGCTAAAGAAAGCCCATGCATTCCTTGTGATCGCCTTCAAACACCACGCATCGAGTTCGGCAAACCTCTTTGCTGTACTCTCATAATTGTTAGCTCGTGCACCCGTGGGTCTCGATGTGATCCACCAACCTGGGCCTAGGCGTGGCCTTGCCACACCCTGAACCCGGCTGCACGCCCTGGGGGCCTCGGCAGTTGGAGCCGCTCAAGTTGGCTCTCCAATTTGGCCGCGGTTCAAATAAAAATGTATTTTTATGTTTCGAATTAAAAAGTGGTTGTGCGCCAAGTGTAGAGTTCAGTCCACAATTGACAGTTATGTTCAAGGCATTGACTTGAGACTAACACGGCCTTCGTCAAAAATTGCGACGGTACTTTGCCTTCCAGCGGTCGGTCTTGCACCGCGCTGAAAGAGGATCGTTGCCGGCAAACTGTGCTCATGAATATTGTATAGCTCGGCCATACACAAATGAGAGGCGTTGTATGTACTGAGGTTCCTACGATGAAATGTTGGGCCACTTCCGTCTAAAGCAGTTTTCACTTTTCTAGTGAGGAAACCGGAGCACTTGGAGAAAACTCACCATGAATACGAGTCTTAACTTTGCACGCTTGACCACCTCGCAGTCCATCGGTGTTTGGGAGTTTAACAAATCTGTCCATGAGCCATTAACACTCGGGCCCCCAAAGCGTTAGATCGCAGGCATCCACCCTGAAGGTGCCTCGGAGTCGGCTGTGCACAAAGTTGTTTATGTACAAACAACTTTAAATAAATAGGTCACATCAAGGGAACTCGTAACAGCCACGTTGAATTACAGGTTTTACCTCCGAAGGTTGTATTATATCCAAGGTTTGAGCCAGTACCGCTGAGATCATGGGTTAAAATTCAGGTTTAAGCGATGCATGATTAAACCATGGTCTCGATTATCGTGACTCAACGGTATCAACACAGTCGCCATTGACGGTGTAAAAAGTGTCAAGTTTTCTTTTAGTTTGGATAAGTTCAATTCGACAAAAAAGTCGAATGGTTGGTGTACGACGATCCACTCCACAAAGCTTGAAGGAACACGTCCAGTCCTGGGTGTGAGAATGCCCTGCAATGGACTCTCTGAGTCTCGAGGCTGTCAAGGGAGTCCTCGTGGCTAAATCCATTCATGAGTCTTTGGCATTTCAGAGGAAACCAGAGTACCCAGAGAAACCCCCCCATGTATACACGGCTGTGCTTAGACGGGTTCACGTACAGTAGCCATCCTGCCATCCCCTGGACACCATGAAGCCCATACCTACAAACATCCTGGTCTTCTTGGGTAGTGAAGAGCTTTATAACTCATCAGATTCCTCCAATGTAAATAAATATTCTTATTCTGAGTCTCCCATGCAAGTACCATCCAGACTGAAGCCTGCTTAGCTTCCGAGATTTCGCATGATTCGACACGCATGTACGTGTACAGCATTTTTGATCAATCCACTGCTGGATGAGGGTCTCCTGCCGTGCACGTCGTGGGGGGTGGTGGTGGGGGGGGTTGGTTGACCATGTTTGGCCAATATCCTCCACGCTGATCACGTGTATTCGGTGTTAATTAAAGAGGAAGTGGGAAAGCCTTCCATTGTAGCACGACGCTCCTGAAACCCAAGTCTTGGGGACTCGGCGATAATTTTCTGGCTACGTGAAGGGCATTATCATTATCATTGTTGCCTTCGGTATAGAACAAGACGGATGCTACAGTGCATGGCCCTCACTGTGGACAAACGGCGCAGAAAGCAAAATGAGTCGCGTGGCCTCTGTCAGGGTTGAGCGCATTTAATTGAGCTGCATAAATGTAGCAGGTGAAGCTCCATTGATGCACAAACTCTGGAACCGTAAACCCTGCGACTCCCGCCGCCGCGTGGCTTCGCGCCGTCCGAGTTGTAGAGGGAAGCAAACTGTCTTTAGAAGAGCCCGCAAGCAACTGCTTCTTCGTGACCGAGGCTTTCCATGTTCACCAGGCTGCTGTGTTCACACCTTGTTGTGAATGTCGAGTTCCAAAGCTGGACTATGATGTAGTGGATTTGGAGTAATGATGGTCGGGTGTTGCTTGCTTATTGTCCTCATCAGCCATGACCTATCCACTGCTGGGTGAACGCCTCCCACCGCCCCCCCCCCCCCCTCCCAACCACCATCTCTCAAGACTTGGGATGCAACAATTTATCCAGCTCCTGCACACAAGCCTATTTCATCGCTTCACTGAAATTGTACTTCTCCGAGCTGGAAATTAGGCAATTTAAATTGTGATAATGATGATAATAATGGTGTTCTTCTAGTCTGGCTCGGAAGCATGCACCATTGCTGCTATTAAAACCGCGTGTTATTTTGGCGCAGGCGATGGCGGGGTCCGAGTGCGTGGGCGCCATCGTGTGCAAGCTGGACCTGCACAAGAAGATGATCCGACGCGGGTACATCGCCATGCTCGCCGTGGACTCCAAGCACCGCAAGCACGGCATCGGTGAGCACACTGTGCCATCTCCGGCACTGCGATTAGCACAGTTGCCTACATACGGTGCGAAAGAAGTTCAACATGCATACGTATGCTGCTGCTGTTGCTGCTGCTACAACCGCCACAACCACACTCATCATTGGAGATCTGCCCTGGTTAAATATGTAGTGGGAGCTCATGATTCGAACCCAGGACCTTTCACATTGCTGGCGCGGTGCTGTTAACGCATGCATCGGCACCGGCGTCAGAACTTTGTGAACTTCGCGGTGACATTGGCCTTGCGTTGGTGTGACCTGGATGTGTGAATTTGACGGTGATGGGTGAGAAAGGGAGGGGGATTGGAGGGGTGCGGGGGGGCAGAGGTGGATAGAGAAATATGAGGAAGGGAGAGTGAGGGAGAGGCAATGAGAGATGGATAAGCAGGAGGGAGGGAAGGCTGTCCATCCTCTGCCACTATATCCACTATAGCCGCTATATCCGCGCCGCTCAAATGGGCGATGCACATATCTGCTGGAACGAAAGTGCAGCAGGTGTGTGCTAAATGTGCATCCGGAGTTAAAACTGGCACTCGGTCTTCTGTGGGGGGAAACCCAACACTGCCTTAAAATAGTACCGACCGTCGAGTGCTCTGTCGGTCGCTTTGCCGCTTCTGAGAGGAATTGGTCTCAAAATAATGTTACGTTCTTGAGAAGCAGGGCTGCTGTGCCACTGCTGTTGACGTCGCAGTTGGCTGTGGAGGGTGGCTGAGTGATTGAGCGAGCGAGTGACTGAATGATTGTGTTAAGGGAGTGACTGTGTGTGTGAACGAGTGTGAGTGAGTGAGGGGGTGGGTAAGCAGGTATGTTGAGTGTGCAAGTGTGAGTTACTGTCCGAGAGTGTGCGCGAGCAACCGAGCTAATCTGTTGGTGAGTGAACGGATATGTGAGTGACAGAATGAGCGGGGCGAGCAAGCGGATAAGTCAACTAGCAAGCAAACTTAAGCGACTCGTGCATCACCGTTCACCCTCGCCGATTGAACGCAAATGCTCACAGCCTGGTCCACTCGCTCACCCGCTGGCAGCCTGCTTGCCCCGCCGTGTTCTCCTGTCTGTCGCTCTTGTGCTGAGGGAGCATTTACAGCGAGGCGACTTAGAGCGAGCGGGAGACTTAGCCGGGCTTTGGCAAGCGCCGGCGCGCTGAGAGGAGCTGTGTCAGCTCCACCGGGAGGGAGCCATGCGGGGGTGGGTTGGTGGGGGTGGTGATGGGGGGGGGGGCATGGAGAGTGGAGACGGGTCGTTTAGCTGCGTAAGAGGAAAATACCTAAATGCCGACGCACGCAACTTGGAGGCGGCCGGTGTCGTGGAATTATTCTGTCCATCGCACCGTTTGAGAAAACGATGGCATTGCTGTTTTTTGAGTTTTTGTTGCCGCAATTAAACCACCAACCCGCACCACCACCGCCGCCCTAAACCTCTACCCTGCCAGATTCAATAAATTGTCTCGATTCGGGGCCACGGTTTGATTCGAGTTACATCCATGCTCCCCACGTTTACCGACGAGCGCTGCGAAGTACTACGGCCAGATGACCTCTTGAGACCCGCATGGCATGGTGAGAACCTCCATCCGGCAGCGACTGACACAAGGGCCATACATGTAGACGCACGCTTGGAATGACCCGAGAGGTGACAAGAGGATCGTGTGGATTAGAGCGAGTGCAATTTTAGGGGCATCACATCGACTGTTAACAACAACGAAGTGGGCTTGGGCAGGCCACCTCATGGCTCGAGGAGATGATGGCTTGTGGTCAAGACTGAGTTGCAGCCAAATGACGTCGTCAGAGAGGACATCCACCACGGAGTTGGGAGCGGTGAATTCTGCCCATGAGCGGGAGCAAGATGTTTCGTTGTAGAGCGTAAACCGCTAGAGAGGTGGCGACGGACGGCTTGAGGTGCCTTCAAATCTACCAGTGAGTAGATCATGGCTGCTGACGATGTCTTTAATTTCGTGTTCCGTCGTGAGTTTTGTGCTATTCATTTGAAATTAATGATGCTTGCAGGGGGGAAGTCTCAGTGGAGGCCCATTTGTCTCGCTTGGGAGTTGGCAGGTGGGAATAATTAAATTCTGTGCGTTCGCCTTGATTGCTAATCGGAGTGCTGCTTCGCTCATCCTGTGGTGGTCACGAGCCGTTGGTGAGCGTCACGCTAAAGTCCTCTTCACGGAAAAGTAGTGCTGCTTTAATTTTTTTCTTTTTACCCAAGTTTATCCCGATTGTGCTATCGGTGTAACATCGGCACGAGACGAAGAATTCGCTCACTTGCTCACTCGCCGGGTGAATTGGCGAGGCGCCCACGAGCACCGCAGCTTTTGCGAGCCTTTGGATCTGCGCACGAGTCCAAATATGCCAAGTGGTCGGCAACAAACGGCACTTGAAGCGCTCGTACGTAAGAGTTAATGTGCGTCTGGAATTAATCAAAGATTATAAGAACTTGGGAAGAGAAGCCGAAAGAGTGGTGTTGTGTGACACTGCAGCATGGTGGTTGAACGCGGGACGGAATGGTTGGTCTCGCAGACGGACAGGGGTGGGGGAAATCGACGAGTGAAGTTCACATGAATGAAAACACCGTGACTTCTTCGCCCTCGACCTGCTGTTGTCATCTCGCAGGCACAAACCTGGTGAAGAAGGCCATCTACGCCATGGTGGAGGGTGACTGCGACGAGGTGAGTGGCGAAGGCTTCAAAAATACACCCGCTAAAGCGCGCACGCGCTCGCATTCAAATCGTCATTGGCCCAGCTCTATTCACTGCTGGATGAAGGCCTTTTATTTATTCCACGATGCAAGCATTGCGTGCAGCGCCACCGCCCGTCTGTGTAAGCGTCGCGGCGCGAGAGTGGCGGCCGTGTGTGCGGTGCGTGCGGCGCAGGTGGTGCTCGAGACGGAGGTGACCAACAAGTCGGCACTGCGTCTCTACGAGAACCTGGGCTTCGTGCGGGACAAGCGCCTCTTCCGGTACTACCTGAATGGCGTCGACGCGCTGCGCCTCAAGCTGTGGCTGCGGTGAGCTCTGGCGACGAGGGCGAGGAGGGGGGGTGAGGAGGAGGAAGAAGAGGAAGAGGCGGAAGAGGAGAAGTGTTCCCCCCCACCTCCCCATCCTATCCCCAGTATGTCTGCGACAACGTGCGTCGCGATGTCACATGGGCCCTTCGGCGGTCAGTCGTGCCAGCCCATCGGCCGCGATGCACAGACGGTGGGACAGACGGACGGAAGGAAGAATAGCGATCGAAAAACTAAATGGAACTAACGCTATAAAATAAGACGAGGAGAAATACAATGCTTAAACAACTTAAAATGCAAGTGATGAGATCGAGGGAGAGAAAAATGCAGGAACAACAACGCAAAGAAATGAATTGAATTGTGCCCGTCTAATTATAAACTGCCGTCGTGGAGAATAATATGCAAAATATGGCAGTGCTCTTCTGTGAGAGAGGGAAGGGGGTTTGCGTGGGGCTGGGCTTGGGGCTACTTCCGCCGATGAGGTCGGTGATGAAGAGGCGGTCGCCTGCGGGCTGTCATCGCCAAGCTCCTCACGCCGTTCAACGAATGCAGGTGTGGCGCAAAAAGACGGGCCTGTGTCGGGCCGGGCCTCGTTAGCCATTTTTTTAGGTGTCCTGCACTCTGCGCCTGCCTGCCTGTGTATGCCTCCTTTTGAACTTTGCTCTGAAAGTAAATTTTGTTGGTGGTGAAAAAAAAATGAAAACAGAAACAAAAAAATGTACAAGTGGAAATCAATTTTAAAAAATAATAACTTTGAAAAAAGCTCACAAAAATGGAGACAATGACGAGGAAAAAAATCCCTCCCACGGACTTCCGTTTTCTATGGCGGTGCCGGAGCTCAATCCCACAGGAGCATCGACAGATCTCTTCGTTTCGCCATTTCCTTTTTAAGTCTTCTGTTAAGGAGGAGGCGGGAGCGGCCCCTCCTGTCTTCTCTTAAAAAGGAGGGGGGGCGAGTGGGGACTCCCGTCTCCGGGGCATCGATTCCCCCCCAAACCCCACCGCGTGTGGTGGGGGTGCGGGGGGCTGTGGCGTGCGTAAGCGTCGCGCCTCGATCAATCGCGACGGACCTCGCGCCGTTTCCTGTTGTTACCGATGCTCGTCGCCTGTTAATGACCCCGGCCGCCGCCTCCTCCTCCGCCGCCGCCGTTACTTCTCCCACTTCGCCGTCCCTTAGGTCGTGCCTTCCGATTGCCGCTTGCGATTCCTCGTGTGTGCGAGTGTGTGTGTGTGTGTGTCCTCCGATGCGCTTCTCGACAGAGCTGAGCCTGGCTGCCGCTACTTGAAGAGTCGCCCAGGAGGCAGCCAGGAGGGAGAGGAGCCTTTGATCCTTGACCCCCCCCTCCTCCCTGGGTGGCTGACCCTCGCTGACCTTACAGGATGCCCTCCCCTGAACCAAGGGTGCTGCCTGCCCTGCTGCTTTCACGATGCATACCGAGAGGACCAATCTGTCCGTATGCATATCTCGTTTCCGTTTTGAGTATAAATTTGTCGTGGGGTTTATTTTTATTTTTTGGTTGAAATTTTGCTTTACTTCCTATTGTTTTTGGTTTATCTTATTTGCTGTACAGTTTTTTGGGGGGGGGGGAGGTGGCTTGTGGCTTTGGGGGTTTACGGGTTTTACATTCGTTGGGTGTTTGTGGGTCCGTTGTTACTTGTGGGGGATTTCGTTTTTTCGAGTACAGTTTGGCGAGGGCGATGAAAGGGTATTGGCAGAAATGGAAAACGCATTGCGTGCGGATTTTAAAAACGATCGATGAATTTATTCACCCCCCCTTCCCCCTGCAAAATAAGCACACAAGCAAGTAAGTGGTTTCCTTCATGCATTAAGATATTCTTAATGATGTAAACGTCACACAATCTTTACCCAAAATCAAAAACCATTTCACCATCTGTACTGAGCGCAGTGTCCGTGTTCTCCTGTTCCCTGTGCCCCTTCCCCCACCACCCACCAACATAATCTCACGTTTTTTATTATTTTTGTTTATTTTGGGGAGTTTATTTTTCCGCTCGTTGACATCGCCGCCATGATGTATCCACATCCCATCCTCTCCGGCTAATTGATTCAGATCTTGCTGTTCTTATTATTGATGATGATAATATTATTTACCGTTATTGTAATAAGTGTTTTTAATCGACCAAAAAAACGAATAAATTGACACAGCTGCACGGAGAGGTTTTGGGGGGTGCTGTGATGGGGGTGGGGGGCGGGGCAGGGGGAGGGCACTCCGGTGTTGCCCGCCGTGGTTTTGCGAGCACTTCTTGTCGCCTCCAATCAAAACGCGTCGCCCGCTCGTGTGACCGGACGGATGGACCCCGTGCTGCATGTTGCCGAGACATTTTGTGCAAAAAAAAAAATAAAACCAACGAATGAATGGACGAACGAATAAAGGAATGAATGGATGGATAAATATCAGTGGCGGCTCAGAATTCAGGGAGGGAAGGGCTGGCTCCTCTACGCGTGAATGAAATGAGAGGATTGTCTTGTCACTTGCACTTAGTTGCAATTTTCTTTAAAATTTGCGAGGTGAGAATTCCAGAGACAGAGTTTCATCTCCTTTGCAAGAGGAGACCCACCGGGGCTGTACTCTGCTGCCAGTAGGGGGCGATAATTGCTGCCGTGTGTAATCCCAATTTGAGTAATTTGCTTTGTAATGTTTTTGAATTTGGCAAATGTTGATCCCAGAAGCCGGCACACTGGTGTTGCGAATGACATCGGGGATCTTGAATGTCCACTTTGAAGCAGGCGGCGTGTCTTATGATTATTACACTCGCAGTTATAATCAGGGCTGCCGCTCGATGTGAACCGCGAGTGTGCTATTGCAGGGCCACGCCACGAATTGTGAATTACTGCACGGCCGCCCCCACCCGCCTCCACCACCACCTGCCCCCACCTTCCCCCCTTCCTGTGGGTGTCCACTCCCCACCAATATAGTTTCCCACTAGCGGTCAATGATCAGAATTGAAATATTTATACCGGAGGAATCTGGTGAGGTGTGAAGCTATTTTTCACAGGTGTCCAAAAGATTTCACAGATGTCCATCATAAGCATTTAAACCAGAGGTGGAGAGAACACTTCCTTTACCGAGGGCCACATCCATCCGTCAGTGTCGGATAAGACTTAGGAGGTCGATCCTGAATGTGTGCGGGTATACCCTAACAATGTGTAGTACAAATGTTCCCCCTGTGCGGAGGTGGGTCCATCCCCTTGATGTCACCCCCCCCACCCTTGCCACGTGCGTGTTTGTCTTCATCTTGTCTCTTTCAATTTTCCCAAGGACGAGGTGACACGGCAGTGGGGGGTTCCCTGCGAGGCTCGCACGTCTCACAAGGTCCAGCAACATTCTTTGGACTTTTAAATGTCTTTGGCTCGAGCCAATCGTTAACACAAGCACACCTTCAAGAGGGCCTTTGCAGCAGCGATAGAAGGGAATGAGCGTGATACAATTACAGAGCGTTGTGGCATCGCCAATTTTCCGCTCGGAGTAATCCAATCAGTGCAGCTAAGTTGCTTGCAAGTGGGGCGCCGCCGTGACAAGATCTTAACTACCTTGCCTGGTATACAGGACGTTGTGGGTTTGATCCCGACCCTGATGCCTGTATATTTGGAGTTTGCATGTTCTCCCCATGGTCGTCTGGATTTTTCGCCAGTCCTCCTGTTTTTTCCTACACCTTTAGAATCGACGTGTGTGTTTGGAGTATTTGGCTGCTATACATTTCCACGCGATGAGCCACTTCGTTGAGCTCTCATTTGTGATAACCAGGTCACATATGAACAACAGCTGTAGCGCTCAGTGGGTCTTACCTGGTTAAATACCAAAAAAAGAGTTAATAACTTTATAGTTAAAATATCGTCTGCCAACAACTGTTTTTTGAAAGTGGGAGCGGTGGTCTTTCTCCACCACCATTGCCATCGCCATTATGCAAGCTGCATAAAATTGCTGGTCGTGCAATCGCGTACCCGATAGCCGGCGGGAGAGGTGAGCGGCAATGCTAATTCCACAACGAAATTGTAATCCTAGCAGAGCGGCCGATTGACGATGTGAACACTGATCTCCATTACAGGGAAAGAGTTGGATGGGAGGGGGGGGGGGCTGGGCTTGGTTCCACAGTCGTTCAACGAGTAATTAATCCAGTAATTATGTTCATGACGCATTTCGTTGTCATTCATTCCGTTTATTAAACTAGAATTCCAGCAGTGGATTGAAAAAGATACTTCCTGGTAATGCATTGATTGAACACGTCAATCAGCGTGTCCGTAAGAGAGTTGGAGCGGTGGACACAGTGGTTAATGCACCTCCGATTTGCACGGTTGGCCACGTATGGTGCCAAAAAAGTTCAACACACTACACTGCTCTGTGAACTCCGTGAGTCGGTTTTTGATCCTTGGCCACGGCTAACATAGGTGCGATTCAGTCAGAATATGCATGTACACTGGAGGAACCCGATGAATTATAAAGTTATGTTTCACATGTCTGGTCGGGGCAGGTCCGAACGTTACAAGAACAACAATTATATCTTAAAAACCAGACCTCGGCCACGGTCGCCAACTTATCCAATCCGTATTGACCATCATAGCAAAATATGGTCAAAATACCGACATTGCATGCCATGTCGAGTTTCATCCAGCAGTGGAGTGACAATGGTCAATGCGGCTTGGTTGAAGGGTGCTGAAAACCCAGGGACCGTGTCAGACGTCACTCGCTTCCCGCTGGCCGCGAGAATTCAGCTGAAAAGGTCGCTGGTTTCAGGTCGCGCTGTGTGCTAACCGCTGCGCCACCGCTCCCGTCTCGGCCGCCCAATCAATGTTCTGTTTTAAATACGATTACGCGTGGCGGCTATTTTCGTGCAGATGAACCTCGCTTCAGCGGGGGTGCAGAGGGGGTGGCTTTAGAAGTTATAAAATCTGTGCACCCGATCCGCCGAGATCGTGTCCGTCAGTAGACACAAAACCCACGAGGTAGAGTTATTGTGGCAACCTCTTCTTGGTTCTTTCGGTAAAGTCACGTAGAATGACGATTGCTTGCGTCCTCAGGACGGCTGCTTGCGTTGTGGCCGAAACGTCGTGAGAATTATTTATTTTTATTATTTTATTACGTCCCTTCTACGTGACTTTACCGAAAGAACCAAGAAGATGAATCCCTGCAGTCACGAAAGAAGCTTTACATCGAAATTTATTGTGGCAAGCCAAGAGGCCGACGGATTCATCGCTGATACCGGCATTGTGATGTGTACGTGTAAGACATCGGCGTGGCCAAAAAAACAAATCTCCCTTCGGGCTCCGCGATGCACTAAGCCACGTGGCCCCCGCACGCCAGCCGAGTTCGCGTGGTCGCTCCGTCTCCCGCGTGTGGACGTCCAAAATCTTCCTCCGTCGTGAGTCTCGACCACCGGACCGGGCCATCATCGCCCGAGCGATCTCCAACAACGCGAGCGTCAGCCCCGACCGTGTGTGACCGCTTCCAGCATCACCTGACGTGTACAATCAGCGGCGTGGCTACGGAGTGCGCAGGCGGTGTAACTGCACTGGAAGGAGGGGGTGGGGGGGAGTCAGGAGCCAAAGGCACCGGGCTACGAAGGTGGGGGGGGGGGGGGTAGGAAGCAAGGGTGGCACAGTCGGGTTTTTTACAATCGGTTCTAGATTTGAAGCTTTCGTGACTGCAATGATTCATATTCTTAGGTTTTTTCGGTAAAGTCACGTAGGTAACAATCGGGTTTAATTGTCTTTTTATATTAAACCCGATCATCTGAGATTGAGAGAAATCCGGTTTAATTGGTTCTAAAAAAAAAACGACGCCTGCCGCTGGAAAAATCGGGTTTTTTTCCACCCATGGAAGGTAGAGTTGTTAATTGGTTCTTTACCCTTCTATCTGGCAACAAAACTGACACCTTTTTGCAAGGAGTCATGTTTGCAAAAAGGTGTCAGTTTTGTTGCCAGATAGAAGGGTAAAGAACCAATTATCATATTTTTACTGGCAAATGAGGTCCCCATAGTGAAGGTAGAGTTGTAATGTGTCCGAGAGGACATCCACCGATGATAACTTTATCACCGTCGGCTATGGTCTATCCACTGCTGGATGGAGGCCTCCCCGAGTCCACCTCTCACCATCCTGCGCGGGGTGGCAAGGGGGTTTCTCCGGGATTAATGGCATGTGGGTGGTATGGTGGGGGATTGTTTCTCCAGGATTACTGGGAGGGGATTACCGCAAAGATTAACGGGGCGATAATTGGTTACGCAGGGCCTTGTAGGAGGAGGAGGTCTTAGCCGTCTCGGTGTGAGCCAGGAGAGGTGGGGGGGGGGAGCTTCAGAAGGAGCTGCCTGGGCATCTGTGCCCCCCTCTCTGCTCTCCCATCTCTGCTGTTCACTCTGCGATTCTCATTGGTGTCTTTCACACCGTCGTTGGCTCCACTCGCCTGCTGCCCGACCTGCACCCTTCGTGTTCTTCTCTCCGACCTCCACCCCCTCGTCCGTCCACTCTCCACCCTTCGGTGTCCGCTCTTCAACGGTCTCTCTTCGCTTCGTGGTCCACAATCTCTCTCTATATATATTCTTTATCGTCCATTCTCCACTCTGTGCTCTCCTTACTCTGTGACTGCCCCTCTTCGCCGTACGCTCTGTCCCCTTGCACTCGGGCGACTCTTCACGGAGTTCTTCGCCCTTCGCGTCCGCCTCTCCGCGCCTCATGGCCAGCGACCCCAAGAAAAAAGGTGCTGGAGTCGAGTGACGGGCTCTGGCAGGGTGTCCTGTAGTGAGCGTCTGTGTGTCTGTGTGTGTGGGGAGCGGTGGTGCAGCGGTTAGCGCGCTGCGCTATGAACCCGGCGACCCCAGTTCGATTCCTGCTCACGGCCAACACCCGGTGACGATTATCTGAACCAGTCCTGGGCCTCCCCTAGGTCGACTCAGCCTCAAATGAGTACCTGGTGCGGTGTGTAAACATCACCACTAGGGAGACAAAGGCGGTCGGGCGTGGTGTTGGCCACCCACCCCCTCGTGTGCCGTGCCGGCCTTCAGAGGTGCTCGCTAACAGCACTTGCCCCTACAGGTCTGCTAAGGCTATATGGGGGATCTTTGTATGTGCGTGTTCGCGTCTGCGTGTCTGTGCGTAGCTGCGTCTGTTTCTTTTCCCCCGCTGTGTGGAATGCTTCGACGGTGTCTGCTGGCCGAGTCGCCCTTAGAAAAATAAGTAATATTTTAAAAATATATTTTTTTAAACACGTTTTAATGAAATGTACCGTACGAGTAATGGCAGAACTCCACGACTCCAGTAAGTGGCCCCGAAGCTGATTTACACCCAACGTCAGTTGAGCGTGGACAATTAGACCCAAGGCGAAACATAACATGTAAAAAAGATGGTTTAAAAATACTTATTTATTATTTGTAATGATAGAATATAGTATTGTCATTAGTATGACATAAGTATAACAAGTTTGCAGTCGATACCACATTGGGAAGTGGGTTAAAATTGAGTTACAAGATTTGAGGATACGACAACAACAACAGTGAGTTAAATAAAGACGTGCAAAATAAAAAAAGCGCTTCTTAGCTTTCTAGCCTTTACCGAGTGGGAAATACACCTGCCGTTTCTCTCTCGTCCCACCTTGTACCGCCCGTATCGTCCACCCATGTGTTCACGATCACCACCACCTCGTGATTCAACACCTGAACAACCCCCCGGCCCACCACGTCAATCGTCTCGTCCACCACGTGTGTCCACCGCAGTGAAGGCGGGCGACCTGCGCCGTCTAAGCGCGCGTTTCCACAAACTCGACCTCGACTCATCCGGGGCGCTGAGCGCGGATGAGTTCCTGTCGCTCCCGGAGCTGGAAAACAACCCGTTGGTGCGTCGCGTGGTGGACATCCTCGACTCGGACGGAGACGGAGAGGTCGACTTAGCAGGCGAGCATTCATTCATATTCTTAGGTTTTTTCGGTAAAGTCACGTAGGTAAAAATTTTAAATTAATAAAAGTAAAATAAAATAAAAATCACGACGTTTCGGAGGCAACACAAGCCTCCGTCTTCAGGTGGAACCGTCAGCACGATAGCTGTATCAAGTGAGAGAAATTCCAAGAAACTATTTGTAAAGCGATGGGTATTACCTTGTTATCTCGGCATCTCTTTAGGAAGGCCAGCGTCTCGAGAAGTTGTGACTTCTTGTCTCGTTGTCTGTTAAAAACTATAACAGATAGGTGGAATTCCTCCGCGTAGAGGATTCATTCATTCATTCTAGATTTGAAGCTTTCGTGACTGCAAGTATCACTTGATACAGTAAATCTAGCTGTGACGGTCCCACCTGATGACGGAGACTTGTGTTGCCTCCGAAACGTCGTGATTTATTATTTCATTTATATTATTACTTTTATTAATTTAATCTTTTTTTACCTACGTGACTTTACCGAAAAAACCCTAAGAGTATTCATATTCTTAGGTTTTTTCGATAAAGTCACGTAGGTAAAAAAAAAATCTAAATTCATAAAAGTAAAAGTACGTAGGTAAAAAAATCAAAATTAATAAAAGTACTTTTATTAATTTTGATTTTTTACCTACGTGACTTTACCGAAAAAACCTAAGAATATGAATACTTGCATTCACGAAAGCTTCAAATCTAGAACCTAAGAGTATTCATTCATTTATTCCATGGGGAGATGTGAACGACTTCGCCGCGGGTTTGAACCACGACCCCTGACGCCTGCTGTGTATTTGGAGTTTTGTTTGTTTCTCCCCGTGTTCGCGTCGATTTTTCTCCGCGTTTCCCCCCTCCACATTTGGAATCAACGTGCGTTTACAGCATTTGGCTGCTATAAATAAGCCGCTTCGTTGAGCTCTCATTTGTGGCCAGGTCGCCTTACCTGGTAAAATAAAAAAATTGTCTCGTCATAGTTTTCACTTCATCCGCGTTGACCAATCGTCGCGTTCTATCCCGAACCTCCAGGTTGCTTGCCCTGGTACGCTCCACCCCATCCCTGCACACTTGATTCCCAACCTCCCAAGTTCCTTACGCGATCATGCAATTGTTTCCCACCCGTCACAACCTCCTCGCGTTCCTACCACGTCCTATTCCGCATCTTCCGCACCTCCAGGCTGCTGAGCTCCATCCTCCATGTATATGTCCGTTGGACTTCTTGCTCTTCGGAGGTGCAATACAAACTACTGTCGAGTCCTTACACGCCGCACGCGCCTGATGTTTGCTACATAAACGCGTGCCGCTTGACACGGAGAGCGCCGATTTGGTGAAGATCTTTGCGTTATTTTATGGTGAAATGTTCAGCAGACAACGAAACACTAATTGCTGTACTGTACTGAGGTCCCACGTCCATGCTGACCTCCTTCACCAACCAGTGCTGACCAGCATGAGATAAAGTATGTTCAAACATCCTCCGTGGTGGGGAGGCCCTCACCAAGCAGTGGACAATCCTGGCAGGGCCCTCCAGAGAATGAGCCCTGAGCCTCAGTCGGGTTTCCTGGACTAACATGAGATGCTCGCTTCTGCTGTTGTCCGATTGGCAGAATTCATCGAAGGAATCTCGCGATTCACCATCAACGGCACCAAAGAAGAGAAGTTGAAGTGTGAGTCCTGACCCGGGTGTGACAGGCGTGTGGTGCGCGGCATCGCCACGCACCACACGCCTGTCCCCATCATGCGTACACAACACACACACACTTTCACATACACACACTTTCACATACACACACACTTTCACATACACACACGTGCGTGTGCACACGCACACATGTGCGTGTGCACGCACACTCCCAGCGCGAGGCTGTCGCAGAGTACCGCTCTGCTCAACAAAATAGTTTGCAAGTACCAGTTTGTGGTTTGCGTTCTAATCAATGTAAACATTTTTATACATTTTATTTCATGGCAGCTGGCTCATAAGTGCAGGTGTTCGTAAGTCGGGTGTCCGCATGTCGAGGACTGTCTCAGATTACGGAGCGCAGAACCGGAGGTCACGCGTGGAAGCTGCGTGTGCAGGGTGGGGGGAGTGTTTTGTACGCAGAGAGCGGTGCAAGTGTGCCCCCCCCCCCTTCCCCCACACACAACACACGTGGCAGTGGTGGAAGCGGCTTCTCCACTGATGATGACATTGTCGAGTAGATCTCCACACTCGAACGAGTTTCAACTGACCGCGTGGCTGCCCTCCCCTATGCAATATCTTTTGTACGGATGCATGTTGGACTTTTTAAATCCTTTATATTAAGTTCACTTGCTTGCTTGCTTACGACCGTGCAAATCTTTCGGTCGTTTTTTAAACCCACTTCCCGTGATCCAATCGAGCTGACATTTTGCACACATACTCGTTGTGCGTGACAATGTATTTTCGTGAAACAAAATTTCCAAAATTTTACACCTTTAAGGAAAAAAAAATTATATTTAATTACCAATTGCTTAATGGTGGCAGACAATCATCTGACCCATAGGTGGCAGCCATCTCAAGCCAGAGGACGAGAGGACTCTCGCCGCCCGTTTCAAAGACCAATGTGGGCTGGGTTGTGGCCCATTGAACACGCATATAAAGGATTTATACTGAAAAACTTTGTTTTTACGGGTTAATTTTTTTCGCACCTCTTCTGAACTGCGGCGTCGCAGTCGCCTTCCAGATCTACGACGTGGACCGCGACGGCTTCATCACCAACGGGGAGCTCTTCGGCGTGCTCAAGACCATGGTGGGGCGCAATCTGCGTGACCCGCAGCTCCAGCAGATCGTCGACAAGAGCATCATCTCAGCCGACGCGGACGGCGACGGGAAAGTCTCCTTTCCCGAGTTCTGCACGGTAACGGCGGCGCTTTTTGTGTTGCGTTCGTGACGGCGGAGCAGCTTGGGGTGCCCGCTCCACGAACCTGGCGACCCGAGTTCGTACGCACGCACGTCGAACTTCTTTCTGCACCGTACGGAGCAGAGCCGTGCTAATCGGAGGTGCTCACAGCCAACACGGCCAACACCAAGTGACGATTAGATTTATTTGACCCGGTCCTGGGCCTCCCTTAGGTCGACCTGATGCAATGTATAACACATACGCACTGGAGAGACAAAGGCGACCGGGCGTGGTGCTGGGTTTCCACCCCCTCGTGTGCCGTGGGGGCCTTCATAGGTGCTACTCGCTAACAGCACTTGCCCCAAGACTATATGGAGGATCTTTGTCTTTGTGTACCCGTGGCCAAAAACACACCACGAGAATGGGAGCAAGTACTGTTACATGGGGAGAGAATAAGGAACGGGAAAGGGGAGAGAATGGGACATACGAGGTAAGGATGGAAAAGGAACGGAGGAACGGGAGCAGAGGGTGCAGGAGAGGCGAGAGGGAGGAGGCTGCATCAGCCTCGACACTGCTGCACGGAGCGGAGGGTTTCAGAGTGGGGGTGACCACAGACAAGTCACGCGATTTACAGGATACTTGTGCTGATTTCTTGAAAAGACAGCATCCTCCTACATGATGGGGCGTCTCCGAGCACTGTACATGTCATCTCAACATTTTTTAAAAGGGCATCTCCAGCGGCAGCTGTCAACATGTATGCATCAAGGCGACAGCACCTGGCCCGAACACGGCCATTAGTCTGCCAGTAAGAGTCGATGATTGCTGTGTAAACGTTTACTATGAGCGGCGCGATATGATGCAAGATTTGTTTTACGATGTTTGTGCAGCCGACTTTTTAAAGCTAGTCCTGTCGCGTTTTAACAGTCGGGGGGCAATGTTGCAGGCGATTTTTTAAAGCACTTGGATTTTTTGGCCAATGCCAGTTAAATTGTATAGGGGTTTTTTTTTCTGTGGGAGAAAAGGAGAGAACCCAGAGGAAACCCCTACGGAAAAGGAGAACATACAAACCTCACAGGAAGGTGCCCAAATCGAGAATGCGAGGCACGAGTGGTACCACTGCTGCTCCCAGCTGAGTTGGGAGGGAACAGGGAGCGCCGGAGTCGCTGAGATTTCCGAATGGATTTTCCATCTCGTGACAACCCCCCCTCTCCCCACTGGCTGAGCAACAATCAGGATGAAGTGAAAAATAAAAGTTCGAGATAGGGATGTCAAACTAGAGGGAACTGCCTCCAGACTGAATTCTACCCGGGTTTGGGTGGGTGACCTGGATATTTCTGGACCCAGCAAACACCACATCCAGTATACATCTCTCTTGCTATGGCTCTGGCTTACTGGTCATGTGCCACAGTCCAGTATAACAGCAACCTGAAAAATAATAAGTGAGAAATTAAGCTCTGGATACCCTGTGGATGTTGGGGTTATTTGGCCATACTTAAAGTATGGTTATTTAAAATGGCTAAACTCTACTGAATGTACTCAACCATCCGTCCAAATGTGGAGGCTCCGTCCTCACCTATGACCCCTTGCCGACCCCACAGATGATCGGGGACCTGGACTTCCACTCGAAGATGCTCGTGGAGATTTGAGACGCGTGGCCTCTCCCGTCACCGAGATTTCCCGTTCACAGCACCCTCCTCCACTTCCTCCGACAACACCGCCACTACCAGAGTTCACCACCACTATCTAACCTATAAGCATCGCCATTACGCCCAAAGCGGGTCTTTCAGAGAAACCAACACTGCAGCTCTTGGCTTCGTTTTCCAAAAGACGGATCAGTGTCATCAGAGAACCCAAGGAGACAAGTGTATTTTTAATCACTGGGATAGAAGCCTCAAGTCTTCTAATTTGACGAAAACTATGGAAACTTAGTACATTTGCTACAAAAACACATCAGATTCTCTCTGTCACTGCTTGAACTGCAGATATCATCAGCGGCATCATCACCCGAGCGACAGTAATCATCAGCATCAGTCACCACCAATCCCCAATGCTGGATGAAGGCCTCCCCAAGGCTTCATCTCTCACGGTCCTGCAGTACAATCCACACACCACTGGCGCATGAGCCGACCTCATCGGTCCAGAACCGTGGTGAACGTCCTCTTGAAAGCTTTCCCTCCTTTTGCTTTCACGCGGTAGTTAGTCTTGCCCATCAGCTATCATCCTAGGCCCACTTACGTTTATTATCAGGCAATCTGTTCACCTGCGTTATTGCTAATCCTTTTTGGCGCCGTATAATTCCAAACCCATCTCTCCACGCTTTGCGCACTTCTCACTGAATTAAGTGATCAGACTTTAATTAAACACGGGAGTTTTTCTTAAACCTGCGTGCTCCTCGCCCCAACTTACACGTTCTTAATAACCGACATGAAAAAAAACATCCAAGAACGCAGTGCATTGTGGATAATAACGTTAGCGGTTTATTCACTCGGTCTCGCGTCGTGAAGCACCGTGGTCGTGCCGACCGTGATCGGCATGAACGCACCACCCTCATCGCCATGGCGCCCGTTTTAGTGAGCACACGTTGCAACCCGTTGTCCACTGCTGGATGAGGGCCTCCCCACAGTGCAAGTTGTGGGGGCTATTTGACCACACTTCCCCACGCGTTGGTCACTGCGTGTTGGCAGAGGGGAGCATAGACGTGGCAACATAGAAGTACAGCACAACAATTGGTTTATATGCAATGCCCCCTACTGTCCACAACATAGCCCCACCGTGGCCTATATTCACCTTGTAGCGTGCACAGCGGTCACCCATCAGAGCGCTATCCAGGCTCAAATCTGCTTAGCTTCGCGAGACGCGATGAGATCGGGCACGTGGCGGGCGATCTGGCCGTAGGCGTTGAAAGTGCGGTGCACGGCCCCAGCCGCATCGCGTTGCGGTGCGTCGCAGGAGTCGTTTGAGAGACACAATCGCTTCCTCACCGAAGAATACAAATAATAAAATAAAACAGAGTCCAAGGTTGGATTCCATCTCCGGAGCGGTATCCCGGGGGATCGTTCCTGGCGCTCCCCCCCCCATCCGCCAATCCGCGATGAAGGCAGCGGACGAGACGCCAGCTTCAGAATCTCTCGGCGGATCTGGTGGCCACGGCACGCAGATTCCCGTAAACCTTCGAGGGGGGGCTCCCTGCAAAAAACACACACGGGGGTGGGGTTGGGGGGCAGGTGAAGCAAGCAGGAAGTAGTAACGTGTACGCCCTGTGGGTGTACAGATTGTCAAGCGGGTTTCCCAATTTTACGATCTCGACCACAACTGCCGCCCCCCTTCCCGATCGTGTTGCGAGCTACGTTTACGCATCATCACCATCGTTTATTATAATTATTTATTCCGCGCACCTCCCATTGCAGTACATCTCGGGGTGACCACGCGGTGTGACGTATGTATGTTGTACTTCTTTCGCACCGTACGTAGCCAACCGTGCTATTTGTACCTAAGATGAGGTTGCATATCGCCGTCCTCGCGATCTTGATGTTCTGGAAGGAGCCGAGGATGTGCACCTTCCTGCGGGAAAACAAACGATGAGAAGTGAAACGCGGTCGTACGCAACACCAAGCGTTGGCCGAAACAATAATACAATGTCTTTGGCAGTGGTGGATTTAGGACGTAGACTATACTAAATTGTAATTAATTGTGTTTTGACGTTAATACTGTCTTGTTTGAAGAGGCTAACTGTTTCAGAGTTAAGTCCAACTAAAATACAAGTCAATCAGGATCTGTGTACACAGCATCTAAGCACAGGTGCATCTGAAGACCCGGCTTGTATAGATTCATCTAGCAACGGGAAAACAGAGGGACTGATGGAGAGATGGACGGACAGCGAGAGATGGATGGACGGAGGAATAGAAGGATGGGCAGTTAAACAGAGGGACAAGACAGATGGACAGACGGATGGGCAGCCAAGACGGATGGAGGAACAGAAGGACAGATGCCTTACGTGTCGGCCAGCACGATGCGGGAGCGCGTCACGTTCTCGATGGTGAACTTGGTCTTGCCTCCCTTGCCTGCAATGCGCCCCACGGCACGGGAGAGGTGGTCTCCCTTCAGTGGCTTCACTGTGGGGGCGGGGGTGGAGGGGGCGGTGAGCGATAGCACGAGTTGATCTAAAAATGCAACGCAAACCAAAACCGAACCGTCCTCGTGGCTACCGACCTTACACATCGAGTCGGTGAGGTTTTAGGCTTCGTCAATGACAAAAACTTCTAAATAACTGTCAAGCACACCATCATCACGCGCAGGCTTGATAGTCATTTAACCAAACAAAATCTATTAGAGAATTGATTATTACGTCTATATTTCACTCTCTCGTTTATATAGATTCGATTTTTTTCCCCACAACAGTTTTGGTTGCTCCATTAGTCAAGAGTCGTTTATCGTTGGCTCAGATCCGATTTTAACACCGGGGCGAGACGAACATCAAAATGGCAGCGGCACCTCTGCGTGCGACCGTGCGCGAGAATTCTGCACTCACCGTCCGTGATGTCGAACGACTCCAGGAAGAGGTCGTCCAATCGCATGAGAGCGAGCGCGTCCTGCGGGAGGAAAGGAATTGCCGATATGAGCCGCCGCAGTTCACACAGCGAAACCGATCACTCACGTCGTCGTTAATGAGCAAGTGGGCGCTGACGCGAGCGGTGCCACCGCCAAGTTCCACGTGACGATCGTACCTCCACCTGGAAGCCGAGCACGAAGGCTCGCACGAAGTCCGCCGCCTTCTGCAGCGCGCCGATATCCTGCGTCTCCTTGCACGTCTGCGCGCAGCACGACACACAGCATAGCGTGAGCGTCGTCGCAAGCTGTCACCAGCTCCCGGCAAACGATTTAGCCGCCTGCTCAGCGAGCAGTAAGAAATGTTTATTTATAACCGGGAGATTTTTTTTTTTACCCAAAGGATTCCCCCCCCCCCCCCTTTGCAGCTATTCAATGAATTGTCATGGTTCGATCCAAGAATGATTTGTCTTGATTTTACGGTCTCATTTGTATTTTAACTTTTGTTGTTCCTAGAATTGTGTTTGCACCGTAAGCCTAAATTCAACAGCACCTGCATAATATCCTAAACAAGCGATTCAATCACTTAATAATCGATTTCACCTACAGATCCTCAGTACCGTTTCTCCTGCAGATTAAAACTGCTGCCAGTCGGCCAAATCAATTTAATCCGGACAAAATCCATGGAAACAACTTCACGTGTCTCGTACAAGGGAGACATGGGACCTGACGTGGGTGGGTACGCGCAAGCGTTGCTTGTCTGCAATTTCAACCCCCGCAGTGTGAAGGTGCATCTCCCGTCACGTCGCGCCAACACGGTCACGCGCCTTCAGCTCCACGTTGCGCGTCTTGAGGTTGAAGCGGATCTGCAACTGCAGGTGCTCCACCACGGGCGTGAAGATCTTCATCCAGTTCTCCTTGAGCGGGGTGAAGCGGTTCGCCGGTACGGGCACCTTGCGTAGCTCGGGGCTGCCGGCCTGTGAGCCGCAAGTGAAAAACACGCAGCAAATCTCGTGTTCTAATAAGTATAACCCGTAAAAACAAAGTTTTTCACTATAAATCCTTTATATGCGTGGCGGCTAGAGTCCTCTCGTCCTCTGGCTTGAGATGGCTGCCACCTATGGGTCAGATGATTTGTCTGCCAGTATTAAGCAATTGGTAATTAAATATTTAATTTGTTTTCCCTAAACAGTGTAAAATTTTGGAAAAAAATTTTCACGAACATTAATTGTCTCGCACAATGAGTCTGTGTGCAAAATGTCAGCTCGATTGGATCACGGGAAATGGGTTAAAAAACGACCGAAAGATTTGCACGGTCATAAGCAAGCAAGCAAGCACGCAAGCGAACTTAATATAAAGGATTTAAAAATGTCACCGGTCATAATCGTCACGCACATCGTCTACTCTTATCCAGAGAGATACTTAGGAGTAAACCCACCCCCCCCCCCCAAGTGTATGAACCAAATTACCACCCGAAGTCGTTGTGGCTCCCAAACCTCGATATTCAAAGTTTAGCTTTTCACATGTGATATGGCCACGCGGCAGATGACTTAATAATAATAATCTTTATTGCTTATCCATTAAAGACACGCCGATTCAAAATATTTTTCTGGAGCGTTCTGCTACGTTGGGCTACGTGAATTATTCGTGTACGGTGCTTTTTTCTGGAATTTTTGCTGTTTTTTTCCCCTGGATTTTCTGTTTGCACTTAGTCACATAGTCACTTTAAGATGTTTTCTTGTTAATGTTTTTGTTTGTTGCGGTTGCACCCGATTCAAGAGCCGAATGGCTCACAGGGCTATACCTAATAAATGAAACTTAAAACTTGGCCGATTCCATGAATGTGAATTGATCCGCAGTGTCAAGTCTGTTCACCAACTTAATAAACTTTAATTACGTTAATGTTTCTGCTCTCGATATGAAGATACGTACTGTGGTTGTTTATAACCAGGTGAGGTCCCTCTAGTGGGGTCATAGGATGCCTTAATTAAAGGCCAGTTAAAGGGGGAGTGGCTTTTGCTGATCACGTATCGAAATGTGACTCACTCCTCAAGCACATTGTGCTGCTTTGTTGCGAAGTTTTAAAATATCAAGAAATTAACTTTGAAATAAACCAGGTCTCCATTGCAATACGGAGTTTTACACCGATTTAAATAACGGATGTGAAGGCTATATTTCCATACAGTTGAATACTTAATAAACAATACCCGAGTGATTTAGCGGGCGAGCGAGTGAGTGGTTGAGTAAGCCAGTGAATCATTCGTGGGTTACTGAATTAGCGAGTCGATGGTGAGAGGGTGAGTTGATCAGTGAATGTGATTGAACGAGTGTGCGGTGTGGGCGAGTGGTCGAGTAAGTGAACGAGTCAATGAGCGATCAAAAGCCAGCTTTTCTTCGGAGAGGGTAAACAGAAGTGTCTCGAACCATCAGTTTATCCCCGGAGATGGGCGGAAAGTTGGGCCTCTTGACCGCCGGCTCAGAGCTCTCGACCCCGGGCGCACTCTGGGCTCCCGAGGTGATCTCCATCGTCGTCGTTGTCGTCGTTGTTGTTTCTGCCTCCTCCATGCCCTCCTCGTCCCCAACCTCGAGCTTTCGCTTGCGGCGGCGTGACGCGCGGCTTCCTTTCCTCGGCTGAAAGTCACCGTCCGCTACCTCTGCCGCCGCCGCCACCGCCGCTGTCGCCTCTTCTATCTCCATGACCGAGTGGCTGTCGTTTCGCTATTGAGGGGAACGGTGAGACGGGGTGAGGGGGGAAGAGTAGCCGATGGTCATCCGGCGATACGAGGCGAGAGTGGAAAGGAAAGTGAGAAGCGAGCCGAGGTGAGACGAGAGAAAAAAATGAAAGCAATCTGAAGCACAGGCGAAGGCAGGGAGGCGAGGTGTGAAGGTGGACGAGATACGAAATGATGCGGTACACGATGCGAGGAGGTGACGAGAGGGCCAGACGCGGGTGAGACACTGACCGTGGCCCTGACCAGACTTGACAAAGACCTCGAGAAGTCGTTCACTGCGCGCTCGCCACGTGCTCCTGAATCACGTTCGTGCGCGCCGCCATGATGGAAAGGCGGGGTCAGGGGGCAGCGCGGCGGCGTGACTTCCGGGTTAACTGCGTGACGTACCGATTCGATTAAAGTTCGGGAATCGATCAGAAAATCGATTGCATTTGGAAAATTGCGGTGCTGTAGCGGCCTCGAGTGGCTGGGAAATGTTTCACTGGAAAAAATTACACAAATTAGTTTGTTGCTATTGCATGATTCCAGTACTGGCATACATTATTGAATTGTATTATTGAAGGGTTTGCCTTGGACTCAATATTTACTATTAGGTAACTATTCATATGCCTATTTAAAAACTGTTCATCACAAAATTTTTTAACGTTTTAAAAAGTATACGTATTTAAGGACTGTTTTTATCACAAAACAATTTTAAACATAAAAAAACTATATAGTATTTAAATCTGATTATCACTAAACATGTTAAATACTAAAAATAAACTATATAAGTAGTTAAAAACTGTTTTTCACTAGACATTTTTTATGTAAAAAATAAGTTTTCAAAACTTAATCAACTCAACATGTTTTAACATAAAAAAAACTATATAAGTATTTAAAACTGTTTACCACTAAACATGTTTATATTGTAATCCTCATCATGCTGGTCCCATGGTGTAAACAAGCGCAGTCTCCAATTGTTAGCACACATTCTCTATGGCCCCTCTATTCACGTGTTATGAAGAAGGACCGTTGTCCGAAACGTCACCTGTTTATATACTTTTTTTTCGATTTAAAGCTTTCGTGACTGCAGGGATTCATCTTCTTGGTTCTTTCGGTAAAGTCACGTAGAAGGGAAATAATAAAATAATAAAAATAAAACATAATAAAATACAATTCTCACGACGTTTCGGCCACAACGCAAGCAGCCGTCCTCAGGTGAAGAAACCATGAGCTGCACGCAGTCCGCCTTCCTTCAACGTTGTGACTCCCCCCCCCCCCCCCATCCTGGACATCGGTGAAGAAGAGCTTTACAGCTCATCGGATTCCTCCAGTGTGCCATCAATATTCTGACACAAACTCTCCACTGAAACCATCTCTCTCCATCGTGGTGACCAGTGGACATCGACGTTCCAATTTAACTCCTCGCAACATTTCTATTTAAAGTTTTCGTGACTGCAGGGATTCTTATTATTGGTTCTTTAGGTAAAGTCACGTAGAAGGGAAGCAATAAAATAATAAAATAAAACAATACATTTCTCACGACGTTTCGACTGCAACACAAGCAATCATATCAGCTGTGAAAACCACAGCAAGACAATTTGCTGCCCCACCGTACGTAAGGGTATTAGTGAGGTGGAGGGGGGTGGTATTGTTGCGAATTGTTAATTTTATTTTATTATTACACGCTTTTTATGAACTGCAAACTTGGTATACTGATGTCATACTGATGATTATACTATATTCTATCATAAAAAATAAAAATATATTTTTAAACATTTTACACGCTTTTTATTAACTCACTCTGTATGTTGTTGTCGTATGCTCAAATATTGTAACTCAATTTTAACCCACTTCCCAATGTGGTATCGACTGCAAACTTTGTATATGTATGTCTTACTGATGACAATACTATATTATATCATAAAAATGTTAAAATATATATTTTTAAACATTGTACACGCTTTTTATTAACTCACTCTGTTGTCGTATCCTCAAATATTGTAACTCAATTTCAACCGTCTTCCCAATGTCGTACCGACTGCAAACTTGGTATACGTATGTCATACTGATGACAATACTATATTCTATCATAAAAAATAAAATACATATTTTTAACATTAATTTTTATATGTTATGTTTCGGCTTGGCTCTAATTGTCCACGCTCAACTGACGTTGGCTGTAAATCACCACAGCCCCTTACGTTATGGCAAGCTTCGGGCCATTAATTCTAGATTTGAAGCTTTCGTGACTGCAAGGATTCATATTCTTAGGTTTTTTCGGTAAAGTCACGTAGGTAAAACATTAAAATTAATCAAAGTAAAAAAAAATCACGACGTTTCGGAGGCAACACAAGCTTCCGTCTTCAGGATGGAGCCGTCACAGCACGACAGCTTCGGGGCCACTTCGTGGAGTCGTGGAGTTCATTCATTACTAGTAGGGCACATTTCATGAAAGCATTTTATTTATTTGTTTAAACTTTTTCTAAATATGACTTTGTTATTTTTGCGCCACTGCCCATGGGTCAAAGCTTGCATCTCCAGCAGCCACGGCACCCAATGAACACCTCCACTGGACGGCCAGCAGACGGCGGTCTCACACCATGCTGGGTCGTCACACATTGAGCAGCAACAACAACATCAACAACAACAACATCTTCATCATCATTACCACGTCGTCGTTACATCACCACGACCACCACCATCGGGGTAGCATCGCTGCTTCCTGACACGTTGCAAACGGCGGCAGGAATTGTTTCTAACAACGATCGCTTGTTATTATTCTTCCGCTTAAGAGGGTTCATTGTTCATCATTATCGTCATCATTATCATCGCAAGTAAATATGACTTAAGAAGAACGTAAAGGTAATGCTAAGTGTAGAGTTTGTTCATAACGACGGTGTTGACTTTAGGAATGTAGCCTCCTGTTGTCATCAATAATAATTCATCGTCACCACCGTCGTCATCATTCTGTCTGAAATCAAACGTGCAGGGACATCGCTGAAGAATTAAGACGACAACTTGTATCTCTGTGTGCCACTTGCTTAATGTATACGCACATCGTGTGTGTGTATATCTCCTTTAGCCGCTAATTGTATCGTTATTAATGAGAGGGCTGTAGAATGTGAGGAGCGGCAGCAGGAGACGTGACTTGGAGACAAAGACCCCCTTGGCGGCACGAGAGGAGGAGATTGAATGGATCCTTGACGCTTCTGTGGATTTATTCTCTTCCTACAGCCAGCAGCTGACGACAGCAGCAGGCAGACCTCGACATCAACAACAACAACAGCAGCAGCAGACAGACAACAACAACAGCAGCAGGCAGACCTCGACATCAACAACAGCAGCAGCAGACAGACAACAACAACAGCAGCAGACAGACCTCGACATTAACAACAACAGGATCAGACAGACCTCGACAACAACAACAGCAGCAGGCAGACCTCTACATCAACAACAACAGCAGCAGACAGACAACAACAACAGCAACAGCCCTCGACATTAACAACAACAACAGCAGCAGACAGACCTCGACATTAACAACAACAGCAGAGACAGACCTCGACATTAACAACAACAACAACAGCAGACAGACAACAACAACAGCATACAGACCTCGACATCAACAACAACAGCAGACCTCGACATCAACAACAACAACAGCAGCAGCAACACAATCTGGTGTAGCTGGCTACTCCTTCTGCTGCTGCATGGTGGCCACAGAGGGCAATGATGAGGAAGAGAGACTCAGCAGAGAGGGTGAAGACGAGTCTATAACAATATAGTAGTCATCCACTGCTCGGCGTGTTGACGGAGGCCGTCATCCAGCAGTGGAGCGAGTCACGTGGGGGGCGACTACAGGGGGCGACTACAGAGGGCGACTACAGGGGGCGACTACAGAGGGCGACTACAGGGGGCGACTACAGGGGGCGACGTCGTCGTCGTCGACTACAGACGCCGCAGATGTGCAGGCGGCAGGCGTGGTAACGTCAGCAGCAGACAGTACACACAGAGTGATACTATAGACAGTATATAGTGATACACATAATGATACTATAGACAGTATATAGACAGTACACAGAGTGATACTATAGACTATACACAGAGTGATACTATAGACTATACACAGTGATAATATATACAGTGATACTATAGACAGTATATAGACAGTATATAGTGATACTATAGACAGTATATAGACAGCATACAGAGTGATACTATAGACAGTATATAGTGATACACAGTGATACTATAGACAGCATACACAGTGATACTATAGACTATACATAGTGATACTATAGAGACAGTATATAGTGATACTATAGACAGTATATAGACAGCATACAGAGTGATACTATAGACTATACATAGTGATACTATAGACAGTATATAGTGATACACAGAGTGATACTATAGACAGTATACATAGTGATACTATAGACAGTACACAGAGTGATGCTATAGACAGTGTATAGTGATACTATAGTATATAGACAGTACACAGTGATACTATAGACAGTATAGAGTGATACTATAGACATCCTGGACTGCATTGACAGCACAAGGTGAAGACGGCTGCTGCTGTTGTGGCTGTAGACTGTGGTGGTGGTGGCATAGTCGGACGGGACAGCAGACAGAGTGATACTATAGACAGTGTATAGTGATACTATATACATCATACAGAGTGATACTATAGACAGTAAACAGAGTGATACTATAGACATCATACAGAGTGATACTATAGACAGTACACAGAGTGATACTATAGACAGCATACAGACATCATACAGAGTAATACTATAGACAGCATACAGACAGCATACAGAGTGATACTATAGACATCATACAGAGTGATACTATAGACAGTACACAGAGTGATACTATAGACAGCATACAGACATCATACAGAGTAATACTATAGACAGCATACAGACAGCATACAGAGTGATACTATAGACATCATACAGAGTGATACTATAGACAGTACACAGAGTGATACTATAGACAGCATACAGACATCATACAGAGTAATACTATAGACAGCATACAGACAGCATACAGAGTGATACTATAGACATCATACAGAGTGATACTATAGACAGTACACAGAGTGATACTATAGACAGCATACAGACATCATACAGAGTGATACTATAGACAGCATACAGACAGCATACAGAGTGATACTATAGACATCATACAGAGTGATACTATAGACAGTACACAGAGTGATACTATAGACAGCATACAGACATCATACAGAGTGATACTATAGACAGCATGCAGACAGCAGACAGAGTGATACTATAGACAGTACATAGAGTGATACTATAGACAGTACATAGAGTGATACTATATACAGCATACAGACATCATACAGACAGCATGCAGACAGCAGCAGCAACAGCAGCCTATCGATTTGAGATTGATTAGTATCGCTTACAGGCAGCATACCGGACTTATACAGTACGTGTCACATGTCACAGGCGTATGCCTTTTTAAAATGTACGTTCGCGACATTATACACATGATAAAGTACTGCAGGTGAGACAATATCCTATAGACTGTAAGCAGTATTAGTGTAGTCGATACTAAACACAGTATATATACTACAGACGAGGTGACCAGATCATTGTTTAAAAGACTACAGTATTTAGTATAATATAGTAGTATAATGTCGTTCCAGACTACAGTGTAACGAGAGGGAATGCTATCAAGACATTGGCCTCTATATCCTAAGATCTCCACTCTACATTATTAACTCTATGGGGGTGTACAGGACTCCAGACTGCACCGATAACCTCGTGGTCAGCATGGAGCAGGAGCCGTGGATATTGAAACTGCAGCCGGCATCAGCTGATGAGGCCCAACCCTCGGTGAAAAACCCGGTGGGTGACTTATCCTCGTCCACCCTGAGTAGTCCACCTTTGTTCACTGAAGGGCATGGGATTGCTTCCTCCACCTCTTCATCTGTCTCTTGCCATCAACAGCACAGAGCTTCGTTCATTGACTCAACAGATATCTTGGTGTCGGCTCTGTCTCTGATCCACGTTTTCACATGGGGCTGGGAATTTGTAAAGTGGACAACCAACATTTATCTTCTAAGAGAGAGAGAAAAGTTTGTTTAAAAATGCTTAAATATTATTATGTTTCCCCATTGTTACACGACTTAAATGGGCCTTCATTATACCCACATTTCCTCCTTATAACCATTGAATTACTGCATGTGACAACACGGGCCCTGTCTGAGTTTTGTGAAACTTTGTAACTGAAATTAAAAACACGCTCGTGTTATGAAATGGACCCGGTCAAACATTAATTTCACGTTAACGCGGATTTATTCTGTAACGGTTGTGAAAGTCAAGATTTTGTTATAAAAATAATTTATGCTGAAATTTATTTCAGTGTCCATGTGGGGCAGATTGCCTGGCAGCTTGCTCCTCGTTCCGCACTTATCAGGACTATTCCTGGGCCATGGCCATGGGTCTTTCTTTCTTTCTCACCGTTTGTTTAATCTCTTTGGTACAGATGATGGTGACGGTAATAATGGTGGGATGATGGTGGTGGTGCTGTTTTGGCTCTGATGGGTCCCTCACGTGGTCTGTTCATTTCCTTGTGAGCATAAGTGCTGAGATGATGGTGATAATCTTGATGATTATGGTAACGGTGGCTCTGTGTTGACTTGTTAATGGGTCTTCCGTGTCGAGTGTTAATCTTTTTGATGCAGGTGATGGTGATAGCAGTGCAGGTAATAATGATAGGATGGCGATGATGATGCTTGTTGTGTTGGTTCTGATGGATCTCCATTGTCACTTGTTCATCTGTTCGGTGAAGATGGTGATGATGGTGGTGATGTTGGTACTGAAAAATGCCTGTAATGGGTCTCGTGTCGTTTTATAATTCCCTTGTGAGCATAAGTGCTGAGAGATTTGATGATGATGCTGAAAATGATGGTATTGATGACTGTCTCTTTGCCCTTTGTTCATATCCTTGGCGCAGTTGCTGCCGTTCCGCATGAGCATCTATGAAGGCTTCCAGGTTGGGAAGAGCATCACTATCGAGGGCTATGTGCCCATCAATGCGGACAGGTAACTCACTTGGTTTTTAGGGGACCCCGCAATCAGCCCAGGCCACACAGCCCACAGTCTAAACCAGGAGGGCCGCAGGCCGTGGCATGCATCCCGTGCAGGAAAAATGTTGAATGCGCGCGGGGGAACGTGGGCGCCACAGTGTGGCAACAAGATCCACTAATACGCAACTTGAAACAAACGTCGTACTAATGCGGTGTTGACTAGAGGTGTGGTCGTATGGTCTCTGTATTGTGGCCTTTGTAACCTGGTGGAGGGGAGGGAGATGCTCAGGGGACTATGGTCTTGATTGGGTGGCTGCCATGCCAAATAGGTTAAAGAACTCTTGGTCTAAACCCATAAGTGAGAATCCACAGTCTAAATCAGGGGTGGAAACCTTTTCTTTACTGAGGGCTGAATAGGACTTTCAGATGTTTTTGGCAAAACCCAGACATTTACAGATTTCACAGCAATCCTTCTGAGCATGGGGCAAATCCCACACGACTCAGTCTAAACCGATTCCACATTCCTCTTGGTTCAAACCTAAACTTAAGGCCAATCAACGCACTGTAGAGCTCCATCTAAATCCAGCTCATGTGACACATGGCTTATTCTAAACCCAACTCGCATTTTTCATGGATCTTTCTGCAGGGGTCAATTTAAATTTAGACCACGTGCCTCCAAAACTGAACCCTACATTCTAACCCAGATTATTTGCACTGGGCTCAATATAAACCCAGCTACATTCCCTCAAGACCCAAGAACTTTAGTCCAAGTCCAGTTTAGTCTCACTAATCAAATCTAAATCTAGCTCACATTCCACAAAGATCAATTTAAATCCAGCCCATGTTGTGCGGGAGCTTTGTTTGAATCCACGTCACACGCCCCAGTGTTGAAACATAAGTCTTAAGGGCTTCATGGTGCTTAGTGGAGAGGGTGCGGTTGCTGAGAGAGAGCAAAGCGTTGTGGTGAATCGTGTACCCTGTACTGGCCCCCGGTTTTCAAATCCGCTGGCTTCTGCTAAGCTGACAATCGTCTAGTAATTCCTCCAATTATTTCATCATTCTCTTCGAAATGATTTTCGGAGGTGGCGTGTCGACTGAGACAGCTTCGGTATCTGGTGGAGGGTAGAAAGGATGGGAGTGAAGTGTTTTGGCACCAGTAGCTTAGGCCTCGATGATACCTTGATGACATTTTTATCCTGCTCTTGCTTGATCTTCTTGACAATTTATACGTGTGATGAGAGGCTAATGAGTTTGTAGTTCTTCACGCACAATTAATCACCCTTCGATCCCAACCCTGACACCTGTATATTTGGAGTTTGCATGTTCTTCCTGTGGTCGTGTACATTTTTCTCTGGGTCCTCTGGTTTTTCCCTTCCACATTTAAAATCAACATGCGTTTCGATTACTGTATTTGGTTCCACACGATAAGCCACTTCGTTGAGCTTCTGTAAAAGAGCTATGCATAGCTCAGCGGGCCTTACCTGGGGAAATAAACAATAGTTTTAGCTTGTATGTTTAGTTTCGCGCGATCTCTGCAACCCAAACGGCTTTGCCTGGCGCCATCCCTGCCCCAGGTTCCACATGGAGCTGCAGATCGGCTCGCACATCCGCCCTCACGCCGACGTCGCGCTCCACATGAGCGTGCGGTTGGGCAGCGGCTGCGTCGTGTGCAACTCGATGTGCGCCCAGCGCTGGGGCCGCGAGGAGAAGACTGGCGGCAGCACCGGCCCCTTTGTGCGCGGCCAAAACTTTGGCGTCACTTTGATCGCCACCGAGGAGGAGATCCAGGTGGGAGGGGGGCAGCCGCCGGGGTCTTGAGCGGTGGGGAGCTCCGTGGGTGGGGGCGGCGATGGCGGCGTGTTGGGTTGGAGTGCCCAGGCGCATCTCTGGTGGCCGGTGTTCATTTTGTCAGAGTTTACTATTGCAGTCGAGTCCGAGTCTGCGGAATTCACGGAGCCGTTCTCTTGTTCAGAGTGTGCTCTAGCTCACAGAAAGTCTGAGCTTGGAATCTGGAGCGTATGTCAGTGTAGATGAACTTCCGCGATTAGGTTTGCGGTCCATTATTGGCATAGGGGTTACGCGAGGCTTGCTTGCTTGCTTGCTCATTGCAATTCCGTCTCTGATGACGTGACTAAGTTATCTTAGTATGCATCTCCAAATCCACAAAATTCGTCTTTTCGAGCTTTGGTCTTAGCCGTCGTCACACTTTATGAATTTTGTCCACTCGTAGTCAACATGGACTGTGATAAAAAAAGAATGCTTCATTGACAAATATTTTAGACGCAAATTTTTGTCATCAACCCTGCTGGTGGCTGAACTCTTAGCACAGCCTGGTGGTTTCTTTTCCGGTGTTTTACGTGAAAAAGAATGCGGTCGTTTCAAGCTGAGAAGCCACAATGGTTTTTTGGGTTTGTGGTTATGTTGGTTTACGGTGACCAGGGATATCCTAATTTCTCACTGCATATTTTCCGGGTCGCTGGTTCGACCCGAGTAGGTGATACGTGACTGGTAGTAGCTGCAGCCCGTAGCGGAGGTATACAGGATATGGTGTGCCAGGTGGGGAATATTTTCTGGGTCGGCGATCTGGACAGACCAGGTTGAACATTAGCCCTGGTCATTACACCTCATCGTATTTCACTTGCTCTTGTTCATGTTGAAAGATGTGCACGAGAATGTGACGTCACCGAGCAAACTTCAGTTTGGTGCCGAGTTGCGCAACTTGTGCTCGTCCGTGACAGTTTGTATGCAGGTGCCTTGTTATCGGACCTTGAAAGACATAGATGGAATTCTTAGCTTATTTACACGGGCATACATCGCAGTGTGATAACTGCTCCACTATCGCTCCACTCACACACATCCGCACGCGCACACACGTGCACACACACACCCATGCGCGTGCGTGCACCCATGCGTACGTCCCGTGACCTGCACTGCCCGTGCAGGTTGTGTCGGCCGGGCGGCCGTACATCACGTACAAGCACCGCCTGCCGCTGGCGGACGTGGACACCTTCCACATTTCCGGCCCCGTCACTGTGTCCAGCATCCGCTTCTCGAGGACACTGGTACAACTCCAATCCGTCCGTTTGTCGTTTTTTTGTCAGTCCCCTATGTGTGTGTCTGGTCTAGTCGGCTGGCTATCCAACCATCTTTGCCTCTCCTGATCTCTCTGATTTCCATCCATCTCTCTGCTTGTCTGTCCATGTATTTGTCGAGTCGGCCAGACGTCCATCCATTCATTCATTCATCCAACCATCCATCCATTTATGTCCATCTGGTTTTCCAAACAACCATTGGATCCAAACATCCAGCAAACCGGACAGCAGCCTGACTGAGAGAAAAATCGGACAGACAATTGTCATTAGACATTGGGTGGAGTAGTGGTGCAGTGGTTGGCGAACTATACTTCGAACCTGGCAAGTCGCAGGAATTTCCAGACTCCAGTTCTCGCAGCGTCACCTCCCTACGGGCCACCATTTCAGCTCGGCCAACGTTCACTGCGAGGAGTGTGCGACGCACACGTGCTTATTGATTTCGAGAGCCACACAGTGGTGGTTGGGGTGGTTAGCTCAAATACAGTACTGGGGTCTTGGAATGGCGTAGATAACCGGAGAGGCAAGGTGTGGGGTAATTATTAACGAGACACTCGGCTGGGATGGGTGGCCACTCCTGCGCAGGAACCCGGCCTCGGGGTGGTGGTAGAGCATATTCCATTCAGCACTATTTTTTTCTTTCTACAAACACGCTTAGCTGAGGCTATCTCTGCCAGGCTGCCCTTGAATGAGATTTTTTGTTTTCGTGTGGGAGAGAAAAATTTTTCCCCGTGAAAAATTATGAAGTGCTTTGCTGCCACGTGATATATTTTTTTTCTTGGGCGTTTTGCCGACGAACGCTGGCACTGTTTATGCCACGTGTCCACGTGCGATTTTGTGTCTTTGTGTATGCCTCATATTTATTCATCTGTTTTTTTTATGTTTTCCCATATATACAGCATGTTTGGTGCCTGGGTACTTGTGCGTGTGCCTGTGAGTCTATGTCTCAGTACGTGTCCCGCTGCGTTTGTGTGATGCCTTCGTGCCTGTGCTTTTATGTGTGTACTGTGTTCCATTACATTCGTGTCATTTTGTTTCTATATGCCTGTTGTGTTTATGTTTACATATACTTACCCGTGTCTCTGTGTGACTGTGTCCAGTATATATGTATGTCCATGTGTCTCTGTGTGTCTGTGTATCTGTACAATGGAGCACCAGGTGGCTAAAACGCAGCAAGTTGGCTCAGTAAGGAGTACAGGTGGGGCACCTGCCAGTCATCTAAGTGGACCCATAGCACCTGGGTGGGTCCGATGACCTTCCAGCAAGCTTTCAACAATTTACGTCACCTCAAAGTGCACCTAGACTGGCACAAACGCCGTTGTGACGTCACCTCCACTTAGTGGCGAACGGTGGTTGTTGCTGTGTATCTGTGTGCCTCTTTGTGTTTGTGTGTCTTTGTGTCTGAACTTGTGTCTGTCCACCAGTATATTTGTGTCACTGTCTCTCTCTGTGCCTGCCTGTTGTGTTTGTGTCTATGTCTTTCTGTTTATGTGACTGTGTTTTCCCGTACGTCTAACTGTGTATCTGTGTGCCTCTTTGTGTTTGTGTGTCTTTGTGTCTGAACTTGTGTCTGTCCACCAGTATATTTGTGTCACTGTCTCTCTCTGTGCCTGCCTGTTGTGTTTGTGTCTATGTCTTTCTGTTTATGTGACTGTGTTTTCCCGTACGTCTAACTGTGTATCTGTGTGCCTCTTTGTGTTTGTGTGTCTTTGTGTCTGAACTTGTGTCTGTCCACCAGTATATTTGTGTCACTGTCTCTCTCTGTGCCTGCCTGTTGTGTTTGTGTCTATGTCCTTCTGTTTATGTGACTGTGTTTTCCCGTACGTCTAACTGTGTATCTGCGTGCCACGTGTCTGCGTTGTTCCAGACCGCCCCGTGCTCTGCACTCATCCCTGGAGGATTTACAGAAGGGAAAAGCGTCCTGGTCCGAGCCACGGTGAAATACAACCCGGACAGGTGAGGGCTCGCCTTTACGCTCGTCGAGTTGCGATAGGTTTGCCGTAATTTGATGGTATAGCTGTCAAAGGTGCAGGTGGTGTGGCTGCACCGGGGTCCATTGGCCCTCGGGTTACCTGGGTGGGTCAGGAATCAGCCTCGGAGCCAGCCAGCTCGCTAGAGACACCTTTTGACACGCGGCTGAATTGCAGTCACAGAAAGTCGGCGCAATCATGATAACATTGACCTCGCTTGAGTATCGTACACTGCTTCGGATTTGTTAAAAAAAATTCTACACAATATTTCCTCGGTCTGGATTTACTTTTTGCAGTCTATTTTATGTCTTAACTACCTTTCTGTATATTTTTATATCTGTGTGTGTACCCTTTTGCCAGTCTCTCGGCTGTTTCATCTGCTTCCCAGTTTTCAAATAACCTCGTTCATTCATGGCCTTTTCTACGGTCATTTGTGAGTGACAGTAAAGGAAAGTATATTTCCTCACGAAGCTTGAGGCTTGGGTAAAGGTTTGCTGGCTATAGTTTGTATTTGCTGATCGGAACTACACGGTCAGAATACAAGATAAACCCAGCAGCGCGACCCACTCTGGTGACACAGGTGATGCGATCAGTGCTGGCTTGTCTCACATGGTCTCATGATCCCCCCTGCAGGCAGAAGCCACTTGTATTAACGGTAAATGTGCAGCCCTTACGTTTGCTCGCATTCGCCACTGCTGGTTGAAGGGCCTTCACTAGTAGTGGGAGCTCTAGAGGGTATTTGGCCTACTCTTTCACGCTGGCCAGATGTCTTTGTATGTATGTATGTTGAACTTCTTTTGCACCGTACATAGCCAACCGTGCTTATCGGAGGTCTTGAGAGAGGTGGGGGGGGGTACCCGCAGCTTTACCCCACTCCTCACCACCTGCCAATTGACTAACTCTGGTGGTGTACCATGTATACTGCTGCGTGGACTGGGGTGGGGGAGGTAGGATTCAAGAAACTTGCACCGTTGTTGTACTGCCAGACCGGGAGGTCGAATTGAACCAGCAATTTCTGAATTCCAAATCCAGCATGCACGAACAAATTGCACCAGGGCAGCATCTCGCATGTGAGTTGTAGCATTCATTGCAGGAGAGAGCCTACTGAGACAATGCATCTTGTAAATAACACTTTGAATAAACAAGGCACTGAAGTACAATGGAAGGGACCCATGACATGGTACACAGTACACGTGCTTATATAGGTAAATCGCAGCGAGTTGGCACAGTGGGCAGCACTGTGCCATCTCGGTCAAGCCGTAAGAGCTGGGTCTGTCCCGTGACCTCCTCCTGCCAGTCACGTATCGGCACTTCACGTGATGGCCTCAAAGTTCACCTAGCCTCACACCAGTGCCGTGGTGATGTCACCGCCACTTAGGGGCGAATGTTGTCTGTTATTGTTTACGTAAATATAATGCTGATAACGATTATTTTAAAGATTTTGATGGTAACAATGTAAAGGTATTAAAGATAATGTCACTGCTTATGACATTAATAACGATGGTTTTGATGGTGATGACGTTGATGGATCTCTAATTGTGTCAGTGTTGATGACAACAACAATGATGATGATACAGGATAATGGTGAACCTGGGTCAAAGCACCGGGCCCGACATCGCGCTTCACATCAACCCACGCTTCCGCAAGAAGGAGTTTGTGCGGAACTCGCTGCTGTGCGATGCCTGGGGCGAGGAGGAGAGGGCAGCAGACACATTCCCTTTCTACCCGGGGAAAGAGTTCAAGGTAAACACGGACAAGGTTTTTCACATAAAGCCAGCACAGATTGGTGGGGCGAATGCTGTTAGCGAACACCTATGGAGCCTGGAAAGGTGCTTGATAAAATGGTGTGGCTAGCACCATGCCTGGCCACCTTTAGTCTCTCCCTTGTTGATATGTCCACACTGTACCAGGTACTAATTTTAGTTGACCTGGGGCATAATTGGTTCAGATATCAATCACCGCTATTGTTAGACATTTTTGAGAGTCGAGGTCGCCAGGTTCATTGCGGTCTACACCAAGCGCTGCACCACCACCACTCCACGGAAATGCATACGCACGTGCAGACACAAAGACAACGACCCACGTGGGACGAGCTATGTGTTATGTGCGCGCCTATTACAGCTGGCAAAGCACAGAGTGGGCAAAGCGCCCAAGTCTTCAGTCGCCCATCTGGCATCATCATCTCGTTGTGCATTTGTGTTTAGGTTTAGTCTCGCAGCGCATCCACCCACCCCCTCGAAAAAATTACATCACGGAACTACTTGTGAAGTCAATTGAGTCAAACGCTTTATCGAATGTCTTTCTGAAACCAGGGTGTTTAGCAGCCCTACTCAACTACCTACGGGCCCTTTCTTGCTCCCCCCCCCCCGACAGATGCTCATCCGCTGTGAGCGGGGCCACTTTGCGGTGAGCGTGGACGACAAGCCGGCCTTCACTTTCAAGCAACGCATGCTGCGCATGGCGACAGTCGACCAGGTGCGTGTGTCCGGGGACCTCATGCTGCCCGACATCGAGGTGCAGGGAGTCAAGGTGAAGCCCTGAGTGAGGATCCAGTGCACACAGCAAGGGGGAGCCGTGGGGGTGAAGCAGTACTGCCGTCCCCACCTAACGTAGCCGTGACCCTTGCCTAATACTGCCATCCATCCTCACCTCGCATGGTCACCACACCGAATGAGCACAGTCGCCACCCTGATATAGCATGGCCACCACCTTTACATCCTGTGACCATCCTCACCTCCCACAGTCACCCGTGGAACACATGGCAGCATGGGTAAGAGAGGGTGAGCGCGGGTGAGTGGTTGAGTGGGGCAGGAGAAGATGTTTGTAGTGGATTGTGGAGTTGAAGATGGGAAGGGGCTAGTCCATTGTGCATGGGTCTGTCACTGATATGATATGACAATGACTTAAACCACTGTGAAGGTGAGGGTGTATTTCCGACAGGGCCTGGTGTCGCCCGTAAGAACGTGAACGCGAGGTGAGATGTGTATCACCGGCTCCTCAATCATGTGTGTGCGGTTTGGGGAGCGGTTAGCGCAATAGTTAGTGCACTGCAAACCCAGTAACCTCGGTTCAATTACAAACCCAGTGACCTTGGTTCAATTCCTGTTCATGGCCAATGTCAAGGCCAAGAAAGCAGCCAGACGTGGTGCTAGCCAAACCACCCCCCATCGTGCTCTGTGCCGGCCTTGACAGGTGCTCACTAACAACACTTGCTCCAAAAGTGTGTGCGGCTACAAGGCTATCCGGCTATCTGTATATTACTGTACTGTATTATGTTTGCGGTCTGCACGTACAAACGTTGTGATTGTCGGGAACAAACTTCAGTGGTGGCACATGTTAGACGATCGACGTCCTTGGTTTACATTGGCTGCGAGCCCCTTTTGTAAAAGAAGACCTTTGAAATACGACCTAACTTTAAGAGTACTGTAAGCACAGTTTCCTCATTGAAGCAGTTACACGTTAACTTTTGTGAGGGATAGCTGTTTTTCCATGTTTGGTGCTTTTTCTGCCAATTAGCATGTGGTTAATTACTTGCAGGAGGTAGTGAATTGGCACTGCTGCCTGTAAGATATGGGTACACTTGACTCAAAATTACCTGGGGTCGTGTAGCGGATACAACTAAAATACTGATAGTGTAAAACCACTTGTAAATTAGATTAGGGGGGTGGGGGTGAAGATGGAGAATGCACCGCCTGTTTTATTGCTTCCGAAAGTAATCGGGTTTAACTTACAGTCACGTGGGCACCGATTCCTGTGACCCTCGACGAGTGAGGAGCAGCAAACAAAACAAAGATGCTCGGAATATTTTTTTACGTTCTAATTTTGTGCGAGATCGGTGAATCCACAACCCGGATAATCCTCCTGACGGGATAATGGAGATTTGACTGCAAATTTGAATCAAGCTCCAGAGCTCTCTAAGATGAGTAACACAAACCCCGTACGAAACTACAAGCATGGGAACTTAAATGACCGTGCATGATACTTGAAATGTATTGACACTTTACGTGATCCCTTAACCACTTTGAATGCAAATTACTTTTTAAGTAAACACCCATTTTGCGTGAATTTTTTTTTTTATTTAAAGGCCCGATTTGCGTGTTTGTTGGCGAATGGGCACTTTTTGTCCCAACTGTTTTCAAAATGATGAAGGTGTGACGCGTTACAGGTTTTAATGTATGCTGAGCTCATCCCAAGCTACAAGCCTGATTGTTGTGATATGTGAACAACGATACAACCACTATCATACGGTCCGATCAAATAAGTGCCTTCGTGTGTAATTTGTATTAATGTTATCTCACCAATTCTGTATTTTGTCAATTAAATATCACCTCTTCACACAACCTCTCTGACATTGCCCTGCGTGTATTGTATCACCATTTCTTGGCTTTAAAGAGGTTCCATCAACCAGACTTGGGCCACCATATGACTTGGAATTTCAATCAATTGTCTTAGGGGCCGTCCATAAATGACGTCACGCACCTAGGGGGGGGGGTCAGACATTTGTGACGATGTGTGATGAGGGGGGGGGGGGAGTTGAGAAATGTGACGTCACATCAAAATGCGCAACGTTATATAAATATAGACAACACGTTCTACTTAATTAAATAGACTTTTAATAAATGTTTTCTCCCACAACATCAGAGTGCAGCGGCACATGAAATACGCACTACAATGACAATAGTTTAAAGCGATTTAAAGCATGTTTTATTTTCAAAATGGAAATATGGTTTGGGGGGGGAGGGGGGGCAGAGCTTTGTGACGTCATATTTGACGGGGGGGGGGGGGGCGGTCTGACTTTTTGTGACGCCGTGTGACGAGGGGGGTCAAAAATCGTCCAAAATCGCGTGATGTCATTTATGGACGGCCCCTAATGTCCAACAATGAAGAGCTAGAAAATGAACACTACCCACTTGTGTGTTCCGTTGAGCGGACACAAAACAACACTCGATGGTATGTCTCCCACGACTCGCCAGAGGGCAGTACAGCAAGTGTACTGATCACCATCTGTTTCCATCTGTACGGATATGGAGTGTTGCCCCCTCGTGGACATGGGTTTTCTCCGGATGCTCCAGTGTCATCCCACGTCTATAATAAACACATTTATTAGCTGAAAACATCTTAAACTAAAAAACTAAATGCAGGACCCTGCTGAAAAAGATTTGTATGTCTCAGCGTGGCTCTCCTGGATAAATGAACATTTTATTTAAAATTGGTGTATGTCCATTTTGGCTGTGTAAGGATTTGTTTTGCTACTTAATATCCGCCAATCAAAATGTACTTGGATAATAATGAAAAACTATCGTTATGGGACCTTTCTTGCCAGTATCAAAATATAAGAATTGGTTTTACCCGTTCTGGCAATAAAATAGCAGGTGTTAAGATGTTAAAACACCAAACAAAAACTTTTGCAAGGACTAACACTGTTTGAGACTTGGGTCTAAAGAAAGCTGTCTGGTGTGGACCAATACGTTTAAAAGACAATGCATATTTTATACTCTTTGGTTTTTTCGGTAAAGTCACGTAGGTAAAGCAATTAATAAAATAAAATAAATGAAAACAACTAAATTAAAATAACTGTAGCTACAGTTATTTTGCTGTGCCTTTTAACACCTGATGAGGGAGGCTTGTGTTGCCTCCGAAACGTCGTGATTTAATTTAGTTGTTTTCATTTATTTTATATTATTGTTTTACCTACGTGACTTTACCGAAAAAACCAAAGAGTATGAATCCTTGCAGTCACGAAAGCTTCAAATCTAGAATTAATTCATATTTTACCAGAGCATGTTTGCATGTTCACAAAGTACGTGTGGTTTTATGCAGACATCATTCCTTAAGGTGCAAAATGTGTCTGTGTTTTAACATCTTAACACCTGTTTTATTGCCAGAAAGGGTAAAACCCAATTATAAAAAAAAACTATCGTGTTGAAAGAGGTTTGAGTACCCACACTTTACCCCACCGTGACTATTACCGCGGTCATAACCAACCCCCCACCCATTAACCAGGGTGGCCGACTGGTTCGAACCGCGAAGCTCTGCAACGCATGGTCAATGCACGTGGGTGGGGTCAGGGTGGGGTCAGAGTGGCGAGTTCCCGCACCACGTGATCGATCGACGAATGAAATCGCGACAAACAAACCCCGAGTCAAACATAAATCGATCGTAAACTATCCTGCGACGGAATCGAATCGATCCGGTTTTGGCGTGTTAACCCAATCCGACTTGGCCCCGCCTCGGCGTACTCGCGATCGGATTAACACTCGCGACTCTCCAACGTGACCGGTTACTATCGATCCTCCGCCAAACGTCGATGCGCGGCATCGATACGATGTAACTAAATCGCCCCCCCCCCCTCCCACGTTGCAAAAGCCGGCGAAATGTTGTTCGTCTCGATTCCGATTCGCGAGAATCGACGCGTGCCGCGAATCTCTACGGTGGCCGGTGGGGAATCGAGCGTCGCGGGTTATCGGAATCGCGGAATCGCCGCCAGGGAGTCGTAGATAGTTCGAGGGGGCCCTCATCAACGCGATGGCTTTTCGCGTCCCCCGTGCGGTCCCCTCGCTCCGTGTGACCCCCTCGCCCGATCTCTGCCTCCTCCTCATCCTCCTCGTGGTGCCCTGCGTGATCTGCGGGGGGCCCGAGCCGGGCAAGTTTCGCGGGGACATCACCAAGGTGAGCGGCAGCGCGTTTGTTACACGTGGAGGGGGTTGGTGTGTTGTCTTCCTGTTGTCTTCCTGTCTCACGTGTGTCTCTGTGTGTGTGTCTGTGTGTGTGGTGTACTGTGTGTGTGTGGTGTACTGTGTGTGTGTGGTGTACTGTGTGTGTGTCTCTATGTGTGTGTCTGTGTGTGTGTGGTGTACTGTGTGTGTGGTGTACTGTGTGTGTCTCTGTGTGTGTCTGTGTGTGTGTGGTGTACTGTGTGTGTGTGGTGTACTGTGTGTGTGGTGTACTGTGTGTGTGTATGTCTGTGTGTGTGTGGTGTACTGTGTGTGTGTGGTGTACTGTGTGTGTGTGGTGTACTGTGTGTGTCTCTGTGTGTGTGGTGTACTGTGTGTGTCTGTGTGTGTGTGGTGTACTGTGTGTGTCTCTGTGTGTGTGGTGTACTGTGTGTGTCTCTGTGTGTGTGGTGTACTGTGTGTGTGTCTGTGTTTACCAGTGTCTGTGTCTCCACGTGTCTCCCTTGTGTCTCCACGTGTGTCTATATCTGTGTGTACTGTGCGTGTGTCTGTGTTTCCCAGTGTCTGTGTCTCCACGTGTATCCGTGTGTCTCCCTTTCTCCTCGTGTCTTATTATGTCTCACTATTCCTGTGTGTCATCTTGTCTCTGTGTGTATTTCTGTCTCTGTCTCCGCGTGGGTCCGTTTCTGTGTGTCTCCGTATCCCTCTCGAGTGTGTCCCTGCGTGTCTCCACGTGTCCCAGTGTCTCCCTGTGTCTCTATGTACCTCTCCGTATCTCCGTGTTATCTTCTCTCTCCCCATGGCCCCGAATCTCCCACGTGTCTCTGTGTATTTCCACGCTCCTGTGTCTCCCCGAGTCTACATTTCCCGTCTCCCCGTGTATCCCCCATATCTCAAAGTGTTCTCGTGTCTCCCCCGTGTCTCCCCCATATCTCGCAGTGTCTCCCCTATGTCTCCCCCATTTCTCCCTGTGTCACCCCCCCCCCCATGTCCCCCCTTGTCTCCCCCATGTCCCCCCGTGTTCTCGTGTCTGCCCGTGTCTCTCTCGTGTTGTTCCTCCCAAGACCATCATCCTCAAGAAGTATTTAAAGCTCATGGAAGGTTGTCCCTGCCTCCCATAAACAAACGGCTGCATCTGTCAACTCTGTCGCGTTTTGCCGTTGTCGTTGTTGTTGTCGTTGTTGTTGTTGTCGTTGTTGTTGTCGATCTTTTGTAATTATTCACCATCGGTGCTCTGGGCGCCACGTTTTTATTTTACACTCTTTCTATTAACTCACTGTTGTTGTCGTATCCTCAAATCTTATAACTCAATTTAAACCCACTTCCCAATGTGGTATCGACTGCAAACTTGGTATACTGATAACAATATTATATTCTATTTAAAAAAAAAATATTTTTAAACATTCATTTTAATGTTATGTTTCGGCTTGGCTCTAATTGTCCACGCTCAACTGACGTTGGCCGTAAATCACCCACCACCTTAAGTTATGGCAAACTTTGAGGCCACTTCCTGGAGTTCTGGCATTACGAGTAGGGTACATAGCATTAAAGCGTGTTAAAAAAAATATTTGTAAACGTTGCAATAAAAAATAAGCAACATAAAAAAATATTTTTAAATATTGCTGATTTTTTATTGCAACGTTCCGCATCAGCAGCATCGCAATCGCCCCGTGTCATAGCAAACACACCCCGAAGTTGACATCGAAACTCGTGTTGCTTTAAAATCGCAATGCCCCGTGTCTCCCTCACGTGTTTTGGGCATCGCTTGACAACGTTTTAACTCGGAACTCTACCAGCGAGCGGTGTTCGCGTCATTGGAACCACACCGGCAAGTTGATGTTAGAGAACTACTGCTTAAGAGGGCATTCGGTTGCCTCTCGTCCACTCTTTAAGTGGTGATGATGATGGTGGTCTCTGTGTGTTTCTGTGCCTGGCCCGCGTCTCCATGTCGACTATCACCGAGTCTCCCCCGTGTCTCTCTCCGTGTCCTCGTCTCCTCCCTCCCCACGTCTTGCGCTGTCCGTGTGGGACGTGAATAACCCGCAGTTTGTAATCCCGCTATGAGAGAGCTTCCACATGCATCCCTGTCAACCCGTACGGTTTCCTCCGTATTCTTGTACGGGGGAAATTGAGTTTGTAAGTTCATACGGCGTACATACCCGTTTCAATACGGGGCACAAAAAAAAAGTGTGTTTGTGTTTCTCCCTTGTGATGGGAATTTGTAGGGCGAACTTTGAAATTTATAAGGGACACGGAGTGACCAATACGGTCCTGAATTTGTCTGTAATAAGGTAGGGCACTGATAAGGGGTTGACAGGTATGTATGGTATAGCGACGTTTCGCTTGGAACGTCATCCGGTCGTGAACTTGGAAGGCCCTCATCCAGCAGTGGAGGATTGCCAAAACTGCTCTGCTCCTGTACGGTCATGGGATTATTTGACCATACTTCCCTACGCTGGTCCTTGTGGCTTTGTAAAGCGAGGGAGGGAGTGTAGGTGCTGATAAATATAAGTCCAGTACTGTAGAGTCCTGCCCTCTGCTACCCATAGTATACCACCAGAGCAGCCTATAACATCCCGCTTCATGCACGCTAATGGTCGCCCAGCCAAGGATTATCCGTGCCCAACTCAGCTTAGCTTTCAAGATACAGTATAACCAGATAAGGGGCATTTTAGGTGATTTCAGTCATACGCCCCTAAGAGCAGGGGCTACGCAAATATTGACTTCTTCTCGGATTGCGTTAAATTTAGTGGGCATGGCGTTTTACTGATGTGTGCAAACACTGCACTGTGCTTGTGTGTGTTGTTCCTGCTTGCAGAATTCCAAGTATTTCTTTGCGAGAAAAACCATGTTCAACCAGACAGATGTACACATTCAAGGTGAGTCGGTGGTTGCTCTGGGGCGACATTTAACATTTCAAACCAAGCGTGCTTGGTCCACGAGTCCACAATACTCATCATCATCACCACCGTCTTATTTGAGGACATGTCGGTCTGACTCAGATTACCGAAACCACGGTTACAGATGCTTGCGATTCAACCGGGATCACGAGTGAAGTTGCGAGTTGATGGGTCCGCGGCTCAGCGAGCTTGCTTCTCAGAGCCTGTCACACACTTTGGCCGAATACCAGCCTTGAGAATTAAGTATCGCTTTGGCTGAACAAACATTTACTCTCATGTGGCTGAGCGGGAGGGAAAGTTGGTGCCATCTTCCGCGTGGTATCCCCTTGCGTGGGCCGTTCTCGAACGCGAAGTGTCATGCTGCTCCGAACGGATTTTGCGCCTCGTGCAATGACACCGACAGATGGCACAATCGGGATGAAATATGGGGTCCCAAGGCATCTCCCGTTGCCAACCCACACTAATCATCCTGGCGAAGATGTTTACTACCTCATCTGGTATGCAGGAGGTCGTGGGTTCGATCCCAACCCCGACGCCTGTATATTTGGAGTTTGTATGTTCTCACCGTGGTCACGTGTATTTTTCTCTGCGTCCTCTGGGTTTTTCCCTCCACTGTTAAAAACATGTATATAGAGTGTTTGGCTGCTATACATTTTAATGAAATAAGCAAATTTGTGGAGCTGTCATTTCTGGCCATGTCGCTTCTGAAAAAGAGCTATATAGCTCTTTGGGCCTTACCCGGTAAAATAAAAGATTGTTTAATTTAGTTTAGAAGTATGATCGACAAGGCATGGGGAAGCCTTCATCCAGCAGTGTATTGTCAAAGGGCTGTTTATTATTATTGAGTATTATAGATTATTATAACACAGACCAACGATCGTTAGACACGAGCAGGCCTTAATCTCAACTGGGCCTTGGTTTCCACGCCCAGCACACCGCCTCCGTCATGTCTCACTAAGGCCGCGGCTATTAGTCACACGCCACCTGCTTCAGTCCACTCGTGCCGCATCGACGTAGCAAATGATCACCATCGGCCGGCCTGCATCAGACACCGGCAGTAGCAGCCAGCGACGCTCCACAATCGAGAGAGAGCGTGTAGCTGCTCCCGGTGCGTCGAGCGAAACTTGGGACACCATGCCGAACAACGCGCGGCGCAACCCGAAAACACGCGAGGGAAGCTGCCCATGATTGTTGTGGTTGGTGTGGTGTGGTTGCGTTGCGCAGTTCTGAAGGCCACTTGCCCTGAGATGAGTGGGACTTTCACGGTGCAGTGGATCTTGCGCTCCTCTCACTGCTACAACGAGTTCGCCAACTTAAAGGCAAGCGTGCGACCGCACCGCCAGTCCCGTTTGCATTTCTCTCCAACAGTTTCATCATCATCATCATCATAACTGTAGCCATCGTCGTAGTCAACGTCACAATCATAATGGGCACTCAACCTTGACACTTTCCGGAATTATGTCGCCGGGTCAGCGAGGATCGGTGTGCATGTACCTGTGTGTGTCAGTAGGGAGCAGCAGGGTAGTGCACTGCGCTATAAGACTTTAGTTCGATTCCCGGTCATGGTTAAGATAGTGGAAACATTTTTGGACCAGTCCAGGGCCTCTCCTAGAGTGAGTCTGCCTTAATTGAGTAACTGTTGCAGTGTGTAAACATTGGCACAGGGTAGACAAAGGTTGCCAGATGTGGTGTTGGCAACACCACTCCTTCCTGTGGCATTCTGGCCTTCTTAGGTGCTCGCTAACAGTTTGTTAAAGGCTATACGGGGGATCTTGATAATATGACTTATATGTGTATACATGTATCTGCACGTATGTGTATGTCTTCACATGTAATTGTATCTGCCACTCATCTCATTCAGTCAACCCATAGCACCTGGGTCTGTTCCATGACCTGCTGCCAGGCAACGAGCCTTCCACACTTGATGTTCTGAAAGTGCACCTAGCCTGGCACACACGTTGTGACGATATAACCGCCACTTAGTGGTGAATGGCGGATGCTGCTGCTGCTGCCCGTGCCATTGTTGCTGTGAGTGATTCTCTCGTTGAGGGCAGCAGGCAGTGACGTCAGTTTTCTTGTGCCTCCGTTCACTCTCCCCGCACTCGCCCACGCCGTTTGCGTCACACAGGACATCAGCGGTGAGATGTACATGGGCGCCGAGGACAAGGAGGTTGTCCCAGACAGCCAGGCTTCCTACTTGAAGGGCAGCGCCACCATCACCTGCAACAACTTCCACATGCCAGCGGTGCCCGTGAGTTTGACACGAGCGCGCTCGCACGATCGTTTGATTTGCCAACCATCGTCGGCGTAAAGCCTTGCCGATTTTAGACGAAATCCAAGCAACAGACTGCAGTGCTTACAGCAGGGCGTCGACAACCAAAGTAACAACAAGAAGAGCCATTTTTTTCGAATTCGGTAAAAACAAACTCAATATTTCATCAGGCTCAATGCATGTGAACACGAGACGGCGGTTCTTAATAAATACCTGCCACGAAGGAGTCCTTAGAGAGCCGCGTGCGACTCCGGAGCTGCAGGTTTGCCGACACCTGGTTTAGAGAAACAAAACGATTAAATTGATGTTATCACTTTAATGTTACGCTAACCTAGCGTGGTAATGGATAGGACGTTGAAAGTGGAAGGTGGTGGGGGGGGAGTTGGAAGGTTAGAACTGAAGATTAATCGCGAACTTTAGTTTGAACTTATCCACCCACTTTCTTCATGGCACGCTCGTTTAATGGCATCCATGCCACTCCAGAGGTCGCCGATTTGATCTCCCGGCGTGGAAATTGAAACAATCATCGTGACCTCCCAGCTGCCAATGATTCGGCAGGATGGTGATACAGGCTAGGGTTAGGGCGTGTGCAGCACACTGTGTAGCATTGTTTTGACTATTATTTTGCTCGGTTACCCGGGAAAGCCTCACAGAGTTTCAGGACTTTATCGGGAGGTTCCTGCCAAATTTTCAGCGGAGGGAACGCCGTTGCTGCGCGTAATCTCCCAGTTGAGTAAATGCGGTGATGTCTCAGCGTTGTATTCTGAAGAACTAAATGTTGCACCGTTGCTGCCGTTCAGAGAGAGTTGTTGGCGAGTGACTCTGGTCACTCGCCACCGTTGCTGCCGCTCATGTCTGTGCGTGTGATTTTCTTTCTGTCGTGAAGATGAAAACGTTATCCGTGAAGCTGGCAAACAAACCTCAAGTGAGTATGACTGCTTCATTGACAGTGTGTGGGCTACGTTCGTGCAATGGACTGTCAGTGTTGTGATCTCTGTGCTGTGTTGTGATCTCTGTGCTGTGTTGTGAGTTCGTGACTTTACCGAAAGAACCAAAGAGTATGGATCCTTGCAGTCACAAAAACTTCAAATCTAGAATGTGTTCTGTGTTGTGTTGTGATCTCTGTGCTGTGATGTGATCTCCGTGCTGTGTTGTGATCAGGCGTGGTTCGTCCACTAGGGAGGTTTGGGCCGCCACCCCACCGAGCAGCTGGAGATGAGAAATAATTTTTCTAATAAAAAATACTTCAAAAAAAATAGTTTTGTTGTGTTTAAAAAATTAAAATATAACAATTCTTGCAACGTGAATTGTCTAATGAAGATAACATTTTAAGTTGTTCATACTAGAAACCGCTGCAACACCACAGTCTGATTTGTGCCTTGGGGAGGTCTCGGGGCGGCTGTGAAGGCGTCCGAGTGAGTGATGTCCCCTTCATTCAAACCAGAAATATTTGTTATATTGCACTTAATCGTGGCTTAAACCCAAAATCAAATGTGTAGGCTGTCAGTGTAGGCCTAGCTTTCCATTCGACAATGTAGTCATTGTAAAGTGATGTTACAGTGACCACAGATAACAGTGAGACGGACAGTGACCGCACAATGTAACAAGTTTCTCGTGAACAGTGAAGTAAATAGCAGGGCCTGTGTACGTGGTATTTATCTCGCCAGTGAATACAGATCAAAGCTTTCTGTGTAGGTGGGTGTACGACGGTACGTGGCTGTTATTGTACAGTATGCGGTGTCTTGGTTGCCTTGGCGAATTTTTTGAGTCGTGTCAGCTGATCTTGAATGCTGTTGGCAGTGTCAAAGGGTTTGTGCAGCGTGGACTTTAGGGTCATGGGGACAGCATTTGAGTGCTTTGTTGTTTTGTTTCGTATAGTTGATAAATGCCGACCGTTGGTAGGTAAGACAGTTATATCACTTTCACGGGAAGGCCAGTAACATGACGAGGTTGTTTTCTTAATTATAACACCACATTTTCAGAGGTCACAACAGCCCCACCTAGTGGAAATGTCACGAGCCGCCACTGGTTGTGATCTCTGCGCTGGTCTTGATATCATCAACAGGAGGAAGAAAAGGAGAAATCGCCCAGCGATCGTCGCAAGAGAGAAGATGCGCAGGTGAGTCTCGGCTCCCCTTCTCTTTCCACCGCCCGAGATTTCCCCGCTAATACAGCGCTCGTCAACAATGCACCACTCGGAAACGTTCCCTTTTGGCGCGGCGGTGATAACTTTCCGTCAGCTCGGAGGGACCCGTAACGCCGTGTTCATCCTCTCTCCCAGGCAAAGCCTGCCGTGGAGGCCGCCGCCCCTGACCCAGCCAAGGTCGGCGATACAAAAGACCTGGCCTCGAAGGTACAACCACCGCCTCCGTGTGTGCATTTGACGTCATCAGCTGTTGTCTCTCCGATGCTTGATGAAGGCCTCCTGACGGCGTCCTGTTCTTTCTCCGACGCATTCTGTTCCTTTGCTCTGCCTCGTCAGTCCCTCAGTGGACAGCGTCGCCAGCTGGGAGGGACGCGTCACCTCGTTGCATAATATCTCAACCCATGGCACCTGCTGGGTCTGTCCCGTGACCTGCCAGCGGGCGTTCGACACTTCACATGGCCTTAAAGTGCACATAGCTTTGCACAAGCACCGTGGTGACGTCAACGCCACTTAGTAACGTCAACGCCACTTAGTGACGAATGGCGGTTGTTGTTGTTGTCGTTTCTCTCTTCCAGACTGAGCCAGGAGCGGAGGCCGCTGCTCCTGACACAGCCCAGGTCGGCGATAAACGAGACGAGGTCCCAAAGGTAGGAGTGGTGCCCACCCACCCCCTCGTGTGCCGTGCCGGGCTTCATAGGTGCTCGCTTACAGCACTTGCCCCAACAGTCTGTTCAGGCTATACGGGGGATCTTTATCTTTGTATACATGTGTGTACTTGTGTGTGCGTGCCACGTAGTCAAACGTGGTGGCGAGGACGTGGAAGGAGAGTCCGTTCCTCTTCATCGTCAGCATCAGCCCGGATGAAAACAGCGGCGACAAGCAAAGCAAAGACTGGAAATTTGATGGTTCGTTTAACTTTCTCTCAGTGAGGGCCACATCATTATACAACAACCACATCATCATCATGATCAAGGAATGATGATGGTGCGGAGGAAGGCCTCTCCAAGACGTGGCCATCTCTCACATGTAGCTCCTTCACACGAGCTCGTGTCACCATCTCTCCGTCTCCGCGTTAGACTTTCTCTCGGGCGCGTCGCCTCCCTTCGGCTGCCACCGCCGCCGTGAGCCTCGACCCCCGCCTTGACCCCCGCCCATCATCGTCCCTTCTAATTCACGACGCGTCCTGCCTCCCACCCACTAGTGTGAACAGTCAAGGTTGCGTCTGTATCTCACGTAATGTGAACATTCTGGGTTGCGCCTGCAACTCGCGTGACGCTCTCGAATCCGCGCGCGTACCGTACGCTGGGTTCAGAAACGCAGACGGAGTTTATGGTGTCCGAGTTAGCGAGCGAGTCTGGTACGGGTCAACCGTAAAACTCTTATCGTACTCTTTGAGATTGTGACTTTTTAACCAGTTTTTATAGCAGTAGCTTCCCGGGGTTCCACTGATAATCAGTTCCCTATGTTACTATTTTGGTTGTATCTTTGCTTTAATTGTATTCTGATTAGTTTTTTTCTGTTATGTAAGTTATATTTTAATATAATTTCAATTTTTTTACTGCTTATGTACCGCACTTTGAGCGTTGGTGGATTGGTGCGTGGGTTGGTGGGTGGGTGGGGGGGTTGTTGTGACCTGCAGTGTGGTGGTGATGGATAGTGGGGGTGGTGCGTTTATTCTTGCCTTTGTTGTGTGTGCAGTGGAGGTGGGCATGAACGGACCACATGGGTACATCTCAGCCACAGAGTACCCACTCAAGATTGTAAGTGATACTCGCCTCCGGTCCACTCACTTTGCAACGATACACTCACCACCGGCACACTCACTTGCAATACACTCATCACCACCCATACGCTCACACCAAGACGTGATGAATGCTTTTTTTTTACTATTAAACTATTTTTTATTTAAGCAGGTAAGGCCCACTGTGCTATACAGCTCTTTTTCAGAAACGACCTAACCACAAATCATAGCTCAATAAAGTGGATTATCACATGGAATGTTATAGCAGCCAAATACACTTTCGTACATGTTTGTAAATGTGGAGGGAAAAACCGGAGGAACCGGAAAAAAATCCACGTGACCAAGGGGAGAACACGCAAACTCCAAATATACAGCAGACGTCAGGGTTGGCATTGAACCCACGACCTCCTGCATACCAAGTGACGGAGTTAGCATCTCTCCACCGTGGCACCTCCACCCCGCCACTCACCACCCAACACCACCACCGCCGCTCTCCCTCCCCGCCCGCCCTTTCACCCGCCCGGTGTAGTTCTACATGGCCATGTGCGTGGTGTACACGCTGTACGCTGCGCTCTGGCTCATCTGCTCCGCCTGCTACTGGAAGGAGCTGCTGAGGATCCAGCTGTGGGTGGGCGGTGTCATCTTCCTGGGGATGCTCGAGAAGGCCATGTTTGTCGGGGAGTTCCAGAACATCGGCACCTACGGCACCTCGGGTGAGGGGCGGGGGTGATGGGGGGGGGGGGCAGTAATGTAGCGGTTAGCGTGCCGCACTTCGAACCCCAGGACCCGAGTTCGATTCCCGCTCACAAGCCAATGCCGGTGACGATTATTTGAACCGGTCCTGGGCCTCCCCTAGGTCGACTCAAAATCAAATGAGTAGCTGGTCCGGTGTGTAAATATTGTCACTGGGGGGACAAAGGCGGCCGGGTGTGGTGCTAGACACCCACCTCCTCGTGTAACTTGCCGGCCTTCATCTCTAACAGCACTTGCATCAGCAGTCTGTTAAGGCTACATGGGCGGTCTTTGGTGATGGAGGGCGGATGGGCTTACAATCGACTTAGCGATGATTGTCACTGTCTAGGATGATAGCGGTGGCATCACCTGTAATTATTGATCATGGTGTTGATCATCATGATGATCATTATCAAAAGCAGCACCATTGGTGACATCACTATCAGTAGGAGCAGCTTTACTATCACACGACCACCAATCACCAGCAGCATCATTGTCAGTATTATCATCGGCAGCATCATCATCACCACCACCACCGTAATCGTTATCAGCAGAAGGAACATCTTCGTCATCAGCAGCAGGAGCAGCAGAGAGAGAGAACGTCCTCTGCAGAGATGGAGTGATGAGACCAGCATGTGCGCAGGAGCGAGGATGGATAGTTGCGTTACGAGCAGTGACATAAAGATGGCCTTGGAATGCCCTAATCCAGAAGTGGATAGAGCAAAGGCTTCGCTCGTGATAAACCAAGGCAGGGGACCTTCACACAATGCCTCCGATGCAATGGAGACTTGGGAGTGTTCCACACTTGAGCGCTCGGCGTTTCCCACTGGGCTGTGAACTATGGGCAGCAGTGGATAGAACATGGCTGATGGTGGTGGTGGTGTGTGCGGCAGTGCGGGGCGCGGTGATGGTGGCCGAGTTGGTGTCGGCGTTGAAGCGCACGCTGGCGCGGATGCTCGTGATCATCGTCAGCCTGGGCTACGGCATCGTCAAGTAGGGAGCGCCGCGCCACCCCCCACCACCACCACCTCCTCCTTCCCGCTCCTCCTGCAACAGTCCCTCTCCTCGTGCAACTGTCCCTCTCCTTGTCCTCGTACTCCCTCTCCTGTTCCGTTCAGTCCCATTATTTCCTCTCTCCTTCCTCATTCCCCTCCCTCCCTTAGCTCTGCTTGTATTTGCATACGTGTGCTTTGTTGTTGATGTTTGTTGTACAGTCCCCCTGGTAATCTTCTTGTGGTACCCGTAGGCCGCGCCTGGGCGCCATGTTGCACCGCGTGGTCGGCGTGGGCATGCTCTACCTCGTCTTCTGTTGCGTGGAGGCGATGCTGCGCGCCAGCGAGGTGCGCGCAACCACGACTGCTTTCGTCACCACCGCCACCGGCGCCACCGCGGGTGCCACCCCACCGTTGCCACCACAATCATCGTAACCGCCATTGTGGTTACCATCACCATCTTCACTACTTCACTGCCACCATTACCACCACCACCACCGCCGCCGCCACCACCGTCGCCGTCGGTTTTGGCTGCCATTCCCTGACCTCTCCACCCGCCTCGGCCTCCTCAACCCTCCCTGTTCCTCGCCGCTCCACCTTCGCCCAGTAACCCCCACCCCCCACCCCCCTTGTCGTGTTCCCACACAGGACCCCAGCAACTCGACAGTGCTGACATCGGCGATAGTGCTGGCGATGATTGATACGTGCATCGTATGGTGGATATCCTTGACACTCGCTCGCGCTTTTACACAAAAATAACAATCCATTGGGAGATCTTGCAGAGTGTTGCATTGCCCGTGTTCACGAACTAGTCCGTGGAAGTGGATATTATAGAACCACTGTTGGAATCTCAAGTTTAAGTTACAAGTGACCTCTTAACCGCATGAAGGGGCAGCACTTTTCCGCACACCCTACGACAATGAGTAATGTTCGTTGGATGACATTGATTTGCTGCAATTTTGGCAAATTGATCATGAAGCATATTTAACAATGCGTGTACTTTGTGGTAGTGCATAATTTCATCTGCATTGACTCAAGACAAGCAAACTCTGGACCTGCTTGACACTCTTTAATCGTCGATGCTGACGCGTAGAATTTCGACGCGTGTACCACAAGCGTGGAAAGCGACGTTGAACGCCGACGTCGTTCTGCCAGCGCCACCGCCACCGCCGCGTTGGTCCTTAGCGTCGCACATCTTCGTGAGTCTGGCACAGACGATGCGGACGCTGAGGCTCAGGCGCAACCCCGTGAAGCTGTCGCTCTACCGCCACTTCACGAACACGCTCATCTTCTCCGTCATCGGTGAGCCCCTCTTACCTCTTGCGGCCTGCGCCGCTCGTAAATCTGGGCGGGGTGGGGGAAGGAGGAAAGTTTAAAATGCCCGTGTTCGTTTGTATTTGATTGGTGTCACCGTTAACTGGTTGTCCTTTGTTTCTCAGCGTCGGTTGTGTTCATCGTCTGGTCGACGAGGAAGTTCCGCATGGTCGACTGCCTCTCCGTGAGTCGAGCGGTTTAAACAAAACAACCCCTCACTCGATGCGCGGCGAGCGCGACAATTAGGGTTGTGCACTCCGTTTTGAATGTTCTCGATGAGCGCATGGCAAACACTGACACTCAAGCTGCGTGCGTCTGCGCGGCTTGCGCTGTGCAGCTCTCTGATGTGTTTTCGGGTTGTTCCGGGGCGACGTCCGATGTTTCGCTCCACGTGCCGGGGAGCTTCTTCACGAAACCCGAAAGCACGAGGAGCGACGTGTCGGTTGTGCGACGCGCGGCACAGCCCGAGAACGCGTCGGAAGGGCCAGGGGCGGCACAACCGCAAAACCCCACGCGGTTCGAACCCCTGCGGTAAACAGCGCTGGGCAGTGGAGGTTACACCGCGTGCCGTAACCGACCGCGTGATTCTGCTGGCTCGATTGGCAGGACTGGCGCGAGCTGTGGGTGGAGACTTCCTTCTGGAGCCTCCTGTTCTCCGTTATCCTCCTCGTCATCATGTTCCTCTGGAGGCCGTCCGCCAACAATCAGAGGTGAAACCCCTCCTCGTCCTCCTCCGGGATCCTGTGCCGCGTATGTGCTACTTGTTCTACGCGAGTGCTGTGTCTGCCACGTGTGGCGGTAGTGTGCACTGTTCCGTGTGCGATGATGCCCCAATAGTTCGTGTAGGCTACCCGTGCGATCTTTGTCTTGTGTACTCGCAGGTACGCATACTCCCCCCTCATCGACGACGACGATGAGGACAGCTTAGATCAGAACGTGATGACGGGAGATGCATACGGTACGTGGAGCAGTGTGCCCGTGACCTTGTGAATGATCATTCATTCAGTCATTTATTCATTCATTGCTCCAGTGGAGAAGCCCACAAAGTGGAAGCCAGTTTTGGTTGACCATTTATGCTCTGGTGTCACAAAGTTGTGTTGTGTAAAGGGTCATGCGTTGTGGAATTGGCTGCCTCTCCTGTCCGAAATTCCCTGCCCTGACCATAGCAGACCTCTCCCTGTCCACGTCCACATTTAACGGTCACCTCTTCTCTGCCTGTGACCGACAGCCTCTCTTCTGAAGTCTCCTCATCTAGACCTTCATATTCAATCGTCCCCTCTCCCTCTCTGGCCTGTAGCTCCATATTCCCCACCCCCTCACTCCTTCCCCTCTGATTTTTTTTTATTCCCTCTTCAGAGGTGGCTAGGTGTCTCACAGGTCAGAGTTGAGGCTGGCACCGATGATTAAACCAGGTTCTCAAGAGTAGCAAGTTGATGGTCTCAACCCAGTCACCAAGGACTGGACAGAAGAAAAAACTCCCCCACCCCACCCCCCCAATCACATCAAGCATGGTTCTGCACTTAATTTTGGCTAAATTTCACCTCTGAGAATCGGTCCGACTGTCATGCCACGAGCATCACTGTCCGTGGGAGGCCGGGTGCATGAGTGCTGCCCGTTGTTACCGTGTGGATTCCTCATCTCACGACGCCGATGGCACGATCGTGATGAAGCTGTGGGCCCCTCCCCGATGTGGATGCAGATCTGCTTCGTGCTGTCGCACTTTCACGCCCTGTAATCCAAATTGCGTTTCTCCCCGTATTCGTTGCACAGGTACGAAAATGAGAGGCACGCGGACGGAGATGAACGGGCAAGCCAGGTCCGGTGCCAGCCAGGTGTGACGAGAAATGAACCCACCACGCAATTTTATCTCAGTGAACCTTTGTGAAAAATAATACTTTAAGGGTTGATAATTAATTTGTCCCATGAGTGCAAATCATCATGGGTTATTTCGCTGTGAATTTTTACGATCTCATTAAGCGACGGTCTGTCTTAGAGCAGAGAAAATTATAAAATCGTGTCGGAAAAGGCTCTGTACTTTGTGAATTTAAATAGCAACTGAAAAAAATTATCGAGATGTGGTGGTGGTGGTGCAATTTGCCACTGGTGGTGTTGGCCATGTGGCTGTTTAATTTGTATTTGATTCCGTTGACTTGAAAACAAAAATATATTTTAAAATGTTATTCTTTTACCGTGCAACAGTAATAAGAGCGACACAACCCTTCCCTCTGTCTGCCGCCCCTTCACCCTATCACTATCCTCTGCTCCGCTGCAGGATGAAGACCTGACTTGGGTGGAGGAGAACATCCCCTCTTCTGTAGCTGACCTGTAAGTTGCGCGGGTTTACATATTTGCAGTTGGATGCACGTCTCTCCCAGGACGCCTGGTCAGCGTGAAAGAGTAGGCCATAAACCACCCCCCCCCCCATCATCTAGAACCCTAGAGGGGCTCTCAGTCTGATGGAGGCCCTTCCTCTCGGAGCACGAGTGTCAGAAAGAAATTGCAGGATTGCACCTTTACTTATACTGAACGTATTTTCAACTGCGTATTTTTTTGTCTGTAGGAACACACTGCACCCCATGCATTCACATAGAAGAGCTACAAGCACATACAACACACACCTCTTGATTGAGAACACGCCCTGTCTTGATAGGACCCATCCCTCACCGAACGCACACCTGATAAAAACACACGGTGGATCTCTCAGTTGATGGAACATAGTAGGCAGTGACGTGGCCCATCAGTAGAGTGCTCGTTGAAGAGGTTCAGTTATAACCCAGTGGCCGTCCTGGTTAATACTGCGGCGCGTGTTAACCGTAATTATTGGCCTCGGGCCATCTGCTTCACAGTGGACGTTAAAAGATTCTGTGACGTCATTCGCAAGAGTAGGCTCATTGTGTGCCGACAATCGTATTCCAAGTTTGGCAAATTTGAAAGATTTCTCAATTTGAATCTACGTAACAATCATCACCAACTTAGCAGGACCTTCCTGAAAAAGAATCACGAATCAGCGAGGATTTCCTGGGTGACCAAGTGTAATTATGACAAAGATACCCACTGTTTATTAAACACAGGCGTCCTATGTGAACACATGTCACCTGATTGAATGTATACACCACTACTGTTGTCGTGTTTTCTTTAATTATTGTAAATAACCGCGAGATATTATAGGTAGACGCTGTATAAACTTGATGTAGTAGTCGTCGTGGTTGTGCCATCGTGATCGGATCGTGATTCTGGTCTCGCTGTCTGTCTTTCCCTGCAGAGCGCTCCCTGCATTACTCGACTCGGACGAGGTAATGCCGTGTTCACCGTCTCTCAGTTATCTTGGCGTTGGTGAAAATGTACTCTTGAAAAATGCCCTTTGTTGTGGAGTCGAGTTGTAATAATGCTTCAGTTACGATTCTTATCATTAGTAGAGCCCCTCTTGAGGGTATTTTGGCCTACTTTTCCACACTGGCCAGATATTTTGGAATATGTTGGTAGTACGCACGGTTTTCTTCACCATACGCGAGCTACCGATCAACCAGTTGTGGTTGTATCCATTTATACTGCTGGTTGGACGTGTGCAGTGGTGGATGGAGGGTTTTGAACAGCGTGCAACCGTTGTTTTAAACTACCATGCCGGAAGGTAAAATTTCAACCGAGCTGACAGGATATGCCAACCATTATACCACCGCAACGTCCCCGCTAGTGTTAACGCTGCGTTAAGTCGGCTACCGTCACTCAAGTATGAGATGAGGCGGTGAAGTAAAAAAAGCAAGCTCACGAATGAATTGTTGCCGAATGAGAACACGATATTGTGTTGCAGTGCTGTTACAAGGCATCCCCTAGGAGAGGGGGGGTGGGGGAGCTGTGGCTATGGCTCAGAGCGCTTGCCCGCCAGTGTAAACCGTAGACGGGGCCGAGCGGTGCGTCCCCACCCACCGGTACCCGTCGCCAGTGGTGTTGGGTGACGAGTGAGCGTGCGGTGTCCGTGCCGTGTCGTGTCCGTGCCATACATGGGGGGGGGGCGGCGACCTTGAAGGACGTCGTTGTCGTATGGTTTTATCTCGCTCGCGTCGACCAGCACGAGTGTGTGTCCCATGTACCCCGTGGTCACCTTCTTAGGCGTTTGCTAACGGTGCTTACCCCAACAGCCTGTGTAGGCTACATTGGGGATCTTTGTCTTTGTCCCACTGTACCTTCAGCCGGATCGAGGGGCAGTCGACCCAGTAAGCAAAACTAGGTGAGGTGCAGGGTCGGGCCTTGATGATAATTCTCTCCTTGCCCATAACTTACGCCGATAACAAGGAGCGATCCTGGCGGCGGCCGAATGGGAGGTCGTGGTCGTTTGAATGTCGAGGGCACGTAAGGCAACATTGACGTTAAAAACGACCTCGGCCAATGTGGCCTCAGCTCAACACGTGTTTGCGTGTGTGATTCAACACCAGTGGTACACCTGTTCACATCCCGATAATGCCCCTCCCTCACCCTCCTAACTGCATGGTTTGCATGCTGTAACTCAGCTTAACCTTCCATTTCTGCTTCTGTAGAGGTCCACATAATCCAACCATCGCAGCTGTATGATGTGGTGTGTGTAGCTGTCAGTCCCATGTATATTTTAATGTGAATTGCTGCTTAAGGACCATTGTTTGTCTTCATTGGGTTTGTGTGCTTATTCATTTTCTCGCCCGTCTTGTTATTGCACCATTCCCTGAATTCGCTAACTTGAGTCTAAGAATACTGGGTTAATGGCAATTCATGTACTTTTAGAATTATTGCAGTTGGGGTGCCACTACCCCGAAGCTATACCAGGGTGCCTCAAACTCCAGTCCTTGCGACCCACCATGGTTTCTAAGTTTAGTATTTACCTCCGTTCAAATATATTTAGTAGTTACGAGCGGCACTGTGCCTGACGATTGCGTAACATTTTCCACGTGACGTAGACGGCGCCGATTAAATAAGCACATCCACATCACATGGGGACACACGCACGCAAGATGTGTGTGCACTCATTACACGGTGCTTGCCACAAATAACCACAATACCGTGCCGATCTCGTCAAGGAGCATAAACCATCACGCAAACTCCATCCTCGCAGAAGCTTTTGGCGAACAATTAAAGACGGTTACCATATCGCGCTTTTGCAGATGCGCTTCTGCGGCTGTCTGGAATTCTCTTCCATCTGATATCAGGAAGCCACTGGTGCTATGCAATTTTAAGTCATTCAGATTGCAAGCTAATTTCATTAGAACTGTGCTTTGTTTAGTTTGAACTTCCCCCGCACCTATGACTGTTGGCTACGCACGGTGCGAAAGAAGTTCAACATACATAGATGTCTATTAATTTGAATCGGTGCTGTTGATTTCGCATGGGGCTGTTCAGCAATGATGAGGGATGTGGAGTATGTAAGAACTTCAAATGTATTTGAATGAAGACTGGTGAACAAGGTGAGATGGACTGTGGTGGGTCACAAGGACTAGATTGTAAAACCCTGAAATATGTCAATTATATTCAGACATCTCAAACTAGAATTCGGAGCATGGTGCAAAATTAAAACTATTTTTGGGCATATAACGATGCAGCGATTAAAATCAATTCCTACGCTCAAGTGTACACACATGGAATTATGCGTGTTAAAATCAATGTTTATCAATACGCATGTATGTCATCAAGTCACAATGGGTACTAGATTCACCACATTGTATAAACGAATCGATTATTGATTAAAAGTATAATACTAAATTGTAACAATTGATAGAATCGTGAGGGATGCCAATCGTTACATGCCTAATTATCATTACAGTTAAGCGGCGATAACATTATTTAAATGCTTCATTGTCTTGTTTCCCAACAGGAAATTATGACAACCAAGTTCGAGATGTCCAAAATAGACTGAAGTTGTGTCGATGAAGACTTGAAGGTTCCCAAGTGAGCAGCTCCTGAAGAGAACGCTATGTAGTTTTTTTCTGTTGTGTCTATAGTTCGACGTGTTTTCGTGTTGTTCGGCACACTGTCCGTCGTGTCACTCCGATTGCCGAATTCACTTCCTGAAGATGATGCCAGCAAGTGGAGCGAAACGTCGGCACTCGGTGCCGAGCAACACGAGGATCAGCTCGAAAAACACGTAGGAGAGCTATAAGATTGAAGTACGTTGAAGGTGGTGGGAGTTGAGTGTCAGACCTCAGGATGAGGTTTGGTTCCGGCTTACACTGGTTGTTAAGCCACCCACATCGGCTAGAAATGACCTGTGTATCTGATGCTGTCTCAGTAATCGGCCCAGTGTGGCCAGCTATTCTGGGGAAAGAAAATAGTTTTGTTAATCGCTGCTCCTGTAATCAAGTGCAATTACTGTTGGTGGGCTTGTAGGATTTGGGCGGTGCTTGCGCGCAGCTGTGTTTTTGACAGGGAAGTGTCACGATTTCTTGATTTTTATAACCTCGTCACAGGCAGGAGCAGAAAGACAGTTTCCTTCCACCGTTAAAGACGTCACTTGATGCAATTTGAGTCAAACTGTGGGGAAGGTTGGAATTACAGATTTTATTTTATCATTTAATTATAACTTTGTTTCAAACAATGAGGTGTATATATTGTTAACGTCTTGATCTGTGTTTTTTGACCTTCGGGTCACTCAATAAAGCCACTGTTTTGCTATTCTTGGCTAACTGCCCTTTAAAAAAACACAATCTCAGTACTAACTGGCATGACCATGGTGCACTCCTGTCAGGTATCAGTCAGATCTCAAGCTAAGCAGGCTCTAGCCTGGATAGTGCTTGTATGGAAAGACAACCATATAAAACAGGTGTTATGGTCAGCGTGGTATAATCAAATGAGCATTATGGCCCTCATCTAGTAGTGGGTCGACAAAAAGGGCTGTTCTTGCACTTTAGCCGGCACACGTGCTCACACGCCAGCAAATCAACTCCTGGATCCACAGCCAACTAAACTAATCCTGCAGAGCAGAGCAGCCTGGAGGACTCTTAGGCCTGCTGCTATGGAGTAGTGGGTACCTTTCCTCTCGTTGAGAAGTATGGTACAATTGTCAATGCGTTTGCAGAGCTGACGTTGGTCGCCATTTGAATCGAGTAGGCCCCGAGTTTACGCGACGTGGCGGGCAGTGGCAGGGCCCTGTTGGGACCCCTGACGCTGCATTCTCAATCCCAGGTCGGTCCGAGAGTGGGTGGTGGTAGCGACAGCAGTCTCAGGACAAGATGTGCTCCAAAATGCCTTGCCGGATGAGCTGCTCACACGGCCCTCGTGGAAGAAAGTGCTGAGGGAGATAAAAAACCTGAGTGAATTCCTCACAAAAAAACTCCATAGCTCTTTCAGCCGCTGAAACAATGACATAACTACTGAGCTACAAGGAGGTGCATACACGAAGACTGGGGTATCCCTGGTATTGCAGGCTGTAGGCGTAGGGAACGTGGAAATTGATCTAGGGTGACGGTGCAAGGGGTGGCAATGTCAAGCTGTGCAGGCGGGTGGCTGTGATTGGTGGGTGTGTGCATGCATTACTTCTCACGTGACACCAAGATGCCTCGGCTTTTATAGTTGGAGACGAGAAGTGAGTGGGGACAGTGATAGAACACAAGAGGGCCCATGCCACGTTCGCTACATCACTGCGCATCGACGTACGCTCGCGTGCATTTGCTGACAACATCCAGGGCCGGGTTTGGCGCAACAGTTACCTGCGTGTTCTTCTTCAGCAACACAGTGCTGCCATCGTCAATTTCCAGCTCGCCGTAATCCTTGAGGCAGCGCACCTGGGGGCAGTGGATAAGCCGAAGGTGTGAGGGCTACTCCGTAAGCGATTAACATCGAGCAGAGGCCTTGATTTTTTTTATTAATTATGGGGGGGGGTAGGGGATGTGAGGCACGCACCTCGATGTAGAGGCTCTTAGGAGGCTTGGTGTCTTGCGTGAGATCCAGTCCCTCCTCCCCGCCGACAGAGCCCATGTACGACGCCAACGATTTCTTGTAGTGGTTGAACCACTCGAACTGTCGTTGGAGAACATGCAAGCCGTGTTAAAGCGGTTGAATGAATTGTCGCGATCAGATTCGTCATTAATCACTGGTGTTACAATTGTTACTCGGGTAACAGGTGAGGTTGTTCGCCTTGCCTCCTCCACGGACAGATGGAACCTCACGCTGGGGGGCAGAACGCTGCCGTACTCCCAGCGCATCGTGCGGATCCTCTGCACACGGTCATACCTGCGGACGGAACGACAGAACACACCAGCCCTGAGAATTATAAATATCAAGTTGACTGGCATGCGACAGACATTACTCTCAGTGGCAGTGCTGCCCTCTTCTATGTTGGAACAGAGGCCACTAGAAATGTATCTCAGACATGGCTCTGTGATATCTGCTTCTGTGGGCCATTCTCTAATGCAGGAGTGCACTGCTGTGCAAGAGATTAGAATGGATTATTTGTCTCAACACGATGCCAATAGCACAAGTGGGATACAATTTTAGGGCATTTTTATTTTTTTCACAAATAAACGTATATTTGATTACAAGTTGGGGCACAGTTTGTTTTTTAAACGGCTACGATGTTTCAACATTGAAGTTATCAATTTGACATTTCTCCACTGTCACGCTTAAGTAGGCACAGAACCCGTGGGGAGCGGAGCCATTCCACCCCATTCCTTTGTTCCCTCTTCCCCAATTCTTTACATTATTTTGGACTCGTGAATATGTGTATGTTTAAACGAATGGGTCATTAAGGATAGCTGTAAGATCTTCCAAAGAGAATGTGGCAGGAAATGATTGTAGATGTAAAATTGTATAAAAAGACAAACATCTTTTAAAAGGATTATTGGACTTGTGAATGTGTACATTTAAAGGAATGGGCCATATACAGGGTGCTTCAAAACATTAACACTTGATAATTGGTTTTTACCCTAATATCTGGCAACAAAACTGACACCTTTTTTACAAGGAGTCATGTTTGCATAGAGCACAATACCTGCAGTCATAATGTGTTTTTGTTTGCATTATGACTGCAGGTATTGTGGTCTATGCAAACATGACTCCTTGTAAAAAAGGTGTCAGTTTTGTTGCCAGATAGAAGGGTAAAAAACCAATTATCATATTTTTTACTGGCAAATGAGGTTCCAATGGTGTAAATACATGAACACTTATATGGGACTATCGTTTTTATTGAAAAAAAACGGACAATACACTAACATAATACGGTAAATGTCATGTTAATAGCTTAAAAAAGTCAAAGAGTCTCCACTTGTTCACCATCATTGTCAACGCTTGCCTGGAATCTTCTCCAGGTGGTCTCCAGAGGCTGGAGGCACATTTCTTGTGGTATTGCAAATTCTCAAGTGTTTAACATTTTTTTTAAGCACCCTGTATTCAGGACAGTTGTCAGATATTCCAAATAGAATGTGGCAGGAAATTACTGTAGATGTAAAATTGTGGGAAAAAGACATGTTTTAAAATGACCCGTGGTGCTCGCGATCAATGTAAGCGCCGTGGGTGCTGACGGAACACTCACGCGTAGGTGAGCAGGCAACGCTTGTTCCGCAGCAGGCAGCAGTGGCGGAACTTGATGGTGGGGATGAGTTCATTCTTCCCATCAGATTTAACCTCATTTCTTGAAGACAAAAAAAAACAGCACTCATCCACCAAGTACTCGCATAGTCGTAATGCTGTGAAAGACGTTTTACTCGTGCAAGCTAAACTTAGAAAAGTGTTGCTATGTTCAAAATATTCCCCTCGAGTACTCGATGAGTGTGGATGAGTTGCTCACAGTGACATGTACCGTATTTTCCCGCATATAACCCGCAGACGCATATACCCCGCAAAAATTGCGTTTTGTGTAGAACAAATTTCAGAGAGCCCGCACTTCCATATACTCAGCAGGGTCTTGTTTTGTTTGTAAAAAGTGGTATACCCTGCGGGTTATATGCAGAAAAATACGGTAATTCACGAGCCATTTCAAAATGGTAGGGACAGGGCTTAACTTCAGGTAGATCTCCAACCCGGAAAAAATGTTCAGCACCCGGCAAACCACGTCTATTATACCTCTCAGTCTGGTGACTAATCACGAGTCTACTACAGCGTCTACTGGTGGCCTAGATGTTGAACAAACACCAATCTATTCAAGGTTTGTATATTTGGGAGAAACTAACTCGAGAACCCGCAGGAAACCCATGCAGAACAGGGGGGGGGGGGGGGGGTGGAGAATATAAAACATCCAGGTAGAAAGGCACCCGAGTCAGGAATCGAACCGAGGTCCTTCTCGCCGAGTGTCGCCACTCCGCTACTAGCCCGTGGCTAGTAGGTTCCCCACCCCTGCTGTCGTAACAGAATCAGAATGTACGTACGTTGAACTTCTTTCGCACCGTACGTAGCCAACCTTGCTAAATGGAGATGCTCCGTGAAGTACAGCAAGCTAAACACAAACAGCTATTCTAAAATGATAGTCAATCTAGTTTATTTAAAATTGCAAAGCTTCAATGGCTTCCTAATATCGGAAGCGTTCCAGACGGCCACAGAAGCGCATCTGAAAGCGCAGCGATGCAGCGGCCGTCTTTGTTCGATGGCCAGCCAGAAGCCGAGTCGTAGAAGAGTGGTTGTTGCTGGTTGAGGTGTGTGTGGGTCGTACACATCTGTCTGGTTCTGCTCGTACAGAACCTTCATCTCCTCCAGCACCTGGCGGACTCCATCCTCCTGGGTCATCAAGGGGGAGACAGGACAGGTGAGCGAGTCTGGGTGGTGAGGAACTTTAAGATAAGACTTTAATAAAGATGCTATACAAGGTAAAAAAAAAAGCGGTCTATTAAATATTACTGTCGCTAATGCTATCTCCAACACTAACTTACACAACTTTACACGCATGCCCTAAACTCTGAACCCAATTCCTTAATTCATTACCTTTTTGCTCTGTACGTGCCAATTGTCACAATCTGGACACCGTTGCAAACGAGATGTTCCATCTCAAGGGATGAATCGGGCGAAATATTTTAGTGAACATTACGGTTGACTGACAATCTATGTTCTAGATTTGAAGCTTTCGTGACTGCAAGGATTCATATTCTTAGGTTTTTTTCGGTAAAGTCACGTAAGTAAAAATAAAAAATAATAAAAATTATAGAAATAATATAAATAAACTAATATAATCACTACAGTAATTTTGCTGTGGCTGTTCCACCTGATGACGGAAGCTTGCGTTGCCTCCGAAACGTCGTGATTTAATTTCATTTTATTATTGTTTATTTTTCATCTACGTGACTTTACCGAAATAACCCAAGAGTATGGATCATTGCAGTCACGAAAACTTCAAATCTAGAACAAACAACACGGCTTAAGAGACATTATTGACTGTTATGATCAGTAGTAGAGCCACAGGTGGCCGCTCCTCCTCAAGACGTCCACGTGTGGAGACGGAGGCGTGAGAGGAGATTCCTCCAGCAGTGGATAGATGATGGATGATGGTGATGATGGATGATGGTGATGAATGAGGATGGTGATGAATGAGAACGATGATGTTGAAACATTGTGGATGAAGCTGACTGTGTGTGTTGGGCCGTCCACTAGCAGTGGATAGATGATGGTCCATGGTGATGATAACGATGATGTTCAAACGTTGTGGATGAAGCTGACTGTGTGTGTTGGGCTTCCTCTAGCAGTGGATAGATGATGGTGATGAATGAGGATGGTGATGAATTAGAACGATGATGTTGAAACATTGTGGATGAAGCTGACTGTGTGTGTTGGGCTTCCTCTAGCAGTGGATAGATGATGGTCCATGGTGATGATGAACGATTATGTTGAATCGTTGTGGATGAAGCTGACTGTGTGTGTTGGGCCTTCCACTAGCAGTGGATAGATGATGGATGATGGTGATGAATGAGGATGGTGATGAATTAGAACGATGATGTTGAAACATTGTGGATGAAGCTGACTGTGTGTGTTGGGCTTCCTCTAGCAGTGGATAGATGATGGTCCATGGTGATGATGAGAACGATTATGTTGAATCGTTGTGGATGAAGCTGACTGTGTGTGTTGGTGCTTCCTCTAGCAGTGGATAGATGATGGATGATGGTGATGAATGGTGATGATGAAAGCGATGATGTTGAATCGTTGTGGATGAAGCCGTCGCTCGCTCACGTTAAACGGCGGGATCTGTGCATCCGTGGCGCGGTGCAGCTCCCGTATCAGCTCTATCGCCTTCTCGCAAAACATCCCTGCTCAGTGTTTATTACAAATACGAACGATATCTAGGAGCACAATATACGCACCAATAATTCTCGTTAAATCAACTAAAACGACCCCTTTCTAAGTCACAAAACAAACCCCACCCCCCGTCACTCGATTATAACGAACGGCAATACGAGTTTTAAAAAACTACTTAACATCTAATTTAAAAAGAAAGACTCGTCGCGAGATAGCGAGTGTCTCAAACAAGAAGGAAACTAAGCGCAAGAATCGCCTCTGAGGTGAAGTCCAGGAGTGTCTCTGCCTCTCTTCAGTGCCATTAGAGCGCGAATTTGGCGCCAAAAACGAGCGGCCATTGCGGGGGCGGGACCAAACGGAAATGGGCGGGACTTGTAGACTAGGGGGCGGAGTTAAAAGGAAATGGGCGGGGATTGAGAGAAAAGGGGCGGAGCCAAGACGAAATAGGCGGGGATTGTTGAATAGGGGGCGGAGCTTGTGGGATAGTGGGCGGGGCCAAAATGAAATTGGCGGGACTTGTGGAATAGGGGGCGGAGTTGAAAGGAAATGAGCAGCGATAGAGGGCGGGGCCAAAAAAAATGGGCGGGAGTTGTGGGATAGGGGCGGGGCGCAGGGGTCAGCCAAGAGAGGAGAGCGAGCGTGAGGCGAGCCAAAGATAAAAGAGGAGGAGTCAAGGGACAAAGTGGGCGGGGCTTGCGGAGGAAGAGGCGGGGTAAGTTATGGGGCGGGGTTAGAGGGGGGAGAGCAGATGGGGTTAGGTGAGGGGAGGGGGGATTTATATTCTGGGGTCAAAGGTCGCCGGAGCCCACGTGCGCTACGTGAGTTCTGTTGCTGCTGCTGCTGTTGTATGTCGAACGGAGCTGAGAAAACATGACAACTTTTAAACCACACGAATATACTTAACAAGTTTACGTTTTATAGATCACGATATGCAACGTGTCATTTACAAACCGAATGATAGCGGGCGACGGAACTGTCAAAGCAATCGGGTCTCGGTGTCCCGCTTGCAGCGGTCGAGTGTATTTATTACAGCACTCGAATGTTTGTTTGCCGTCGTGGACTTGTCTTAGAGGGCCTCACCAGCTCGGCTCGTTGAGCTTCAGACGTGTGCCTCGTTCAGCTCGGCGCGCCAGACAGCCCGAGTCCGAGACGATGGACGACTCCGCCGACGCCGCCGCCGACGCGACGAGACTCGCGGAAGGGAGCGCCGAGGCCGGAGACGCGGACCCTGCCGCGGCAGCACCCTCGCCTCCGCACGCCACGGGCTCCGCAGGGCCGCCGAGTGTCGCCACGAAGCGCAAGCACGGCCAAAGCGCCTGTGCGGCGACCGGGCAGCGGCAGTGTGGCGATAATGATGATGGCGGTGATGATGATGGAGGAGGAGTAGGAGGAGAGGGCAAGCGGCCACCGCGTCGCCACAAGCGCAGCCGACATCAGCGCGTCTCCGGCGAGCGCCACGTGCCGCCCCCCACGAAGCGCAACGCCGGCGTGAGCTTCGGCGCGGAGCACTTCGCCGAGGCCGGAGTGCTACGTCGAGGCCGGGCTGCGCCGGGTGCGGCCCTACCGCTTCGACTTCAAGTCGTACTGCAAGGGCCGCTGGCTGGGCCGCACCCTCGGGGAGGTGCTCGCGTCCGAGTTCCGTGCGCAGGGTCCCCGCTACTACGAGGCGGCGTGCGCGGCGGGCAGGATCACCCTGAACGGGGAGCGCACCTCGCTCGCCGTGGTGCTGCGCGACAACGACCTCGTCCGGCACACCGTGCACAGGTGAGGATGGACACCTGTGTGTGGGGGGGAGGGCGGGGGGAATGGAGCTTCCATAGCTCATCGGATTTCTCCAGGATCAATAACGATTCTGAGGTAGCGGCGGAGACGTCTCGCCCCGGGGCAGAGTCGTCCCCCTCGGTCCAATCGCCCCCCTCGGTCCAATCGCCCCGGGGCAGAGTCGTCCCGCGATGGGGCCGTGGTGGCGACGCGCGCTTGTAAATCCATGAACTGTGGAGGCAGCGAGGGTTGGTGGGTCACTTATGTAAATATTGCGAAACTCTCGTACCCCTTGGGCCGTCGAGGAAGGGCCGTCTCCCGGCACGCCAGGATACGGCGGTGGTCACGGCAAAAATGTGGACTCCGCCTGTGTGGATGTTGAACTTCTTTCGCACCGTACGTAACCAACCGCGGTAATGGCTTGTTGGCCACCTCGCACGCGTGGGTTTCTCTAGGTGCTCCGGTTTCCTCCGACATGTGATCGCTAATTTTCTGAGAACACCTTAATATGTTTGGAACCGCAGAGCTTGAGTAATTGTTGGCGCCGGATCATCGCGTGCATGTCTGTGGTTCCTCGTGCCTCTGATTCGTTCTCCTTCTCTGCGAGAGTGAGCCAACACTGTGCGATGCGTCACAAGTTGTCATTTTTTTAGTACGTAGCGCATTTGCCGCTCGTTGCAGAGATTCACAGTTTGAATTCCACCGGCCGCCCTGGTGTAATACCGCGGTGTGTGTGTGTTATCTTGACAGCCATCGCCAGCATTGTCATCATTACAATTATAATAATGCCGTTCACTGAATAAAGAAGGCATTGCTGAGACGTGTGACTTTGGCAGCGGAGTGGCAGTGATGGGAGTTATGGGGTGGCACCATTCTTCCCTACACCTCTGCTTCTTTCCTTTGCCAGCATAATTATTATAATGATTAACTATGTTTATCCAGCGGAAGAGGAGCTTCCTGCATTGGGAGGTTCCTGTAAAGGTTCTGTGTATAGTTCTCTTCGGCCCTCTGCCGTGGCAACTTTCCCTACACCTATCGCACGTTGTCTGACATCTTCACCATCACGTGACCTCGTCCGACCTCCTACGCCACGTGACCTTCATTCCGTGACCCCCGACTCTCCCCCACCCCCTCCCCCGCAAGGCACGAGCCACCCGTGGCCGCGGGCTCCGTCACGCTACTCGCCCAGACGGACGAGCTGGTCGTGGTAGACAAGCCCTCGTCCATGCCGGTGCATCCGTGCGGACGCTACCGCCACAACACGGTCATCTTCGTGCTGGGCAAGGAGCATGGCCTGGCGCCGCTGCACACCGTGCACCGGCTCGACCGCCTCACCTCCGGCGTGCTGCTGTTTGCGCACACGCTCGAGGCCGTGCAGCGACTCGACCGGCAGATCCGCGAGCGAGAGGTCAGCCCCGGGGCCAGAGGGGAACGGGGGTCGTGACCCCTAGATGGGTTCGCGTTGGGCGGTGACCGCTCTCGCACACGGCAGCGTTGCCGCACTTTCCAACACGCGCGTTTGTGCTCGTGTTTGATGAGCTATCGTAGTATTGCCTTCAGAGCCACAACAACCACAACGTAATGACCTTCACCTGCAAAGACGATACTTTTAGCGCTGGTTTTTTTTCGCCAAGTTTCCAGAATGTTTTTTTAGCAATCTCGCCGGTTTTTCTAACAGATAACTCCCCAATAGAAAAGCAAATTTACGCAAAACATGTATTTATATTGGATCATCTCCACGAGAGTGACTGTGAAGCCCCTCGTTTCAGAGAGAGAGACTGAGCCAAAGCATGAACACTTTCAACCTGAGTTGCAACACGTTAAAACATTAACAGTCACAGGATACGACTGTGTAGGTTTTCGCGGTTGCGCTGCGTGACTCTCCGATGTGTCTTTGAGTTGTTCTGCGTGATGTCTGACGTTTCGTTCCACGTGCTGGGAGCTTCTTCAGGAACCAAATTACATTGGACACCAAGCCGAATGACATGAACACGTGGGAGAGCGTTGCAGTGACAGGAGACCCTCATCCTTGCCTTTGACCCCTGACTCCTGACCCCTGATGCCTGTTTCCGCCCCCGCCTCGCTGACCCCACCAGGTGCAGAAGGAATACCTGTGCCGCGTGGAGGGCTGCTTCCCGGGTGGCAAAGGGGAGGAGGCGGAGGAAGTGGTGTGCGCCGAGCCGGTGCTCGTGGTGTCGTACAGCGTGGGCGTGTGCCGCGTGGACCCGCGCGGCAAGCCCTGCCGGACCACCTTCACGCGTCTCAGTTACAACGGCCGCTCCAGCGTGCTGCTGTGCCGGCCCGAGACCGGGCGCATGCACCAGATCCGCGTGCACCTGCAGTTCCTGGGCCACCCCATCCTCAACGATCCCGTGTACAACGCGGCCGCGTGGGGGCCGGCGCGTGCCCGCGGCGGCACCATCGGCAAGAGCGACGAGCAGCTGCTGCAGGACCTCCTCGCCGACCGCCGCCGGCTTGGCGAGGAGGTGACGGAATACGGTGACGGTGGTTGCGGCGGCATCGGCAATGGGGAGGGGAGTATCGTCGGCGGGGGCATCACGTGCAGCGGAAATGACGATACTGCAGAGAAGAGCAGTGGCGGTGGTGGTGATGGTGGCGGCACAAACGAGCCGGTTATGAGGTCGTCGGAAGCCGAGGACCCATGGGCTGGCGGGCAGGACCCTCTCTGCAGCGAGTGTCGCCAGACTCGGCCGGACCCCAGGCCCGATCAGCTGATCATGTTCCTGCACGCGCTGCGCTACCGCGGCCCCGGCTGGGAGTACACGGCGCCGGCGCCAGAGTGGGCGAGCGCCGACTGGCAGGAGCCCCCTCGCCCAGACACGGAGAAGAGCGATGGGACACCTGGGCAGAATGAGACACTGGCCAGCACCACCACCACCACCACACCTGGGCACAACTAGACGCTCGCCATCACCACCCCTGGGCAGACTGACGCTCTGGGCTTCACGTGACTGCAGCACACGGTGGTGGTGGCTGCTACAACGCTCAGCAAAGCTTCTTGAAGCGACCTCGGTTATTTTGGTAAAGTCACGTAACTTTACCGAAATAACCAAGAAGATGAATCCCTGCAGTCACGAAAGCTTTAAATCGAAAATTCTTGAATCGCGTTGTGGCAAGCGATCAAATCGCTCCGTTGTCCTGGTAAATAGTACACGATGTGTTGTATCATAGGCCCCGGCAACTTTGAGTTTAAATCGTGGGCATGGTGGATAAACCAGTCCTGGATCATCCACCACCTTTACCTAAGCCACACCGGTTATGTTTCGTCACACATCCTCTTGTGACACGGCATGGGGAGGTCTTCATCCAGCAGTGGCTTGACAAAGGTGCTTGTGAATTATATTGTTTGTTGACTTAATTTCCTCATTCATGTGGGTTTCGGTGTGAGGTCCCGAAGTATTTTTATTGTCGCTCTGCAACACTTAAATTATGATTTATTTAGGAAGGCCTCGACAAGTCTCAAGATTCCCTTTTCCCCGAAGGGTTCTGCCCTTTCGGGAAATTTGGCCGATTCCTTTTAAAATAACCAAATCATCTGGTGATGCTGCTGCTTCTGTGTTGGCAATGGTGCATAAGCACATTTAACCACAAAAAAACTCAACACTTTCCATAGCAATGTAATAAAACATTGGTTTTTATTTTAAGGCAGCGTTATCTCCAAATATATTGAACCTTTTTAGGCACTCGGTGTATTTAAATAATCGACGCTTCATGTGAGCAGAACAGCCAGAGTACGTGGAGATAACCCACCATGCACACGAGGGAAATCGATCTGCACAGATGGGTTTGTGAACCCGCTTGCCGTTTTGTGGTCTTGTTGTCATCACGCGTACACGCGCGAGTCATTTACGTTTGATCCGAACACCCTTGTCTCCAAAGTGCTAGATAATGGGCATTCGCGATCGCCGAGGGGAGTTTGAACTATTTTGAAAAAAAAAAACTGTTAAACAAAAAATAAACCAGACTCGAAATATATAAATGGACTGTGTTTTTCGACGATTAAAACAACTCAACAAATTCTTACTTTGCTCAGATTATCCCCACACACACCTCGTCTGATGGTTAAAAAACCGAGATTTATAAACAATCCACATTCACGAGGTGAGTTAGGAGGGAAGAGCGCCGAGTCAGCTTTGTGCAGCATCACTGTGAAGCACTGAGGCAGGGGCGCTTGCAAATGAGACTCCTATTCTGTCGATGTCCGCCAGCCACGAGAGGGCTTCAGCAGAGAGTTCGTGTCATTTTGCTGTTCCTCCGTCGAAGGTGGTGCCGCAGGCTCCAGTGGTTTTACTCTTCGGTTCATAGTTTGGGTTGCATGGGCACGATCGCATTACTGTTGATTGTGTGTTGCTGCTGCTGCTGCTTTTATTGTAACAAAACACGAGCCCACGATACAGCACGCTGCGCCGGGTCGCATAACCGGGTTTCACATTTATCTGGGGAGGTAAAAGGTGGGGGAGAGGGGCCTGCTGCCCCCACCAAGTGATGATGTTGCTTGTCATTTGGTTCTTTCGGTTAAGTCACGTCTAAAGATAAAATAATAAATTAAATTAAATAATAGCATACGACGTTTCGATTGCAACACAAGCAATCATCATCAGGTATAATGAAATAGCGACATAAAATCTAACCAGAAAACTATAGACAGACATATTAGCAGACAGATATCACCAAGATACATAGAGGGAGCAACACAGGTAACAGAGAGGGGTGATCATCTCTGTGGGGTGGCCTTAAATAGACAGAGGGGGGAGGAGGCAGAGAGAGGGAGGGGGTTAGAGAAAACATTTGCATATCATCTGTCTGCTAATATGTCTGTCTATAGTTTTCTGGTTAGATTTTATGTCGCTATTTCATTATACCTGATGATGATTGCTTGTGTTGCAATCGAAACGTCGTATGCTATTATTTAATATAACTTATTATTTTATCTTTAGATGTGACTTAACCGAAAGAACCAAATAATTCCTGCAGTCACGAAAGTTCTAAAATTAAGATTGATGTTGCTTGTCTTTAATTTTCCATTCGTAAAGGAGATGTGTGCATCGGCCTGTAGATGTTCTGATGCGGTTGACGGTCACACCAATGTGTTCTAAGAATATCAAAGCCAGGAGGTTGCGATGTTTGGGCCTCGGATGAGGCGTTCATTCTGGACGTCTGCGTTGATTCGCCAGCAGTACTTCCAGATCTGGGTGAGATTTTAGGATGGTGGCAGCAGCGTGATCCCAGAAGGGGGATCGGGTCTTTAGTTCAAGTTCATTAGGTATAGCCCTGTGAGCCATTCAGCTCTTGAATCGGGTGCAACCGCAACAAACAAAAAACAAAAACATGAACAAAAAACATCTTAAAGTGACTATGTGACTAAGTGCAAACAGAAAATTCAAGAAAAGACAGCAAAAATATTGCAGAAAAAACACCGTACACCAACGCTGTGTGCAAAAATCTCAGTGGGATGCAAGTCAAACAACAACAACCACAAGACAGCTTAGATTAAGGCCATCAGTCTAACTCTGTACTACAACAAACAAACATGGTTAAACCAAACATACACTTTTCGAAATCACCAAAATAAAGCCATGAAAGCAATGAAAAATCAATCAGGAACTGTGACGGAATTTTCACAATAAACGGCATAAACAACATGTACTACCAAAACCCTGCAGCCATAGCTGGCTGCATGAGTCACTCCACAACAGCAGGAGCATCAATCGGAGTATTGTAATTTTTCAATGCACCTTTTTAGTGAGTGGCGAGGAACTTTGTAGAGGTTTTGGTTGATGAGTATGTGGTTTTCGTTGGAAATAAAATGTGTTAACTCCCTTGCAGTAGTGTGCACATGTGTCTTGTCGATATTTGGTGGCAGAATGCTCGTCACAACAGGGAGCCAGGGGATTGGTGTCGGTTGTGGTGTGCCGGTTACAATGCGCGGTGCGTGTATGTAGTTGTGCGTCTAGCGTGTATGTGTACGGGCTTCTGGACCCGGCTGGAGCTCAGTGGTGTGCCACGGAGGAGGCCCGGTGAGAGGGTGGCAGTTCGCAGCGCGTCAGCTGAAGCGTCCCCTGGTCGTTCCATGCAAGTGTCGATAGCAGGGCGATTCTTAATTTGGTACTCCCACAGATCTGTTTCACGTGGGGCTTTTGACGGCCAGACTTCTATCCATAATCGACTCTTATCCTGGTCGCACGAGTTCTCACCCGGTTAAACAAAAGAAACTTAAAACTTGATTTTTGTTTTACCCGAAAAGAGTTTGTAGGTGTAGAAAAAGTGGTTTTAATGTGAACGTTCAATAAAAGGGTGCCGCCTAATAGCAGAAAATTACCAATGTCCTGTTCTCGTGGAGCGTTCTGTGTTTGAGTAGTTCCATGGTGATTTTTCTTAACCACGGGTTGTCGTTTGAATGTTGGTAAAGCATTTGAAATTGTATTTGCTTCTAAATGAGCTTTTAAAGGTAAAATGCAATGAAACAGCGCCTCCTAGTGGTAGAACAGCGCCTCAATACAGTACAGGCAACATTTTTAATTTGTCTACTTGTTGGCTCTTTCAGTAAAGTCACGTAGAAGGGAAGTAATAAAATAATAAAACATAATAAAACAATTCTCACGACGTTTCGGCCACGACGCAAGCACCTGAGGACGGCTGCTTGCGTTGTGGCTGAAACGTCGTGAGAATTGTTTTATGTTTTGTTATTTTATTACTTCCCTTCTACGTGACTTTACCGAAAGAACCAAGAAGATTGTCTACTTGTGTTTCTTCCCTTGTGATGCGACTTTGTAGGATGAACGTTGAGATGTATAAGGGGCACGTGGTGACCAATAAGGGTCTGAATTGGTCTGTAATAAGGTCGGGCACTGACAAGGGGTTTGACAGCCATGGATTCTGAACAGCAGCGACCAACAACAACACAGCGACGGATAAACGTGAGCACGTGGCCCACCGTCGCCACGTGCTCCACCACGAGTCGCATTCACGTTTCCCCGCACGCCGTCACACGTGACTTCTAATGCGCGGTCCGGGGCCGCCGGGCCGCTCGTTACGTCACTTCCAGGTCACGTGGCCCTCACTTCCTGCGCGCGCTGCACGTGACGACGTTACAGCCGGCGCGCGGCTCCGGCGAGGGACACGTGGGTGACGACCTCTTGACCTATTGACCCTTTGACCGTGAACCTCGGTACCCCACCACCCGAATTGCGATGTTCCGCCTGGAGGGGCTCGGTCCGAAGCCGGACCCCGAGGAGATCAAGAGGCAGATGCGTGCCGACGTGTGGAGCACCGCGCGCAATTTCCTCATTTACGTGGCCGTGCTGCGAGCAGGTGAGGGAGGGGGGGGGACTGCTCACCCACAGCATCCGCATCGTCGTCATTAACATCATCAGCCGTTCACAGGCCACCGTTTGTGTCAACTTCCTCATCCCCATGTCGCATTCTCTCACGGTTCGCATTTTCAGTTAACCGTACTATCAACATCACGTCAGCGCCGATATCAACGACGTCATTTCATCACCAATATTATAATCGTCATCAAAAAACGTAATCTGCGTCATCGATAACATCTTCGAGGTCAGCATCAGGACATCAACATGGTTAACTCTGCACGTTGAGCTTCTTTCTCACCGTACGTAGCCCAACCGTGCGAATTGGAGGTGCGGGGAAGGTCGTTGTCATGAACATCATCGTCATTGTCAATCCACTGGGGTGGGTGGGGGGTTATGAGGCCAGAGTGTGAATTCCTCGGCTCCACGTGTCGTCATCTGCAATATGAAATACGTGCAAACTCGTGTGTGCAAATACTCGCCTGTCCACGCATCGACCACCAGCCCCATCGCACACGTAGAGCGGACACCGCGCGCGTTGCGCCTTCTGTTCCGCAGCGCCGTTCGTTCTCCAGCAACTGGACAAGATCTGAGTGTCGGAGGAGGTCTCGTCCACCATGAGGACAAGACGGACCAAGACGCGCCGCCCTTACGCCCTCGCCCAGCCCAACATAAATCCTGTTCCTCAATAAACCCCACCGGCTACCATCAACCCTGTCCTGTGTGTGTCAGTTACAGTATTTGTCATTGCGAGTGGTGTGTTCATCAAGCGAGTGAATATTCACGCACACACTGGCTTTACGTGTGATTATTCATTACACAAAGCCGGTGCAAGTAATGATCGTGGGTTTCCAGCACCATCCCGCCTCACCCCCCCCCGCTTCATATCCCAGAATCTGTGCAGTTGCCTTTTCTGCGTAACTCAATTGGCTCAGCCTAGTGTCCTTCGCTCATTTACAGAGGGGAGGGAGGGGCACTTTCGCCGATAAGATATCGATGTCAGTAAGGTTCGTCACATTTGAAACCATTGAGGTTTGACAGTACGATGATGATGCAGACCTGTCAACATCTTACCAGTGCCTACCTTATTACACACCAATTCAGGACGTTTTTGGTCACCCCGTGCCCTTCTAATTCTCAACGTTCATCCTCCAGTCCCATCACAAGAAACACATTTTTTGTTGCCCGTATTAAAACGGAATGTACGCCATACGGATCTGAAAACTCAATTTCCCTGTACAAGAATACGGAGTAAACCGTATAGGTTGAATCGTAATAGGTTTTTACCCTTTCAACTGGTACAAAACTGACACCTTTATACAAGGGATCATGTTTGCAATAACCACAACACAAGCAGTCAAAACGCCAACAAAAAGAAACAACTCTGATAATGATATGCACTGTCCTCAATCATTAGAGTTTATTTTTGTTTGCATTTTGACTGCTTGTGTTGTGGTTATTGCAAACATGATCCCTTGTATAAAGGTGTCAGTTTTGTACCAGTTGAAAGGGTAAAAACCTATTACTATATTTTGCCACTGGTAAAGGAGGTCTCAGTGTTACCGTACGGGTTGACGGCTACAATGACTGGGGGGTGTTTCGAGTCTTGTCGAGGGCCGCACGAAATGGGCCACCAGGGGCCGCCAATGCCCCGAAGATTCGCACCCACTGGATTCGATCTTCACGATGTGCGGTCACGATTCCGTTCAAGAACAAATGTTTTTGTTTTCTCTCTTTCGTACTGAAATAAAATGACGTGGGCAAAGTTTGCCAAAAATAACACTGAAATATAGCAACATTCATGATGAAAACTAAAAGTAAGGAATATACGTACACAGGCCAACACAAATTAGACATCTAGGGGAAGAGTATTTTAACAAAAGTGCTGTGTAAAACGTTAAACTTGGGTAAACATTTTGCAACTTTTAAGACTGCATAAACACGCAAAAACTACAAACGGTAGAGTAGTCATCAAAAGTGTGAACACAAACTCCATAGTAATTTTTTAATTGTTAAATAATTCTCTGCATTAACATTTAAACATACACAAAATATAGCATGATAAATTCTGTATCAAAACAATCTATTTCAAGTGATACATACAGTCGTTTGATGCGAGCGTACGCATAAGACGGTGAAGAGTGAGGTGTGACCCAAAGCAAGCAGAGCGAAACTGCAGCGCTGCAATGGCTCGGCTCCCACCACTGCTGCCAGTCGCGTGACCCCGACTAGAGGGACCTCTAGAGACGAGATCCTCCACAGCAGAGGTCGGCTACCTGGAGCCACATGCGGTGGCTCTTGAAATTGGGGAAAAAATGGCTCTGTTATTTTGGTTGCCAACCTCTGGCCGTGGGAGTCCAGTTCATCGTGGGTGTCCAGTTCACCATAGGAGAGCCCAGTTCACCGTGGGTGTCCAGTTCACCGTGGGGGAGCCCAGTTCACCGTGGGGGAGCCCAGTTCACCGTGGGAGTCCAGTTCACCGTGTGAGCCCAGATCACCGTGGGAGCCCAGATCACCATGGGAGCTCAGTTCACTGTGGGAGTCCAGATCACCGTGGGAGCCCAGTTCACCGTGTGAGCCCAGATCACCGTGGGAGCCCAGATCACCATGGGAGCTCAGTTCACTGTGGGAGTCTAGATCACCGTGGGAGCCCAGTTCACCGTGGGGGAGCCCAGTTCACCGTGGGAGTCCAGTTCACCGTGTGAGCCCAGATCACTGTGGGAGTCCAGATCACCGTAGGGAGGGGTTGGCAAACTGGCTCCGGAGCCGCATGCGGCTCATTAAGGACCGTTTTGAGACGTTATTTATGAAGGACCACCCCGTCTCGTATTTAACACGTGCATTGCGGCTGTTGAAAGAGTTTTTTTTTTTATCGAATTCGAACGAAAATGGCGTTTCTTATTTTAATTGCAGAACCCTGCCCTAGAGGGAGAGACTCGGCCTAAATTAGGAATTCAAGAAAGATGAAAATACTGTAAGTGTAATACGTCGGAGCACCTGGACATGTAGAAAACAGTCATAGTGAGAGGTATACATTTAAATCATCTCGATTGAAAACTCGTTTTTTTAGTACTGCCTTTTGTGTTTAGTAAGTTGTCCTTTCCCGCACCTCCGATTAGCACGGTTGGCTACATACGGTGTGTGCAAAAGAAGTTTAACATACGTACATACTGGATGTGGTGTGCTGGGTGCCGAATTATTGTCGGGTTACAGACCTGGAACGGATTCGGGTCGCACGGAAACTGGAGGAAGTGCGTGACAAGCGATCCACAGCCACAGTGGCAGAGACACGCTGCCGGATGTGGTGTGCCTGGCACAGATACTGCAATGTATTCTGGACAGACTCCGCCGAAATTGAACCCTGGGCGTTTGAGTGCCTGTAGCACGAAAGGTCAACTTACCCCAGGACTCGTGACCTCAGTGCCACATCTCTCCGAGTTGACCAATTTAACTCCGTTACGTGCTTTGCGTGCCCGATGGACTGCTAAATTGTTAAATAAACAAGTATACTTGATGTACAACTTGTTTTCATATACATATACAGGCATATACATAATTAACTAAATTTCTATGCAATCAATTTCTCATCCTGAAATTATTTCCCAGCATTCCACAAAATGTTCCGCTGGGTGTGTGGCACTGACACGCAGCACCCATCCCTCACCCTCAACCCCCACGGCGTCCGTCAACGACGTCTGCGGTGCAGCGAGTGAGCGGACGAATGAGCGAGCGGTACAAAGCGACTGCAGCACAATGGGTTTCACAGTAAACAGATGCGTCCGTCAGAGTGGACTGCGAAAAGTGGCGTCCACACCCTGAGCACCATTGAAAATCGCTGGGTGCCTGCTAACGGCAGCCACAGCAGCAGCATTAGTAAAATTCAACCGTAGTGTTTTCGTTTTCCTCCACGCGTGGCCGCCTTATCGGCGGTATTTCACCGGAGCCGCCACCCATCGGGGGATGTTGTTGACGTCGTGGCGGGGGAGGAGGGGGGGGTCGAGTGGCGCGAGTGGCGGCGTCGTCTCCCGGCGCGGGCAAGCGTTAGCCCCGCGGTGGCGGCAGTTTACGCCCCGGCGGCGGTGAGAACCGTTATCTGTAGCCATTGGCGGCGTCAGCGTCAGCGTCATAGGCGAGGTTGGGTCGCAGCCAGCGCTCCGCCTCCTCCAAGGCGATCCCTTTGCGCGCCGCGTAATCCTCCACCTGGACGATGCAACGACACGTCACAGTGATATCAACACAGCAATTGCAACAACGATTTTTTATTCGAGAAGTTGAATTTTTTCACAATAGCAAATGAGCTAGCAAATTTTTGTAAAATGGATGGAATGAAAAAATATATGCTCAGAGGGTTTGAAGTGAGGGTTTACTGACATGGGTGGAAAGCAGATGACAATATGGTGAATAGGCATGCAATGCAACCATGCGACACTGTAGATTATTACGGTTGTGATATATACATCAAGTAATTCGTGAGACTATTACAATGCACAGTATTCCAAATTGCATGCGCATGAAGCAGACAAAGCTTTACAAACAAGGCAGAAAACCTTGAATTATAACAAGACCAAAAAAAATGAATCCATCCTTGAGCTGAACCATCAACTTAAACCCAACACATGCCTAAAGAAGACTGTGTATGGATAAAGACACTTCGCAAAGGGATGGGGGAGGAGAATGAACGAGCCGGACATTTAACCCTTGACCTCACTATCGGTGGACACTGAATGGGGGTGCGGTGCCGTCACCTGCTCCTTGGTGATCTTGCCGACCCCAAAGTACGTGGACTTGGGGCTGGAGAAGTAGAGGCCGCACACAGAGGCCGCCGGGGACATGGCGAGGCTGTCGGTCAGTTCGATCCCTGGACGGGGGGGGGGAGGGTGGGGGGGGCAAGGGGGGGGCAAGTGGGTGGCATGCATAGAGGGATCAGTGACAGTGAAGTACGGGGAGCGGGAAGGAGTGCAGTGGGTGTGATGGGCGAGGCAGACGGAGAGACCCAGGGTGTGGCAGTAGGATGGAGAGGGATGCAGGCAGGCAGGCACAAAGGGATTGAGAAATCGGAGGCACAGAGGACAGGAAGGTGAGAGCGTAAGAGGGGCAGAATTAGAGGGATAAAAGCAGAAGGGGACAGAGAGGGAGGAATGGAGAGAGATAAAGACAGGAGAGAAGGAGACACTGATAAAACCGAGGTGAGTTCGATAGCGATTGAGCGAGCCTACAATTCCAGGAGTGAGAGTGTGAGAGCGACCAATTCGAGCGATCGATCAATGAATCGATCGATCAATCGATCGGTCGGTCCACGGCGGGGCGCTCACCCGTGTCCCGCTGTACGTTGGCGAGCCGCCACATGGCGATCTTCTCTGAGTGGTCGGGCTGGCTGGGGTAGCCCGGTGCCGGGCGGATGCCGTCGTAGCGCACGCGCAGCATCTCCGCCGTGTCGGCGCACTCGTCCGGCGCATAGCGCCACAGCTCGCGCCGCACGCGAGCGTGCAGCTCCTCCGCAAACGCCTGTGTTCGGCCGGGCGGCACCGCCGTGCCACGCACGCACGCACGCATGCGTCAGCAACAGAGCGGACAACGCTACCCGGCACCGTCGCGGGATGGCCGACGGGGTTTCGGTGTCCCTGGCAACGGATTCATAATGGCTGTGTCGAAGCACCAGCCGAGATATTTCGGATCTCAAGAACGTGACCCGGTTTAGTCCCAGAACCGCCGCCGTTAAGTTTGCATGAAGTGGTGCTAGTTTCATTTACCCTGGAAGGAGATAAAAGCTGACCCCACATCTGAACTCAACGAGCTGCTGACGGCGGGTCCTGTGCTCGACTTGATGTTGTCATGACCCACAACCCCTTGCTCAACGAGCTCCGAGCGAGAGGAAACCGACTGCTCAGAGAAAAGCCGCCGCGAATACGAGGGGACAACACTCTGCACCGTCCGCGTGCGCGCTTCGGATGTTTGGCTCGTGGTGAGCTCCCCCCCCCCACCCCCCCCAACTTCCCCAGCCCCCCACCCGCCCCCCGCCCCTGGGATAGCGCCGACCTCGGCGAGGCGGTCGGCGATGGCCTTGACCATGATGGAGTGGTAGTCGTCGAGCTCGCGCTCGTAGCGCCGGCACTCTTCATCGGCGCCGAAGCAGCCGACGGCGAAGAGGCCGACGTAGTCGCGCACGCGGGCGCTGCGCGGCGCCACGAAGTCCGACAGGCACAGGTACGGGCCCGGATCCGACGAGTCCTTTTCCGCCTGCGAGTAAATACATCACATTACGTAGATCGTTGTTATTTTAAATGCGGCGGAGGCATTGCGCAATCTAACGCTTTCTAACGCCGCGGTTGTCACCGGCGGCATTCAATCTGTGATCTCTGCGGCTGCGCCCTAATTCCTTTGTCACATGCGCGGTCAGAGTACGGTGTAAAATAAAGAATGTGTGTAATAAGGTAGGAGCAGTGCCCCCCCCACCCTCTCCCTCCCACCCTCCCCCCTCCACCACCCCCCCCCCCCCACCCACGGGACCCCCACCTGCTGGCGCAGGCCGTGCAGCACGGCGACGGGCGAGGTCCCCTCCCCCACGTCGTCGTCGTCCCCCCTCGCCTCCTCGTCGCCGCCGAAGACGTGGATGTCGTCGCCGACGGCGCTCGCCGGCCAGAAGCCGACGACGCCGTTGCCGTGAAGACGCCCGCTGTCCAGCAGCTCCGAGAGCAGCGCGGTGGCGTCGGCGAAGAGGTTACGCGCCACCTCGCCTACGCACGAGGGGGCGGTGACGGGAGAGTGACCCGAGTGGACGAGCGGGCAGGTGAGAGGGTGAGCGAGCCGTGGGTGGATGTCACTGGGTGAGTGCGTGAATGAGCAAGCCATCAGACACGCAATCAGGCACGCAAGCAAGCGATTGAACGGGCAAGTGGGCGAGCGGGATTGTGTCTAAGCGAATAAGTGAGCGGGTAAGTAAGTGAACGGGTGAGCAATTGAAAGGGCGAGCGAGCGAGCGGTCGAACTCACCGACCGTCTTGTCCTTGAAGATCTTGGGGTAGGCGCGGTTGGGGTAGCGCCCGCGCAGCTGCCACACGTCGAAGAACGGACGCCAGTCGATGTAGGGCACGACGCGGTGCAGGTCGTAGTCGCGGAAGACGCGCGTGCCCAGGAAGCTGGGCTGCACGGGTTGAGGGTGCGAGGCCCAGTCCACGTGCAGTGCGCGTTGTCGCGCCTGCTGCAGCCCCAGATACTTGCGGTCCTGCGACGGGGGGGCGGGGAGGTAACGGTTAGGGCTGACGATTTTGGTGATGGCGAAACCTGGGCTGCGGGTCCGCACAGGGCAGTAATGTAAACGATGTCGGCACTATCATCAGCACTACTACCACCATCACGAATACTATCATCGTCGTCAGGGGTTAGAGGCGATGGCCCCTGGGCGCGTATCCTTGGGCGAGTCGCGGTCGGTCACCTTCAGCGAGTCATAGTGCTCCTGCCGCAGCTCCTCGTATTCATCCGCCAGCTCCTCCACATAGTCCTGACGCACGGTGCCATCCAGAAGGCTGCAGCACTGTGTCGCGCACGGAGACACGGATCGCGTGACGCTCGACACTAACCACGCGGAGGCCGTCCCATGGATAGCAGTGCAGGCGGTGGTGGTGACTGGTGGTGGTGTGATGGCATGATAGTAATGGTGGTGGCAATTACAGTAACACGAGTGATGATATTCGTGGTGGTGATGCTGGTGGTAGTGCTGGCGGACATGGCGGGAGTGGTGTTTTGAGGACAATGGTGACGGTGGTGACTGTGGTTGTTGTGGTGGTTGAGACGACGCACCACCACGACGCTGCGCGAGGCGTCCAGCACGTGCACCACGGTGCCACCGTAGCGCGGGGCGATCTTCACCGCTGTGTGCCGCCTGTGCTCATCCAACCGCAACCACAACAACGTCAAACCACTTACAATGCAAGCGAAATCGTGATAATGGACCGGCGTCATCTGTGCAACAGTTGCACGGACCCCTCCCCACAGACCCCTTCTCTCGGACCCCTTCCCATGGGCCCCTTTTCACGGACCCCTTCCCACGGCCGCGCAGTCCACAGCTCAGGAACAACGGCTCGACGGAAAACACGGCACATGTGACAAGTTAAAATCATCATTCAACTACTGCCGAGCCGAGTATGCACTGCAAACGGGAAGGAAAAAAACCTACAAGGCCCCCCCCCCCTCCCTGCTGCTTCGATCGAGGATGTCCGCTTGTGATTGGTCACACCCCCTCCCCCCGGCCCCCCCGCCCCCCCGCCCCCCATCTCCCAACTGCAGCCACTCACTGGGAAGTAGTGGCCCCACCAATGAGCAGGGGGATTCGCATCCCAACGCGCTCCATCTCCCGAGCGACGTGAATCATCTCGTCCAGCGAGGGCGTGATGAGGCCGGACAGCCCGATGAAGTCTGGCGTGGGTGAGGGGGCAGCGGGTTGGGGCAGCGGGTAGGGGGAGAGGGGTAGGGGGGGGGGCATCAGAAGAAGTCGGGGCAGGGGTCAGTGGCAAAGTCACATTGGAAATTTTGCTTGAAGGGAAAGGGGACCCAGTGGTGTGGGGCTAAATGCAACCGTAACGCTGCGATGTAATTGGGGAATGTTATTGCTGACGACCAAATCACTCGGAATGCCACCGATATTGTCAGATCTCGAAAGCTAAGCAGGTTTTCTGGGCCTGGACTTCGCTTGGAATGGGCGACCACCATTCATGGCAGCTTGTCATACGCTGATGTGGGCCTATATTGCGGGCAGCAGAGAGCAGTGCAACACAAGCCATTGTTGTACTGTATTCCTATGCTCCCGCCTTCGCCAAACTACACTTGACGGGCGTGGTCAAGTGTCGTCATATTACCTCCTCCGTTCCTGCACCCTCCGCCCCCCTGCCCCTGCCAAGACTTGTGCCTCCGTGGAGGCCCACATCCAGCAGTGGATTACGGATCGCTTCGCTTCAGCCCGGGCCCCTCACCTGCGCGGTGCTCCACGGCCGCCTGCAGGATCTTCTCGCACGGGGTCATGACCCCCAGGTCGATGACCCGGAAGTTGTTACATCCGAGCACCACGGAGACGATGTTCTTGCCGATGTCGTGGACGTCGCCCTTCACAGTCGCCAGCACCATGGTGCCCTGGTACGGGTCCTGCACGCACACACGAACGTGTGGGGGAGGTGAGGGTGGAGATGAGGGTGGAGGTGAAATAGAGGTGTGGCTAGGTGGCTCAGTGGGGATGATACACCATGGTGCCCTGGTACGGGTCCTGCACGCACGCACGCACGCACGCACGCGTGGGGGAGGTGAGGGTGGAAGTGAGGGTGGAGGTTGTCTCGTTTGTTGTTCTTCCCCCGCAACTCCGATTAGCACGGTGGACTACGTACGGTGGCGACAGAACTTCAACATGTAAACATATAAACATGTGAACATATGAACATACAGGCGGGGATAGAGGTCTAGGAGAGATCGAGGTGTGACTGGCTGGCGGCTTTGTGAGGATGATACAGTAAGCTGAGCTCCCGAACTTTATATTGGGACATTAAGTCGGGAGTGTGATGGTCTCAGTCTAGACACTGATCAGTATACATGTATATCAATTATCTGGTGCTGCCGCGAAGGCAGTGGTGCAAAAGCACAAATAACAAAACAATTTAAATCACATTTGCCAATAACACTGTGGCCTTAAAAGGATAAATAGCTAACTTTCTAGGCAATAGCCCTTCTTGATGGTTTCTATTTATGTACTATGAAGAAGGACCATTGCCTGAAACGTCGCCTATTATATATTTTTAAATCCTTTATATTAAGTTCGCTTGCTTGCTTGTGCGCTTACGACCGTGCAAATCTTTCGGTCGTTTTTTAACCCACTTCCCGTGATCCAATCGAGCTGACATTTTGCACACAGACTCGTTGTGCGTGAAATTTATTTTCGTGAGAATTTATTTCCAAAATTTTACACTTTTTAGGACATTTTTTAAATTTAATTACCAATTGCTTAATGGTGGCAGGCAATCATCTGACCCATAGGTGGCAGCCATCTCAAGCCAGAGGACGAGAGGACTCTAGCCGCCACGCATATAAAGGATTTATAGTGAAAAACTTAGTTTTTACGGGTGAATTTTTTTCTCTTCAGGCCAGACGGTGTTGTTGACGAACGTGTGTAAGGTTTTGGGTATTAATTAGAATTTTCACCAAATTTGACCGAACCCAGCTCCAGAGGCCGAAACTTGACAGTGGTCATCCTAATCAGACCGGTCCTCGCCATTGGAATGTGGAACTTCCACACCACAGGCTCCAGGCCACCAGATTAGGCGAGGTGCACCACCGCCCCAGGTGATCTTCACGTAGGGGACACGCGCTGGAGGAGAGCCCTGGCGGCACGGAGCGGCGCCCTCGTCGTGACCGCGGTGCGGATTGACAGCGTGCGCCACCCACCACCTCGTCGGTGCAGCCAGAGAGGATCATCTGCTCCGCGCGCTCCTTCTCCATGAACGGGATGAGGTGTCCCACTGCCTTCTTCATCACACGCGCCGACTTTATCACCTACATACACGGACAAAGATCCCCACCACCACCCGTGTAGGCTTCACAGACTGTATAGGAGCAAGTGCCGCAAATGAAGACTGGCACGGCACACAAGGGGCTAGCGGTGTAGTCGACACCACCGCTCGACCACCTTAGTCTCCCCAGTGCTTACACAAGGTGATCATCTGAGGCTTCGTCGACCTCGGGACGACCTGAGCCTGATGCAGATATTCGCCACCGATCTTAGCCATGGCCGGGATTTGAACTCGGACTACCGGGTTTGTAACCACTGCACTACAGCTCCTGCCACACACCTACACAGCTCAGACACTCGTCAATCTGCACCGCCCTCTGACCGTGTCACTGTCACCGCACACATCATCTTAAACCCTTGAGGGTCAACCATCCGCATATTCACGTGCCTGGTTTCCAGTATATCCGGGACTGGTATCCCCTTTTGCCGGTTTCAATATTAAACTCTCAAAGATCGATGATCCGGATATTCTGGTCCCGGGGCATCCCCTCCTCACCTGCGGCAGGAACATCTTTCCCTGCCCGAAGAGGTCGCCGACGACCTTCATGCCGCTCATGAGCGGGCCCTCAATGATGTGCAGCGGCCGCGCGTACTGGACGTGGTCGAGGCGAGCCTCCTCCGTGTCTTCCACCACAAATTTCTCGACGCCCTAGGGGGGAACCGGTCGCAGACGTCCGTCACGCGCGTCCGATTAGGCGGGCCGGCGCTGCAGATGATAAACGCCGATCCATAAGCCGGGCCCCCCTCGTGCCCCCCAACCATCGGCCGGCTTTGTCCACATCCAAGCGAGTGGTTGCACAAGCAGGAAGTTAAACGGCGCGTCTCGGAGTTCGCGACGTGCAGCGCGCGGACAGACGCGTCATCAAAAACCGCCGTCGCCGGACGGTGCAGTTCGTCTCTCCTGCGAGCAACCGCTCGCGCAACCGGTTGCTCAGACGTACACACAAACACAAGCGATGCAGTTGCACGCAACCGAGGCAAGCAATTGACCGCTCAATGGATGCACACGTGTAAAATTGTGCAACCGAAGGTCTAGTCCAGTTGTGATTTATGCAAATTACATGAAAATTATATACAGATTACATGCGTGTATGTGCAGGCTAGATATGTGATTACGAGGGCCAAGACGCATCATGGCACCAAAGAGGGAGCATGGCCGGTGGTTGAGACTCACGGCCGAGCGGCAGCCACCCGAGAGAGGGACGTGCACCACGGAGATGGAGCGACGAGATCAGCTCGTGCGTAGGAGCTCGGCGGGATAGTAACACGGGTGGGGAGGCCTTCATCAAGTAGTGGGGAGAACGTGACCGATGATGGTCACGCGAGCACGCCATGCACACGCCCGGCCGTGCACATCTAAATCCCAGCACTGGCCCCAGATGACCGTTCCCATCGCACCCAAGTACTCGTTTTTAGGCCGAGTAGGCATAGGGAAGTGTCAAGCCAAGTTGGCTGGTACCTTGACGAGGGCGTACTGCAGCCTGGACTCCACGGAGCCGCTCCTCCATTCGTCGTTTTGTACCGCCTTTTTGCTGCCTTTAGGTGTGCAACTGTGGGGGTGCGAGGGGGGTCGGGGTGGAGGGGCGGTGGAAGGTTAAGGTGTCACACGCAGAGGTTGGGAAGCAGTGGGAGGAAGCGTGGGGTGGAGACAGGAGGCCACAGAAGAGACTGGGGGAACAGGGGAGAGAAAACGATGCACGCACAGGCGGGCAAATGCACGCGCGCACGCACACGCGGGCAAACGCACGGACCTACACGTCGGCGGACACACGCACGCTCTTACACGTGAGCACACGCGCGCACGCACCTGTGCGTACTGCAGCAGCTTGTCCGTGGCTTCGGGGTCGCGGTTCCAGATGAGCTTCTCGCACATGTCCAGCAGGTCCTTGTCGATGTCGTCGTACACGGGGAGGCAGCCTGCATTCACGATGCCCATGTCCATGCCTGCCTGCTCCAAATACGCGCACATACATAGAGACAAACACACACATTTATACAGAAACACATATACACATACAAACGTAGAGAGATAGACACACAAACATATACATGGAGACAGACACATACCCACATGCAAAGACAAAGACATGCACTCACACAAAAATAATCGATACAAGACATTAAAACACTGACAACACGAAAAATATAATTTAACTCAAGACCACTGTGCGGGTGAATCGATGTCACATGCCTCGCGTGGAATTTGCGGTACAAGCAGTGTGTATGTGCATGTGCGTGCTACATACGGTGTGTGTTGTGTACATTGTGTCAACGGTGTGGGTGTATGATGTACTGTGAGCTGCATGTGTGTGTGCACTACACACGCTGTGCGTGTGTGGTGTGTGCGGGGCGTGTGCAGTGCGCATGTGATGTGTGTGCGGTGCACGTTTGGTGTGGTGCAAGAGCGGGGCTTGCCTTGATGGCGTGATACAGGAACACGCCGTGCATGGCCTCCCTGATCGCCTCCATCCCGCGGAATGAGAAGGAGAGGTTCGAGAGGCCCCCGCTCACCCGCGCGCCAGGCAGCGTGGCCTGCCGTCCGTCGGGGCGAGAGCGTGGGGGTCACGTGGTGGGGGTCACGTGGTGGGGGTCACGTGGTGGGGGTCACGTGGAGGGGGGGTTACGTGGGGGGTCACGCGGTGGTCACGCGGTGGTCACGCAGGGACAACTATCTCCAGACATTGTTTGTGTTGTGCCCCGTGTTCGTCTTGTGTCTCTGCGTTGTGTCTCGTACCAATTGTTACGTTAATATGGTTCGAGATTTTCAGCATTTTTTAGATGAAAGTTGCATGAATGATGCAACGGTTTGACAATGAGAGGCTCCGTTGGGGAAGAGAGGGGGGGGCCCACCTTGATGCGCCGTGCAGCCTCCATGTAGGTGATGGCATAGAGGTTGTGCTCCTCCATGCCTGTGGCGATGGTAAGGATGTTGGGGTCGAAGATGATGTCGTTGGGGTTGAATCCGACCGAGCGCGTGAGCAGCTGGTAGGAGCGCGAGCAGATCTCCAGTTTGCGGTCGGCGTCTGTGGCCTGGGTGCAAGCCCGCCGTCGCCTCAGTCAGTGTCGTCAGCATCATCATCATCATCGTTTTTATGAATATCATCATTATGAGCATCGTCATTGTTGTCATAATCAATATTATTTTCGTCGTCGTCATCATCACCACTTTCATGATAATGATAAGTATCATGATAAGTATCATTATCATGACTATCCTCATTTTAACTATCACTGCCATGGTGGTAATCAATTCCTCATCATGACCAACGGTCAACATATATTCCACCACCATAATCACCACCACCACCACCACCTTCATCATCCACACATATAGATACCACCTTCACCAACAACACCATCCTTACACCATCATCACCACCACCACCTTCACCATCCACACATATAGATACCACCTTCACCAACAACACCTTCATCACCATCATCACCACCACCATCAGCATCCTTGTGATCTTTAGCATCATCTCCAACCCACTATTGGTGACCAACCACTGCCACCACCCACGATCGTCGCCAGCGCCGCCACTCGCCTGCCCAATCTCGTCGAAGGCCATGACGACGAGGGCGGCCCCGTAGCGGTTAACCACCCGGGCCTTCTCCAGAAAGTCGGCCTCACCCTCCTTGAGGCTCACGCTGTTCACCACGCACTTGCCCTGGCAGCACTTGAGGCCGGCCTCGATCACCGCGAAGTTCGACGAGTCGATGCACAGCGGAACCTTTATTTATTTGGTGGGGAAAGGAAGAGGGGGGATGGGTGAGCGGGAGATGGAAGTGGACATAAGTAGTCGGTTTGTTCTCTACTAGCTCCACTTTCCTCCCACATGTAAAACACATTCTGATTGGTCGATAACATCTTAACATATAGACAACCGCAGAGCTTAGGCGAATGATGGCAGGGCTGGCTCAATCGGCAAGGCAGCAGCCACATTCTCTTTCTCTCTCTTCGAGAGCGAGCGAATCCTATTCGGCGGAGCATTACAAATTGACATTATTTTTGTTGTTAAAAGTGAAACCACCTTGGCGATGTCGGGCTCGGAGGCGATGAGCTTGCAGAAGTGCGCCATGGCCTCCACTCCGTTTAGCATCGCCTCGTCCATGTTGATGTCGAGGATCTGGGCACCGGACTCCACCTGGGACTTTGCAATCGCCAGCGCCTCCTGGCAAAGATAGAGAGAGAGAGGAGTGAGAAAGAGAGCACGAGAGAGCCCGAATAGCGATTTGCCCTTTTCAGATTTTGTTCCGCTTTTTTCACAAGATTAGTGATGGCCTCCGGCTTCCCCCCCCCAGGTCTTTGACAACCTTTACGGCGCTGCGATGCCGCAACCCATCCATAGCATCTGCTGCTCCGTCTCCGTGGCGGTTGCCTCACGCGGACGCTTTCTCTCCATTGGCTGTGACTCCGTCACTGATCTCGACCACCGGACCATCATCCCCTCTCACTTTTAGGAACAGTCACCTTGCTGTCTGTAACGTGTAATCCCATTTGAGGAGGGAGGAGGAGGCTGGGGGAGGGTGGGGGCGAGTGGGGGCGAAGGAGGAGGAGATCGGAGGAGAGGAGAGGGGGGTTGTGGGCAGGGCAGGGGAGGGATGCGCAGGCCTCACCTCGTACTTCCCGGCCGTGATGAGTTTCGCGAATCTGCGGGAGCCGGCGACGTTGCAGCGCTCGCCGATGTTGACGAAGTTGGTGTAGGGCCCGATGCGGAACGGCTCCAAGCCTAGGCCCGAGGGGTCAGGTGGTCAGGTGATCAGTCAGTGGGTCCGGGGACAGGGGTCGGCAGGGCACACCTTTTGAGTGCAAGGGTATGGTGAGCAGCGTTCAGAAGTTCACGACTCCACCTGCCCCTCGACATGGACGACCACCAGATACCCTGTGCGTATGCGCACGTGCGTGCATACGCACACGTGCTTGTGCCCGTGTGTGTCCGCGTGTTTGTGTGCGTGTGTGTGCATACCCGCAAGCTGCATGTAGCCATCATAGGGGGATGTGGGTGGGACCCTGGGCTTGCACGTCCGCACCGCCTCCGCTATCGCCCTGCGGGGTCACACAGCAGAGCCATGCCGCACGGGGACAGTGAAGGTGGGGTAGAGGGGAGCAGGGTACAGGTATGGGTGGGTAGGGGGGGGATAGTAAAGTGGTGGGGGGGGGGGGGGGGGAGGCGGTGGGGAGTGGTGGCAAGGGGGGGAGTGAAGCGGCGGAGGGAGTGAAGAGGCGGGGGAGGGGAGCGCAGGGGGGAGGGGTGAAGAGGCGGGGGGAGTAAAGCAGTGGGGGGGGAGTGAAGCGGTGGGGGGAGAGAAGAGGTGGTGGGGGGGGGGAGTGTTCGCGGAGGCGCGGTGAGGGGAGGGGGGCTTACTTGATGTGTGCGGGGGTCGTCCCACAGCAGCCGCCCACGATGTTGACGAGGCCGTCCTGGGCGAAGCTCTGCACAACGTCGATAAACAACAATGCACGACGACAAACAACGACAGATCAAGAGAAAATATATCACAGGTACCAAAGCATAACAATACTTTTATTAGCCTGCCTTGACAAGGTTATTAGCTTGATAGCTACTTTGTTCATTAGCCCATTGGGTAATTGATTGATTGCAAGTGAGCAGGGGAGGCTTTTGTGGGGTGCACGGGTCAAAGGGTCACGGACCTTGAGGTGCCCTGCCGTTATCTCCGGCGTTTCGTCGTAATCGCCAAACGTGTTTGGTAGACCTGGAACGCACAGCACACAGCGCACACCCCCAACGTTACTCATCTCACACACACATGCCGCACACCCCCATCGACACTCATCTCACACACACGGTGCACACCCCCACCGATAGGAGGTGAGGTTCCTCACCTGCGTTGGGGTAGCAGATGACGAAGGAGGACGTCGCTTTGCCGATGGCCTCGACGAAGGGCCTCATGTCGGCCGCCCCCAGCGCGCAGTTCAGGCCGAGGCTGTGGGAACCAAGCGGCACGGCAGTTGTGAGCGTCGTGGTGCGAGTTTAACAATATGTATTTTCCGCACCATCTATTATCCTGTCCGCAATAAGTTTCTGGCATGGGTTTCGCATCAATAGCTTCGTTGTTGTTTGCTCTCTCAGTTAGTGCGCACACTCCCTGCACAGTGCGATGATGGCCTGTAACCGGCGCAAGCCCCAGTGATCCCTGGGCCGCGCTCGCCCTCGTACTGGAGCTGCTCGGATGGGTCTCGCCGGCTTGAATAATAATAACAAAGTCCGAGTACAATCGTAAGTGTCGTGGCACGAGGGTGACGGCGGTAGGGAATGATGCGTCGCACCACATGGGCTGGCTGTGCGAGACGCTGATGACGAACGCCTCCCCCGTCTGCCCCGACAGCGTGCGGCCACTCTTGTCCACGATTGTGCCCGACACCTCGACGCGCACACGCACAAATGTACACGAGCCGTCACAAAGGGACACACACGACACAAGGTAAATGTGAAAATACGCAACGTGTCGAGTTTGCGTTCAACACTTACAAAGATCGGTTTCGGCTCAAATTCTGCTTCAAAGAGCAGCTGCAGAGCAAAGAGAGCGGCCTGCACAAAAACACAAATAAAAAGAATGACTTGTGATTCAAGTTCACATGAACCTTATTCTTCTGCCCAGTATAGCCTCCACTCACGTGCTTCCAATTCTCCACTCACTCCTGTTCTGGGCCATCACCTCCACATCCCTTGGTCTTTGTTCCCCAACTCCTCCACGACCAGAACCCCTACCCCTTACCCTCAGTCCACTCACCCCTCCCACTCTCTACACTCGCCCCTCCCCTTCTCCACTCGCCACACCCCCGCGCCACTTGCCTTGGCATTGGCGGTGTCGAAGATTGTCTCGACCAGCATGATGTCGGCACCACCGTCCAGCAGCCCGCGCGCCTGCTCCGTGTAGGCCTGCACCAGCTCGTCAAACGCTAGCCACAGGGTAGGCAGGAAGGTCGGGGGGAGGATGGGGGCGGGGGGCACAGCTTGTAGTGTATTTCGACGCACAGCGCTCGCAAGGGAAGGTTAGCCTCAAGGTATTCAAATTATTGAGACATCGATTCAAATGTATTATTTTTGTCGTTTTACCAATTTTATCCCGATTGTGCTAGCAAAACGGTGACACATCGTTAGACGAAGCCACCATTCGGAACTCTTGCAGAGCAATGCAACTCTGAGTGCTAGAGAATGACCCGCGAAAGCAGACCATGTCGAGCTACCTCCGAGGCCCCTGTTGGCATTCTGCCGCATCTGTCGCCACTTGCCCAACGCGCGAAAGCCCAAATGTTCCTAGAGTCCCTCCCCGGCTCAGCTGGAGGACTTACTGACGTTCCTGAACTCGGGTTTCTCCACGGACGGTGAGACGGACAGCGTCTTGTTTGTGGGGCCCATGGCGCCGGCGACGAACCTGCGCACACCTGCACCGAGCAACACCGCCAGCGGAGAGTTCCGTGCCACGTCGATGCGCAAATGCCACCGTCGGCAACGTCCCCACCACGTACACGCCACCGTCAACTCGCACGTTGAACGACTCGCGACGTACGACGTGCGCATCACGGGCATGGAGACCGACGGAGAAAATGGAGCAAAAACTGTAGAGGGTGCAAAGCAGCATGAAGAGATGCACGCTTGGAATGACACCAAGACACAGAAAGCAGCGTGGTGATGCACGCTTGGAATAAGACTGCGACAAAGAAAGAGGAGCACGTGGATTAGAGGGCGACTGACGTGGCACCGATAGGACAATCGGGAAGGACATGCGGAGGTAGGATAATAAAAAAAAATTAGTGGGGCCACGCCACATCGCTGGCGAGGGATAAGGACCAGGCAGTCAAAGACGAGCGCCGGAGCGGCAGCCAAAAAAAAAGGAACGCCTTCCCCGAGGACGTTCACCATGGGCATGGAGCGATGAACATTCGGTTCGTGTGCAGTGGCGAGACAAATTGTTACATCGCAAAACTGCGAGCGATGATGTCAAAGATCCAGGAGTCGACAGATCACGGTCGGTTATAACGACGCCGAGGTGCATGCTGCGTGGATCGCGCGTGGCAACGCAGGTCGCGGCAGGTCGCCCGTACCCGTCTCGGCGCCCACATCCTTGGCTGCCCTCTTGGCCAGCTCCGCCGACACCTTGTTCAGCTCGTACGCCTGCAAGACAAGAGCACAGAATGTGAAGGCCCAGCGTCTGACACCCTCGCGTGGGCAACCGGGACCGCCTCGTCCTGAGCTGCGCTCCGTCGACACTGTGCCCAACCAACTCACTATGGCGCTGCCCTGGAGCATTATGGTTAAATAAATGTACTATGTTCTGTGCCTCCACACGTATGCATGTACGTATGTTGAACTTCTTTCGCACCGTACGTAGCCAACCATGCTAAGCGGAGGTAAACCAAATACATCGTTAACCTCTCGATTGTCCCAGACCAGTAGTGTCCGGTGGCGACGTAAATAAATGCCGCCGAATAATATCGGTGTGGAAAGCCAGACTACTACCCCAGAGAAGCGTGTGGCGATCCAGCCGCAGATAAGTCGCGGAAACGCCACTCATTTAAATAAGCAACTAGAGTTGTCCTGCAACTCGACTTGTGGGAAAAGCAGGACAACCTTAAGGCTTCCCTCGAGTCGACCCGGGTCATCTGTCGCCCCCCCCCTCCCCAGCCACCAGCCCCACCCCCCGTGTAGTCTGACCCGCTGTCACGCACCACATGTGCCAAGCCTACGCGTAACCAGCCTGCACACAGCTCCAGTTGGCTGCCCATTCGGACAGGAGCCTCAATTCCCCAGATATGCGACTTGCACTCCTAGGGCTGGCCAGACCTCCACATCAGAATGCAGGACCAGCAGATGATTTAATGTTTCGGGAAAGTGCGGCCCGACCCGCGCGACGACTCGAGTTGCTCAGAAAATGTCACGTTAATGCCAATTCCGGTTGTTCATCCGTCAACTTGATTGCCGTGAGAAATCAGATCAACTCAAGGTGGTCCCATGGCCATGTGGCGCAGTGGTCGCCCTGCGGATCCACTGCTGTTTAGTCCAGCCACCATCACCACCAACACGCACCATGTGCTCCAGGCCGTAATCAGCCTGCGCGATGCTCGTCCCACTGAAAGTGTTCGTCTCGATGATGTCCGCCCCGGCGAGGAGGTATTCCTATATGAGCACGCACACACGCACGCACGCACACACGCACGCACGCACACACGCACACAGGCACACACACCCACATATGAGCACAAAAATCCCCCGAATAGCCTGAACAGACCGTCAGGGCAAATGCTGTTAGAATGCCTGCAGAGGACAACACAGTGTGGCCAGCACCATCCTCACACATATATACAAACACCCACACACAGAGACTTACATAGATCCCCCCACTGTAGCCATACAGACAGTTGGCGAAAGTGCTGTCAGCGAGCATCTGTACAGTTCCAGAGGTCGATCTCCGACACAAAGTGGTGCGCTGCTTTCTGCCAACGGTCCAAATGAGAACGTGTTCGTCTCGCGACACCAACGCCGATGGCACGAGAAGAAATAGAGCAAAGGTAAAGGCGCAGGACTGCGATCGTTTGCTCACGCCACCGCTGGCAGAAGGGCCTTCACCAGAGGGAGCTCTGGAGAGACCCTCTAGACTGAAGGTGCTTGGCCTACTCTTCCACGCTGGTCAGGCGTCTTGGAAGAAGTAGCTGTACCCACACTTTACCACAATTAGAATATATATCAAGAATATCACTGGGTGGTAGATGTGACAAAGCAAAACCACGGACTCATCAATTTACCTCCCCTGGTAGACAGCAAAACTCGATAATTTTGACAAAACCCGCAATCGCGCCACGGGTTTGCATCACACAGCGCTCAGGTCAGAGGTCGTGATGGTCATCATTTTTTGTTACTGTGTGGTGGGAGGAGTAAAGGTCTCGATCGCCGCTTGCGCAACCCGCCTCTCTTGTGAGGCCAGCGGCACGCTGCGACTCGGCTCGTGTCCCCTCGTTGACTTTGTTCAAACTTCCAGTCACGCGACGCACGCTCTGTTTGCTTTGCACGGGGCAGGAGACGATGGCGTAGCCACAGAGTGCGCAGGCGGTGCAACTGCCCCGGGGAAGTCACAGGCCGGAGGGACCCCGCTGACAGTATAAGAGGGGCCCCGGGAGGGGACCTCAGGGCTGTCGTGTGGAGTGGGGGGATCCCCGTCGTACTGCTGCTGGAGTCTTCATCGTCGTCTCTGTCTTCACCGTCTCGGCGTCGCCAGTCAGGCAGTCTACCAGCTGTCCTGACTGGGAACCGTAATTGCTAAGTGTTACTGTCAGGCCGCGTTAATAAACAGTGCCTCCTACTCTTAGTGTCTCCGAGTCAGTCACGACACATGCATGTCGTGTGATCGCCATAATCCATGGGGTTTCCTCGTCATTTGGGGGGAGCAGTGGATGTGGACTCATGTTCGAGCAACCACGAGGAAGGGAGTGACGTTCCTTCTCTCTCTCCCGCACACGGGCACACGCGGACAGACGCGGGTACACACCCTGTGGATGCCGTAGATGACGTCAGGCCGCGTAATGCTCAGGAGGTCGTTGTTGCCCTGGAGAGGCCGGGAGTGCTCGCGGAAGGCGTCACCGCGGAAGTCCTCCTCGGCAAGCTGGTGCTGCTGGATCATGGTGCCCATGCCGCCGTCCAGCACCATGATGCGCTCGCGCAGCACGGAGGGGAGCAGCTCCCTCAGGTTCACTGGCGGCACAAGCGAGCAGACGGGAACATGGACGGACGGACAGACGGGCGGGCATACATACGTGTCGATACACAGCGATGGCGAGAAGCAGAAACACGACTGCAGATGCACGTACACAGGAAACCGATACCCCTGTTACACTCGCACATCAGAGCCGCGCCAGCACAGGACCAGCGTGGCATGGGTGGTTTTCCACTGACATTTTACAGAGCCGAGTTGAGCTAGAACCCGAGTGGTGCCACGTTGGTCTGAAGAGGACATCTGAATCCGAGTCGAACCGGTGCTAATAATGCATGCGACGCGCGTGATGTCAGTCGGTGCGACTCGAATGCAGTGTCATCGCATCACCTATGCATCTTGAGGTCACTTAAATGCGTTGGTAGCACGATTCAGTTCATGCAGTGGAAAAAGAAATCCGTGCCTTCTGACCCGTACCATGCTGGCTTGGCACGGCCCCAGCACGGCTCGGATGTGCAAGTGGAAAAGAGGCAAGAGACATACAGGCGCAGACACACCGCGTTCAACCGCGCCGCTAACGCACGTGCACAGCAACTGGCCGCCGTTCTCCACTGAGTAACTTCCACGTGACCAATGTGCTCGTGCTCGGCGAGGTGTACTTTGAGGTCACGTGAAGTGTCGAAGGCTCACTGGCAGAGGTCACGGGACAGACCCAGGCCACCAGCAAACACGGCGAGGAATGCCTCGCAGCGCAATCTCCCTTCTAGTTTTAATCTCTTATCAGATGAACACAACTCCCTAGGCACAGGGACAAACGACTTTACATTAAAACACACACACACGTGCAAGGCCACACTCACACACCATCTCTGTCAGCACATCACAGCTCACCCAGTGAGCACACAGCCAACAAGACAAACGTCCGCACAGTGTCTTTTTGTGAAACGGACAGTTATACCGTTCGTATAAAATCCCTTATGTTCATCTCCTGCTGGACAGCCTCCTCCCCACGGGTTGTAGGGGTGAAGGGAGAGACCATAGACAAGGGAGCACAGAAGTATAGTACAACAATGGATTTTGCTGCACTGCTGCCAACAGAGTAGCCCTGACAGCAGCCTGAAACACCGGATATGCGTGGTGGTGGTGGCCCATCTAAGTGCTATCCAGGCACTAACCGTGCTCAGCCTGCGGGATTTTAACGAGATCCTGGCGAGTTCCAGGAGATATACGGCCCAAGGAGGTGGCAGCTGCCGTTCGAGACCCATGGAGCATACCGTACTAGAACACTCATTAAAAAATTGTCATCACTCGCGCTTCGGGTGGGTGGGGTGGGGTGGACCCTCACACACTGGGCTCCGTGCCCAGCCCGCCTAGAAAATAAAGGGGGGACACTGCATTCGGTTCTCCCCTTGAGATGAGAGGACCGCCTATGGCTGGGAAACAGTACTACGGGCGAGGTGAGAGGTCACGGCTTGGCAGGGAGAGGGCCTCTTTCTAGAAACGTCCGGTGGGTTCAGCGTGGTGCACGGTGAATGGAGTTCAAAAGAACTTGCATACAAACACCTTGCAAAAGACCCAACGCAGAAGATCCCTGCGTCTAATCTTCCACAAGGGCTCATGGTCCACCCCAAATCGCATCTACTGCGCAAACCATGTCAGATGCAGCATGTACCTGATGCACACATGGAAAATTCTGGATGATCACAGTGCGACTGTGGTCATCCAGAAGAGACCCTACAACGTATAACGACACAGTGCCCGATCCACGAATACGAAGGAGACCCCACAGCGATAAACTTCCCTGTCCTGACGCAGTTATCTGGCTTGGCCACAAGAATGTGAAATTGTAGTTGTGGCTCTACATCTACATTTGCCATACGAAAGGTTGAAGTGAAGCAAAGTACAGTACAACGCCGTACGTCTGCCTCGCCAGAGTCCGAGGGAGGTTAGGTCTTCCATCATCAGTCCCCCACTGGACTAAAACAAAGCGGTAAAAAAGACCACTGCATGCGTGGGAAACCAGTCTTGCTGTGATTTAGAAGTGAATATCTTCGAGATTTGAAAATCTTTTTTTTTACAGGAGGAAAAACATAAACGAATTACGAATCAGAAAATTGGCTGCGGAAAACCTACTTGTTTAGTTTGTTACGCGAGTGCGCAAGCAGTTACAAGCGCGACTGGGAGAGCAAAAAATAACTCACCGCCAGGGCTGTTAGAACTGCCCCGCACCAGCAGAATACACAGTCATTTATCATCAGTTTTAGAACGAGGCAAAAGGCCATTGGGTGCAGCGGTGGTTATTAGTGTGCCGTGCTATGAACCCGGTGACCCGAGTTCAATAGACAGTCACAGCGGCAGGTTATAACAGAACCATGACTGACTTTGCAGCCAAGTGAGATGTTTAATTTTTTATGAAGAAAACTGGATTGACAGACAGACCCTCTGCAGTAAATGCGGGGAGCCGAGAAGAATGGCCTCAGTTTTGTTGCCATCAAGTCGTAGGAAATCATCCTGCAACCAGCATTGAACTTCAGCCAAACAAGTGGTGACAGAAGAGGAGGCAGGTGAGAGGTCAGACTTGGGGTTTGAATACATTCGTATGGCATTGGCATAGAAACGGCAGGAGACATGGAACCATTAGAAAAATTAGATCAAGTGAATCTTCTTGGTTCTTTCGGTAAAGTCACGTAGAAGGGAAGTAATAAAATAATAAAAAGAAAACATAATAAAATAATTCTCACGACGTTTCGGCCACAACGCAAGCAGCCGTCCTCAAGTGAAGTTTTGTAGAAGCAGAATAGCAGGGGCCCCCCAAGGGACAGCAGAAGAGACTGTGCCAAAGCAATTGGTGCAATGAGAACGGCTGGATTTAATATTTACAGTGTTTGTTTTATGAGGTTATTGTGACTTTAAACATCTCTTTTGCAATGGACGCCCGCATCGCTAAGCAATGCTGAGAACATTTACGTGATGGAAACGCTGCTGAATAATATTGGTCTGAAAATTGTATTTTAATCACATTGAAACACAATGGTGCCCTGTTTTATGTAAATAACATTAGTTTTAAAAGGGTGTCACACCTTAACATGTTAAACGTGCTCTTCCCCTTTTAACACATTTATATACATTTTCAAGAGGGTGCTGCAAGGTCATCATCAGCCGTGGTCAAGCCACTGCTGCCCAAAGGCGTCCCCAATCCACCACCACCTCCAACTATTCTGACACAAAATCTCCCAGGTTCAGGGGCCAAAATAACCTTTACAACTCGGAATGAAGACAATCCATGCTCCTTTGCAGCGCAGGCATTTGCGAGGTAATCAGTACAGTGTCCCAACTTATCTTTTACGGGGGGTGGGTCGCAAATATACAGGCCACGGGGTCAGGAGGTCAGAAAGCCGAGTCGGCACTGCCGAAGTCAAGGGTTGGAATGCAGAAACCTGGCCGATCTACAAAAGGTGGCGATGTGATGACCGATCTCAGCCCCATGCACCAATTAAATGAATGCACGCAAGAAAATATCCCATCGAATCACATTTCGGATTATCAGGGTTGGGAGACAGGGACTGATAGATGAGGGGCATAACCACTACAGATTATACGGGAGCCGGATTCAGAGTGGTGTAAAGAAAAAAATGCTCGTTTAGGCTGTTTTATTTTCTTAATGTCAAAAGAGTTTTGGTTAGATCACTCTCTCTCTCCTTGTCATCCATTTCCCCTTACTTAACAAAAAGTTTCACTTTCCCCCATTCGGTGCCATCCCATCCTGTATGGTCTGCGGCAGCGAGCCCGGGAAATCTTCCCAATCCTGTGCTTTTCATAACCGGTTCGGCTTATTTTGACGGTGTGTACGCGCGTCATGACGTGATGTATCGAGTCCGCAGATTGCCTCAATAAAAATGCTTATTTTGACTAAATTCCAGCAGTGCAAATTAAAAGACGGCTCACACATCAGTGGCGAGTGATAAATAAACCCTATGCACTCCACGGAACCTCCTCTAGACTCCTTCACCAACCTGCTACGAAAGTGACACGCAAAGAAATATTAAATCTAGAGGTGTTGGCACGTAATACCGGACGCATATAAAATACACAGAGATACACAAACACTCACAAAGACACACACACACAGAGGCGTACATACCGACACACCCAAATACCGAAAGACACACACTGGAACAAACTACCACATACACATTGACACACACCGGAATATACTGGAACACACACACTTATACGAAGATCCCCCTTACAGCCATACCGTCTGTTGTGGGGTTAGTGCCGTTCGCGAGCATCTACTGACACATCGAGACACACCGCACTCGCACTCATACTGGTATCACAAAAATACAAAGATCCTCCCCCCCCCCCGTGTAGCCTTAACAGACTGTAGGGGCAAGTGCTGCTAGCGAGCACCTATGAAGGCCGGCACGGTACACGAGGGGGTGGGTGGCCAGCACCACGCCCGATCGCCTTCGTCTCCCCAGTGGCGATGCTTACACACCGCACCAGGTACTCATTTGAGGCCGAGTCGACCTAGGGGAAGCCCATGACCGGTTCAGATAATCATCACCGGTGTTGGCCGTGAGCGGGAATCGAACTCGGGTGGCTGGGTCCGTAGCGCGGCGCGCTAACCGCTGCACCACCGCTCCCCCTGCAAACACATACACACATTGACGACACACACTGGAACACACGCGCACAAACACCAACAGCAAAGATCCCCCACGTATTGGCTTCAGACCCTTGGGGCAAATGCTGTGAGCGAGCACCTTTATACAGTACACTGACACACAGTGGCACACTGGAATACAGCACACACTGACACACGCACGCACACCGACACGTGCATACACTGACACACGCACGCACACCGACACGCGCACACATCGACACAGTGACACACGCACACACCGGGAATACAGCACACAGACACCGACACGCACACTGACACGTGCACACACTGACACACGCACACACCGGCACGCGCACTGACACACACACCGACACGCGCACACACACGCGCACCGACACGTGCACACACTGACACACGCACACACCGGCACGCGCACTGACACACACACCGACACCCGCACCGACACGTGCACGCACGCGTCTGTCATAACAAACACTCGCGCCCTCCACGTGCACTCTTGGCAGGCAAGTGCCACAATCACAGACACTGGCATTCGAAAACACCCCAGCGGTCTTCATCATCATGATCGTCGGTCATGATCAATCCACTGCTGCATGAAGACCTCCCCCCTCCTCTGCGCGGATCCGTTGCCAGGCAATCAGCCGCCCGGCACCTGAACGCACGATCGGGATTTCATCGCTCCATCTCCACGGAGCGAGGAGAAAACACCATGGAGAAATACGAGGGGAGAGCAAACACACACACGCGCACATAACTATGTAGCGATAACGCTGCCGTAACCCAGCAACCTACTTGCTGTACTGTCGCTACAAGCTGGGTGTCTTGTACAAAGACAAAGATCCCCCGTATAGCCTGGACAGACTGTTGGGGCAAGTGCTGTTAGCGAGCACCTATTAAGGCCGGCACGGTACACGAGGGGGTGGGGTAGCCAGCACAACGCCCGCCCGCCTTTGTTCTCCCCAGTGGCGATGTTTACACTCCGCACCAGGTACTCTTTTAGGCTGAGTCGACCTAAGTGTGGGCCCAGGACCGGCTCAGAAAATCGTCACTGGTGTTGGCCGTGAGCGAGAATCGAACTTGGGTCGCCAGGTTCGTAGCACAGCACGCTAACCGCTACACACACACACTGATCGCACACACACGTGACCCACCCATCACATCGTGATCCACCCATCACATCGTGATCCACCCACCCATTCGTCTCACGCGCGGCGGGGGGCGGGGGGCAGTGTGGACTCACGCTTTCCCGCCGCACCCGCCCCGAGTGTCGGAGGCATCGTGCAGGCTCTAGCAACTCCGCGACTGGCAACAACAGCAGCCGCTGTTGCGACTGCAACCTTTGACAGAGGGGACCCCGTCACCGCAAGAACGACAACTTGGCGCTCACGGGCAAAAGACGGAGGCGCCGGGTTGGGCGCGCGCTTTTATACCCTCACCCGGCCACGGTTGACCAATCAGAGGCGCGGGAATACCGCGTGACGTCACCCCCGCCTCCCCAATAACATGCCGCGTGACGTAGAACGCTGTTGGACGCCGTTGTCTTATGACGTCATGTTTCTATTTGGGTTATTGCCAATAAAAAAACCCATCAGAAAATGTGTTTTATATTTAAAAAAGATATTTTTTACATATTTAATTTTCATCAGCCACCGCCTACCCACCCCATGGTGTAAGCAAGTGCAATCTCCAACTCTTATTTTCTACTCTTTCTGACCTCTATATTTTACGAAGAGCCATTCCCCGAAATGTTCCCTAATTATTGTTTTCAGTTTAAGGCCACACACAGTGTAATTGACAAATGTGCCGAGTTTAAAAATGATATATTTGCGGGTCTTTTTATCCCCTTTTCTCACCGAGAGATCGAATGTATTATGTAAACAAATGCATGTTTCCAATTGGAGGTGGCACTAGATATGAACCTGCAAAAGGGACTTAGGTTTGTCCAGCACTCAATGATACAGCTGTGTTTTAGATTAAGTGTTCATTCATTCGTGGCGGGTGAATGGTATTCAGTTTGACGAGCACGGCCTTCTGTCGCTTTTCTGGTCTCGTTCCCACCAGAATTTAAGACAGGGACACGGACCGAAAGCTCATCAGAGGTGCGGTTCCCCACCGCTCCAAGTGACGAGCCACCGCACCGACAGCCGAACATCACACTGTCCTCATCGTGATCCTCAACATCATTACCACCACCATCATCACATTTCAACCTCGCAATTCAGTCACAACAGAGAGATATGCGAAGGTGGTTCATTGTCCGCTCATCTATTCTATAACTCACTCTCTGCGACGCTACCAACTACTTCTGAATGGGTGCACGGAATGCCGTGAGCTGTGTGCCATTGTTTTTATTCATAATTTGCGTTACGTACAGGGAATTCTATTCCACGTTTGTTCATTAAACATCCTTAATTATTGAAAGATATTAAGGATTTAAGATGGTCTACCATATGTACACTTTATTGATGAAGTAATTTGTGCAAAATAATCACAGCGCGTGACAACTGTACTCTCATACAGAAAAAGAAAACATCGTAGCTGTGCGTCTCAAATCATAACGCGTTAAGTGAAATCTCAATCCAGTCCTATACTCCGTTCTGACCAGAACATGACCGTGCAGTTGATAATGGTCCTTCCACTACACTGTCCTCACACGACCTCTTGGATGTCCACCACTAATTCTTATTTCACGACCCAGCCCGGCTTGGGATGCAGCAGAACTTCACACCGAGCCTCAGCATGAGACCGCTGTGTTCATGACAGCGCATCCAGCTGACTCTGTATCATTTCCAACTAAAAAGGAACAACACACAACACATGCAGGTTAACACAAAAGTGTGTAAAGCAAGTCGACACAAAACCACGTAAAACCTTGGATTGCGAGTAACTTGGTCTGCAAGTTTCGATGTAAAGCTTTCGTGACTGCAGGGATTCATCTTCTTGGTTCTTTCGGTAAAGTCACGTAGAATGGAAATAATAAAATAATAAAAATAAAACATTAAAAAATAATTCTCACGTTTCGGTGAAGAACAGGTCTGTTGATAAGACAGACTGTCTTATCGACAGACTCTGTCTTATCGACAGACCTGTTCTTCAGACTCTGTCTTATCGACAGACCTGTTCTTCACCTGAGGACAACTGCTTGCGTTGTGGCCGAAACGTCGTGAGAATTATTTAATTATCTTTTATTTTTATTATTTTATTATTTCCATTCTACGTGACTTTACCGAAAGAACCAAGAAGATGGTCTGCAAGTGTTTTGCAAGACGAGTAATTTTTTAAAATACATGTTAACTTGATAAACAAGCAAGGTCTTGCAATACTAGTACGTACAGTATACGCTTTGTCTGCCGAGCATCACGTGATCACAACTGAGCCGATGGTTCTTCTCTCTCTCTTGCTGCGGGATTGTGGGCAATCGTCTTCCATGCTCGGTCTCAGTCGGCGTGCCTCACTCGTATAGTCAACATCCGTGCGAGCATATACTGTTTACTATAGTGTTGTGACCACGTGTGTGTGCGTAAAGCATTTTTTTAATTTTGTGTCCAAGTGTAGTGACTGTTCTTTAGTAACTGTACTGCAACAATGGCCCCCTCCTCCTCTCCTCTCGCTCGTCTCCCTCACACCAGTCACGATTAAATGTAAATGTAATTAATACATTTGATTACTTTATATTAAATTTAAATAATAAAAATATAAAAAGGTATTTGTATTAATCATTTTTATATGAATATTTTTGGGTTGTGGAACGAATCATCTGCGTTTCCATTATTTCTTATGGGGAAATTCGCATTGATATACGAGTGCTTTAGATTACCAGCACGTTTTTACTGTACACACAAATAGACGTGATGGAGGGCCTATGCATGGCTGTGTGGTCGGACCTTCTTGTAGAACTCGAAGAGCTCCTGGTGCGTGAGCTCCATCTGCACTTTCTCCAGCTCCTGAAAAAAAACAACAAGCGTGACTCATTAATGCCCCAGTTGCACAACCACTCGAGATGGTGACAGATCTGCCCTGTAGCTCTGCCAGGCTGCTTGTCCCTATGGCAGTTTGCTGGGATTGGGTGGTGCATCAAGTGGCCCGTCAGCACACGTTCCATCTTCCTGGGAAGTGGGTCAACCCACTGAGAGCCAGACCGACCTAATGACCTCTCGATACATCATGCAAGCCCCATAACAATAATCACCTCGCTCAAACACTCAGCCGTGTTTCAAAACACAATGGCCAAGAGCTGGCCTCCTGACTCAGGGGGTTAATACGATGTCAGGGCATCGAGCCAGCACCACTGAGATCCTTTGTGTGAATCTAGTTTTTAGCCACCTGTGATTAAACTGGGTTCTCAAGCGTTCGTGAGTTAGCAGTCGTAGCCGTGTGTGTGTGTGCGCGTATGTACCTGGTTGTCATCGCTTTGGATCCCAAGCTCCAGCACGGCTGATGGGGTCTTGATTCTCGCACGCGTCGTCTGCGCCAGCTGGAGGTTCAGTTGCCAGCTCATCGACTCGAGCTGTGTGGGGAGGGTGTAGTGGTGGTGGTAGGAGTGATAATGGTGGTGAAGGGCGATGGTAGTGGTGATGGTGGTTGTGGTGTTAGAGTCAATGTTCATGGAGACGGTGGTGGTGATACTGGTCGTGATGGGGGAAATGGTATTGATTTTAATCATTGTGATTGTAATCATATTGGTAAAAGGTAGTGGTGTTTTGAAGGTAGTCATGACGGTTGCATAGTGGTGGTGGTTTAGGTGGCAGCGATGGTTGCAGTAATCATGGTGGTGGTGGCCATTGTAATGGTCATTATAGTGGCGGTGATGATGAAAGTGGTGATGGTAGTGTTGGTAGTGATGTTGGTGGTATTGATGGTAGTGATAGTATTAGATGTGATAATGGTGGTGGTTATGTTGGTAGCGGTAATAGTGGGGGAATCAGTTGGATGGTGGTGGTGGTGGTAGTGATGATGGTAGTGGTGAGAAGTAGAGGTGGCACAAGTTTAAACAATGAAACCCATTCAAGACAATACCACATTCATTGTTTTACGTTATAAATGTACAGTACAGGACACGGATTTAAAGGAAGTCAAACGTCAAAGTGTTCCCTCCTGAAACAATGCATTGACACATCACTCTTCTCCATTCGTGGAGCTGAGCCAACTGTGGACATTTCTCATTCCCATATCAGGGAACATTATCACAAAAAGATGACTTAATATTGACTACCATCAAAGTGGTAATGATTTTAATCAAGCACAGTTTGAATTTGTGAGCCTAGTGCTGCCACTGCCTGGTTGGTGAGATCACCAGAAGATACACTATGACACGAGTAAAGGTAGTAGCAGCACTTTGTGAGAAGTGGTCGTCATATGGAGGGACTAGGTCCGGCCATGGGAATGTGGACTTCACAACAATTTTTAAAAGCCAGCAACAAAGACAAGCACTGCATCACTGTTAACATTTATCAGAACTCTAGACTATGGATCTGTAGAGAGCTGTCCTTTAGAGGGAATGGCCTCCACAATAGGAACGTGGAATTTCCACCACGAGTGCCACCCCATCGTTCGTTAAGAGTATGAAGATGCTCTGATGTTCACTTAACGACAGCAGCAGTACTATCTGAGAGAGAAGCTGCAAAATGATTGTAACTGTGTTTGCACAAGTACATGGCTATACATGTACTGCCCTTGTATCAATACACTGCAGGTCATGAGGGTTACTTCACCAAACTTTACCACGATGCCCAGTACAGGTTGGCGAAGGTGGGAGTGTAGACGTGGGTATATAGAACAGTACAATATATTTTTATGTACTGGCCTCTGCTGCCCACAATGTAACTCCAAAAGCTCATGACCACTTGATTGTACAGTGCAAGATGGTCACCAATCTTAGAGCTGACACCGGCGCTTAGCGTGGCTGCATACACGCACCGTCTTTGGCGCCATTGATCGCTGGCGCAGCCTGTCCACGGCATTACGCCCGCCGGCAGCCCACGCCTCCAAGAACGCGTGGCACTTGGCCTCCGTCACATGCAGCTGCGCCAGCTGCTTCTCCATCACGGCCGGCTTCCAGCTGTGGTAGGCGGCCTGAACAGAGGATAGGGGGTTTGAGTTGGGGGGGACGCGCACACCAGATAGCATCTTGATTCGAGGCAAGAAAACGCACGCGGGCATGGGTGCTCTCATATGAATGCACAATGACATCTCCATTCGCCATGAAATTGTCATGATATTTGTCAATGATGTTGGCCTTGAGTGGAAATCGAACGTTTTACGCGGATCGTAGCACAATGTGCTATCCAATACACTGCCGCTCCCCACACTAATGCATTTGGAACGCACACACGCATGAGTGCATGGCTACACAAGCATAAGCATTTGTAAAGGCGCACAAAGAAAAGCCTAAGATTTCCTGTGTTGGGGCAAGTGTTGTTTGCAAGCTCCTATGGGGATACCTGCTGGAGGATGAAGGTGCAGGTCTCGAGGGTGAGCTCCAGCTGCGGTTGCTGCAGATCCAGAGCCACCATCAGCTTCTCCTCCTCCTCTGGACTGAAACTCCTTTCATCCTGCACACACACGTTCACCATGTAGACCAGTGTTACTAATGTTTAGAGGGGGGTGACTTTTGCCGATAAGACATCAGTGTGAGGGCCGCCACACATTTGAAACCATTAGGTTTGACAGCATGATGGGGTGTTTTCACATTTGTATATTATTGAGGGCCGCACGTCAGGGGCCGCACTAAAGGCCACCAGGGGCCGCTAATGGCCCGTGGGGCTTGCAATGAAGAACACTGATATAGACCAATTAACAGCCTGTACATTTCCACCCGAGGCGGTGATGTGGTCAGAACCACACCCATCCCTCTTTGTCTCTCCAATAGTGATGTTTATACACTGCTGCCAGGTGATAAAATTGTGTCCGAGTTGACCTTGGTGAGGCCCAAAACAAGTCGAGATGTGATAAGTGATTGATTTTAGCCATGGTCGGGAATTGAACTCGCGTATTCGATTTCATAGTGCAGTGCGCTAACCACTACTCCCCACATACAAACATTAACGCGCAAAGTGAAAGACAAGGGGCTGAGGGAAGAGCCAGAGCCAGACGATGGTGGCAATGTGACCGTAAACACGGGTCCTATGTCGCCTGTACAACACTTGTGGATTTTCTT